GTGGTATTTTAATGCTTTAAAATAAAAAATTAAAACAGAATTTTACAAATTTCTAAAAAAAAGGGTTAAAAAATAAAAAAATGCTCAAATTCAAACTTTTTATATATACAGAAGATTTTATAAGAAATATTTTAACTAATGAAAACTTAGTAATAATTATTATGAAGAAAGGAACAATTATTATACTTAAAAAATTGTGAACAATGGTTTTGTCTAAATTGTCTTTAACAAATAATTATTAAAAAAATGCATGTGGTTATTGACAATAATACCACAATTTATTATTTTATTTAAAAAATTATGTTTTTATAATAAAAATTTAATTTAAAATCAGAAATTAAATTTTAATTTATTTTAGATTGATAAAATTTTGTTTTTAGTCCCCCTTATAGTTTAATGAAACTGAAAAAAATATGTTTGTTTTTTGCTTATTTAAAATCCAGTAAAAACATTTATGACAATTTATTGGACATTGTTAAACAGAAAATTGAAACTAAAGACTATTATTTAATTGATTTAGAGAAAAAATACTACGTCTTTGAAACTTTTATTAATACCAATGGAATTGTTTTTTGTGGATGTATACAAGATGCATCTGGTTCCGATAATAGTTCTACCAAATATAATAGTGCTAAGTATAATACAGCAGATGAAGCAATTCAAGCGGTTTGTGATTATCATCTTTCAAGCAATTTGAATATACCAAAGAAATTTCCGATTTTTTATAAGATAAATTTAGCAATATTTAAGCATGATATTCAGTCTAAGCTTGAGAATTTTTTTTATAATAGGGTTGAACCCGATTTTTTTGCTAGATTATATGATAGCAACGAACAAAAACAAATAAGAGAGCTTTGTTTATTTTTTTCTCGAAATAGAATGATAGATCCTAACTTTTTCTTTTCTTCAGAAAAGAATTCTTCTGAAGACACTATCCAATGCTTTGAAGAAGAAAACAAGATGAAATTTTTTTTTCCTGTAAAATTAAGAAATTTAGTGCTTTTTTTTAAAATTGACGTTAAAGATTTATACAGTGTAGAAGACCAATATACAAGTGAATTTATAAAGTTACATAAAAATAACAGTAATAATAATATTTGTACAGAGATATGCACTTTAATTACTAAAATTTTTACATTCTCTGATTATCTGTTACATTCTAAATTATTAAATGAGCTAAACGATTATGCCAAGAAAAAAAAATTTGGAAAAAAGTCATCATGTAATATTGAGAAGAAAACTTTTTCTGTTTTATTTTTAGAAAAAGATATATTTTTTAAAAATTTAGGTACATTGTTTTGTTATTCTTATGATAATCCCTTAGAGATTACGGGAAATTGTCAGCACATTTCTAAAGAAGCATATCAAGATTGCATTGAAATTTTAAAGTTATTTACGAAAGCTAAGGCCTTTGATTTTGCGCAATACAAAATTATTTTTTACAAATGTAAAAATGAAAATCTGCTAAATCATTTATTATATAAAATTTGTGAAAGCCCGGGTTCTGGCTCTTACATAATATTAATACAAATTTTAGGATATTATAAGATTTTAAACGTAAGTGAAATTATTTTTTTTACACGAAGTATAAATAAGAATAATAGAGAGCAAATGATTGCGTTTCTGAAAAATTTTTTTACTAAAGAAAAACTTTCTAAGATTCATTTTATGATGACTGCGGTGAGTGAAAAAGTTAATAATTTGTTATACACTCTTATTTATAAAGAAGCTGAGGAGTATTTTAGTATTTATAAAAAGAGTAATATTTTTAATATTGAATTTTTCAATGATATACGAAAGTTTTCTGATTTATATTTATGTCTGAATGAAATAACGTTATATGATTTTTATAGCATCTTAGTTGGCAATTCACTATCTATATTTGCGTCGGGGGAAAAAACATTGTCACAATTATTTGAAAGTATAGCATTACTAACTAATTTAGACGTTAAATACAGCATAGGAGAAAACCATGTTTATTTTAATAAAGTAAAAGCTAAGAAAATGTTTCAAATATTAAATATTGACGATCCCGAGACCTTAGAAAATTGCGTTGAAAGTTTAATTAAATGATTTTAATTTATAAAACTGTAGATTTTTGTCTTGCCTTGAAGGGTAACTACCAATTTTGTCTATATTATAAAAAATGTAAATCAAAATATTTATTTATTTTTTAACACTTCTTTTTAAAATTTATAAACTATAATTTTGTAAGCGGTAACATTGTGGTAAAGTTTTATTTATTTGTATCCTTCTTGTCGTATTTATTATCAAATTTTCAAGGATAAAGACATCTTAAAAGTTAATTTATAGTAAAATATTAAATTTATACCAAAAAGAGTTATTACAATGACATACTATACTTTTGAAAAGTAAATACATAAACTAATATAATTTCGAATCCCGTTTTTAACGGGATAGCGTAAGCTAGTGTGTTGAACAAATTGTTAAGAATTATATATTAAATTTATTTGTAAAATTAAAAGCTATAATTCTTTCAAAATAGCATTTCTATAAATAGATAAGCCTTATAATTTAAAAATACATTAATAATCCAAAAAACAATCCCAATAGTAGATTAATGATTTTTTATATACAAAGAGGCACCATATATAACTATACTGCATCCATTAAGATATTTTAATTTCATTTTCAATTTACTTTTTTTAATTAGTTCAGCAACATTTCCTTCTTGGTTTAGTAAATTGATACTAAAAATATCTAAATCTTTATCTGTTACTTCATAAAGACATCCTAAAACATTTTTATTATTTTTATAAATTTTTTTACATCTCCATTTTTGTTAAAATTTCTAGTGCAGACAAGCCTGGCGCTTGAGCATCCAAATAAAAACAGCACACTGTTTTTTATATTTTTACTAATGTATTTTGTACCACTTCCATGTCCAAAATAACAAATAAATTTATCTTCTGCATTCATGTTATGTTCTATAAGTTTGGTTTTTTTATCTTTAAAATTTGCAGTAATTCTTTCAAATGTGTTTTTTAAATCAGGATCTAATAAAAGTGTAGAATTGTTTAATGAACAATAATTTTTTCGATCTAGGTCTTCAATGTGTTCTATGCTCGAAATTCTATAACATAAAGCATTTTTAAATATACTTGTATGTTCAAATGGAAATTCTTCGGTTTTTTCATCAAATATTAAAAATACAGTTCCAGTTATTTTCAAATCAGAAAAATTAATTTTTTCCATTAAGTTTTTCATTATTCTATCAAGTTTTATTCTTTCAGCCCACCAGATCTCTTTTTTTGTCTCATTTTTTAGTATGTCTTTGTTTTTTAATAAAATTCCATTGTATTCCAAGGATATCATTTTATAATTAATATTTGTATTATAAACTTTATAACAGCCACTGGTTACTTGAGCAATATGAATCATTTCCTCCAATACAAATATACTGATAACCTTAATATTATCTTTAATATTTATATTAATTTTTACAGCATTATCAATATTCCGAATTTCTCTAATAATATCTTTAAAATTTTCACTTAATCTGTTAAACACAAGTTTTTTATTAAAAGTGTATGAGTCATTGCTTATCACTGATAAATTAGAGTGGTTTTTTATATCTTGTGTTTTATGCTCTAAATTTGTTATAAAATATTCGTCATTCAATTCAATATTTTTTAAATAAGAAGTAGGTCCTTGAATAAATCCAATTCGTTCTACTAAAAGCTTATAGTTAATAAAATACCATCTAACCTTTTTATTACTCATGTCTATACAAATATTTAGGTAATAAATAGCTTCTTGATACATTCCCAGTTGTATATAACAATAAATTAATATGTTATAAACATGTAAATATTCATAAAATTCTTTTAATAATTCTTTAATTGCAAGTTTACACTGTTTATATCTTTTTTTTACAAATAGATGTACTACTTTACTAAACTTATCTCCTGTAAAATTGTAAATTATTCTTTTGTTATAATTTGTGTAAAAACAATCTCTATCACATTCTTTATCTATTACTTTAAAATTACAGATATTTAAAAATTCAGTAAAAAAATTATCTTGTAAATTTTTTTTTATTTTACATTCACTTACCTCTTCTCCGTGCTTATTTAAAACTAGACTTTTTACATGTGCAGAATTCGACTTTTTTAAAATAACCTGAAATTTTTTATTATATTTTTCATCACAAAAATCCAAAAAATTTATATATTTTTTATCTAAAACGTTAAATCTATTAAATTTAATTATACAGTATGGAATGAATATATTGGCAGTTTCTTTATTAACAATAGTAATTTTAGAAATTAAATCACTTAATAAATTGAATATATTTTCATCCCATAACTTACTAAGAAATCGCAACATACATTTCTCGTAAGTATATTGTGGTAGATAATGTTTAGCGAAGGGTAGTGTGTTTTTTATAATTTCATATGCTTCTTTTGTAGATCTGTATGTAATGTCTTTCATAAGATGATTAAGACGTTCTGAAGCCTTTCTTATTATTATTTGTGGATCTGTCATCCAAGGGGTTGATATAAAAAGGATAGTTAAAAATTAATCACTATCTAACTATTTTTAAATATAAATTTATATTTTATAAATGCATAAAAAATATAAATCTACAAGAAATAATTAGAATGTGTGATGAACACAATAAACCCATTTTAAAAGCAAAACAAAACATTTTAAGATAAACATCTTTATTATATTTTTGCAAAAAATAACATCATTAAACCAGTTCTTTTCTACAAACAGGACACGTGTTACTGTGTGATGTTAACCATTTATCTACACATTTACTATGAAATGTGTGCTCACAAGGAAGAATTCGTGCCAGTTCTCTATTTTTAAATTTATTCATACAAATTGTGCAATCGTCTTTAAGCATTTTTTTCGTAACTCTAAATCTTTTAAATTTATTTAGCTGCTCTTTTTTTATCTTCTTTTTATTCTCACGCATAGACAGTATTGTCTCAAATAACAAAATTGTATCATTAAGACTTGCATGTGGCCTTTCTACTTCCATTGAAACATTACTTCCATTTACAAAAAAATCAAAAATAACAAAAAATTGAGAATTCTCTCTGTTTGTAGTAATAGGCACTTGTGATGTATTACTAGACGACTCACTTCTATTGGTAAGTATTCTAGACAAATTTCTATAAATTCTATGAACATGTTCATCATATTGTTCTCCATTTCTGTTAAGTCTTCCAAGTCTACTAGCAAAAGCACTAAGTAATGATTCAAGCATACCATCATTAGTATAATCCACACTGTTTCTTATTTCTTCTTGGTCATTATCGAGAATAAAATAAATTGTAAAGAAATTATTTATGTCTTCATGATTGTTCATTGAAGGGAAGAAATGTTTTTATTTTATGCAAAAATATTTACATTGAGAATTAATGATACAAGAAATTAATTACAAAAAAATATTAACATTATTTAAAATGATTGATATACATTTTAATTTAAGGTATAAAAAAGGAGGTACTATATTATATTTAATTTATTCTTGCAATTATTTATTTCCAAAACAAGTCAATGTTTTAAAAATTTAATATAAGAAATAGTTTAAGATTGGTGTTGTAGTAAATGAAAACAACAGAAACATTTAAATACATTATGTTAGGCTATTTTATTACATAAAATCTCCTTTATTTATATTTTAATAATTAAAGAAAAAATACAAACATTTTTAATTTCTTATTAGCCATAAAAGATAAAAACAAGTAAAAATATTTACAACACTTTAATAAATATAAATTACAATCATTAAGCGAAAAATAGCAAAATATCATTATTTTCTTAGTCCCTACTATAAAATTTATTAATGTAAACATAAGTGTATTTAACTGGTAAATTTTTGCCTCTTATTTTGCAAAAATATTTACAACTAACTTTTTTTAGTGTTAATCATGTCATGTAATTCATTCCTTAATATATAAAAAAAATAATTTACAAGATTACCATTCTATTTTAAAATTAACTTTCTTTGTTTCTATTTTTCTATATGTCCTTTTTTGTAACTGTTTACAATCAATACCAAGATCAATATCTATGTATTCTGAATTATTTACATATAAATTATCTGTATACAATTGTCCTGGTCCATTAATGCATCCCTGATTACAAATGTATATTTCGCATACATCATATTCTAATTCTTTATGTTTACTTTCCTTAATAAAATTAAGAAAAGGTTCTAGACCCAATATTCTTAAATATTTTTTTTTCTTATTATTTTTGATCTGTGTATATGTAAACACTCCATTTTTATATTTATAATCTATCTCAGGTATATTAATTTTATTTAATGTAACTGTGTTAATATTTAATTTTCTTTTTCCATTTAACCTTACCTCCTCATTTTTACTGTTAAATATTTTTATACTATCATTTTTTGTTAAATAATTGTTCTTCTTATTTAATATGTGTTCTAAATATCCATAATGATATCCAATAGTACACTTCTCCCATTTCTCACAGGTTCCTTTAATAAAATTATGCTGTAAAAATCCTAGATCCAAAATCATTTTATAAAAATCATAGGTAGTTAAAACATCATCGCTATTCTCTAAAAATTTATCATAGCACTGTATGACACTTATACTTCGCCCCTGAGCAAGTAGCTTTATGGCTTGTTGTTGTGTAGAAGTAACAGATAAATATTCAATTAAATGGTGTGCTTGCCTTTCAATATATGAAACAGTCCCAGGACAGTCACTTATTATTATTTTGTCTCTCGTGCTTTCCTCATAAACACTATCATACAGAATATTTTTGACATAAGATGTATCATATACTTTTATTACATTAAATTTTAGTTTTATAAATGAAATTAAGTGATATTCAAAATCACTAAAGGACATTATATGATTATTAAAGTGGGCATACATATTCATTTTCGAATGTGGTGATAATAAAAATGTTAAAGGGACATCTTTCAGTTCTGTGTAAGTAGGAATTTTTGGAACAGAAAAATCAGCAATACAAGCCGAACATGCCAGGCAATCTTCTAGTTTAAAGGTAAATGGTGAAATACATGGTTTATTTTCAGTATTCATTTTGGGGTAAAAATTTTATTTTTATGATATTTATGCTATATTTTATTTTATTTGCCGAAAAAAAAAAAATTATCAAATAGGAATATTTAAATCGATTTTATCAATCATGCATTTTTATATTAACTTTGTAAATTAAAATCGTTTATATTAACTTCATAAATCATGTATGTTTATATTAAATTATAAATCATCTATGTTTATATTACTTTTTTCAATCATGCATTTTTTTATCAAGTTTTTCATTCAAACTTGTTTATATTAACTTTATCAATCACAAATAATTATATTAGTGTAATATTATTTCTTAATTGTCTCATTTATTTTTACACATTAAAATTACAGAAAATGAAAATGTCTCCTAATAAACCATTGACTTTAAATATTTATAATGGCTATGTTGGATGCCATTCTTCGTGTCAAATATCTCACAATCACTTTATGAGATAGTTGACATGCATACATTTATAATGTTATTTTTATATTAACTTATGTTTTCTAACAACCATGTTTTTACTAACACAGCTTGTTATACCACAATTTACTTTATAAATCATGCATCATTGTAATTAAATAATTTACTTGTACAAGATTCTACACCCATGTCATGTACAAGAAAAAAATCTCATTCTTCAATTAGCACACTACTTTTTCATAAAGACAGAATATATGCCGGTGGATATGAGTATGATAATGTGAGACACGGAAATATAGAAGTCTATGATAAAGATCTGTGCTTGTTAATGGCAGCAGATACACAAGGAACATTAGATATAAAAATTTTTGACACATTTATTTATGTTTCTACTTCTACTTCCATAATAAAATATAATTTAAATCTGGAAAAGCTTTTTGAATATAAAACTGGCTATATGAATACTTTTATGGTAATTTACGAGTCTTTTATTTATGTATGTACTGCTAAGGGGACTATAGATGTTTACACCTTATCTCTTAATTTACTTTATTCTATTAAAGTATCTAATGATATTTTATGGACATGTGCTGTACAAAATAATACAATTTATTGTGGCGGAGAATGTGGCACACTATTTTGTATAAAAAATAAACAAATTGTTTATAGAATTAAATTTACACAAGGAATTACTTGTATTACTATTTATACAGATTGTTTACTTGTTGGAAGTTATGATGAACACATATACAAAATAAAACAAGATAATATTGTAAATAAATATTTTATAGGAGGAGGTATTTGGAGAGTAAAACAATATAAAGATCTATTTTTCATTTCTTGCATGTACGAAGGTATAAAAATTATAAATAAAAAATTTGATAAAATTTTGTATCAAACTACTAATAATACAGTAAGTATGCCTGAAGATATAAGTAAACTAGTATATGCTTTAGATACAAATGAGAATAGTGTTATTTATGCAACATTTTACGAGAAAAAAATTAGTAGGTGGTTGATAGATGATCTTTTAATCTAAAAAATTGATGTTTAAAATAAAATCAAAATTTTATATTAAGCCCCTTTTTAATTTATTTATTATTTAATAAAAATTACAATTTATCATCTATTTTATTGTGCATAAATCTTATATCATTATGTAGTAAAAAGATCTGGGTCTTCAAGAGAAATATAAAAGTGAAAGATTTAATATACATTTTTAGACTCTCCAAATATTATATAATTTACAAAAAAATTATTTTAATTTAATTTTAAAATCTCTAAAAATACAACATTTGTTTTCAAAACTAAATTGTGCTATATTTAATATCATTGTGTTGTGATATGTCAATTTTCTCTATAAAATAAAATTTTAAATATTTACCACCTTTGTTTTTGGTGGTAACACTTATAATCCTTAATTTAAGACATTAAATTTTTGGTTCAATAAAAATAGCCAATATAAAGTATTTTTTCTTTATCTTTGTTTATAGAGTCTATAAGTTTATTTTCTTTATGAGATAGGTTAATTCACCTTGTCGTATTTGACAGAATAAAAGTAAATTAACAAATATCTTTTTTTATAAAACATTTAAAAAAACAAAGTTTTCATAATCAAAATATTAACAAATATGTAACAATATGTTATAAAACAAACTTAAAACATTGTTTCACGTTGTGTTTAAAATAATTTTCAAAAAAATTTTGTACCCTTAAAAATGAAAAAACTTTCTATTGTTATTGCAGGCAAAACTATGACTTTAGAACTTGATAGTTTAGACATTACGGTTGAAGAGTTAAAAAAGAAAATCGAAAATTTGGTACCTGATAATAAGAAATATACTAGTGACAAGCAACTTTTGTTACTGAAGAAGAAGAAGTTAGAAGATGGTAGCAAGCTTAGTGATTTTATCAATGAGGAAGAAGAGAATGTTAAAGTATTTGTTTTAGAAAAGAGATCTAGTTCTAATGCTAAAGAACAATCTACTAATCCTTATGCTAATAATCAACCTTCTTCTAATTCACAACAGCCTAATCCATATGCAGCCCCTCAGCAAAACCATCAGTATCCACCTCATATGGGCTATCCTCAATATCATCCACAGCAAATGGGTTATCCTCAATATCCACCGCAAATGGGATACCCCCCTCAAATGGGTTATCCTCAACAGAATCCACAACACATGGGATTCCCTTTTATGCCGATGAATCAAATGAAACCTTCTAAAGAAATTATAGAGATGTTTTTAAATAATCCTGCTCTACTTGATCAAATTACAGAGAGTCAGGTTCAAGGATTTCCGCCTGAAAAAAAAGAAGCTTACAAAGAACAGATCAGCAATGTAATGAAAGCTATGCAACATGATCCATCGCTTCTTGATAGTATATTACAGCTCTCTGGACTAAACAGTCCTTCTTTTGGAAGTCCACAAATGAATCAATATGGTGGATATCCTCAATATCCCCAATATCCACCAATGTATAACAATGGGTATCCTCAATATCCTCCTCAGCAGCCACAAAGCCCTGTACTTACAACTGAACAGTATAAAAAAAAATATTCGCAACAATTAACATTTTTAAATGATATGGGATTTACTAATGAAGAAGATAATTTGAAAGCGTTGATTAAAGCGCATGGAAATCTTAATTATGCATTGGATTTGCTACAAAAGGATGATAAATTTCTTTAAAAATAAATGTTTTCTTTAATTTACTTTTTAGTGCTTTATGGCCAGTGTTATTTTTGTTTCTAATGAAATAGTAAAATAATATCATCGCATTTTTACAAACGTCGGAAGAAAATATAAATAAAGTGATTAATGAAATATTGCAGAGACCAAAAGAATTATGCAATACAAAGTTAAGCATAAAAACAATCAAAGTGTAATTTCACTAATTAATTATTATGTTAGTATCTTAGAAAACATTTTAAATAAATTAATGAGATTATTGAAAGCAACCAGCAAACAAAGAAAGGCTGTATCTACCTCACAAAGAACAAGGCAAGTGGTTTTAAAATATGGAGCACAGAAGTGAAACATGATACTACGACCACTTTTGACACTAGAAGGTGGTATAGAGGAATCGCTTAGAAGAAAAGTAATATTGAAAAAGAAAATAATAAACACCTTGCTAATATTAAAGAATTTTACAGGAAAAATACAAAGTTAGTAAATTGGAACAATTTTAAACTTCAAAGATCTTCAAATTAAAACTAGAAACAATCATTCAAAATTTTAAAGCTTACTGGAAACCCCAATTGTTTTATATACCTACTTAAGACCGTCATAGCCTTCTATGACAAAAAATAAAATTAAAAAATTTTATTATAAAAAAAAATAAAAACAAGAGGAACATAAAAGTGAGAAGTACCAAATTTAATGGAAAGAACTTTATTGAAGGCCTTAACATAGCAAATAGGGGATTAAGACTTTCTCATAAATTTGAATGAAGAGTTATATTGAAAATTATTTTAAAACTTGGAGATATCTTATGGGGAATGAAAAAGACTTAAATTGTCCAATTAGGGGTCATCAAGATGGCTATTACATATAAATATCTCTTCATGAGAAACTATGCTGTGTGCGCTACAGGACAAAAGTATATTAATTGACAAAAGCACAAAATGCCCGCAATTTAATTAAAAATTAAAACCACGCTGATCGTATTATGGTTACTAATTGCGAAAGAATGCTCTCGCACGATTTTATGCGACAACATTATGAAGCATACGCTTACAACTGTGTATAAATTATAGAATAATCAAAAATAAAAAGGTAAAAAATTATTCTTTTCAAGAACGCTTAAGTAATGGCAGAGCAGAAATAAGGATGTGCACACGTATTTAAAGTAGTATTTACAAGCAACAAACTATATAAATATTTAAATTAGATAATTGTAGTTGAAGTAGAAATAACCTTGTTTTAGAATTTGCGAACGGTTGAAAAAAAAGAAGCCATTTTCGACCTGCAAGCAAATCACCTTGGATCACTTCACAAATTCAGTACATGAATTATTTTCTGTGTGATAACATGAGACGGATGCATTAACAAAATACATTCAAATTATAAAAAAGGGTAAATATAAATTACTGAATGTAGACTTATGAAAAATACAAAGTTTTTAAAGTAACTGTAAACAGCCAGAGAAACTTACTAATGTAGAAGAGCAAGCTAAAGAAAATAAACTAGTAGAAATAGTAAATCTAAAAGTAAAGGCACGCTACAGCCTGCATAAGAAAAACAAACAATTATTTATACTTAAATTTATTTATTATTTTTATGCTTACAAAATAAATTTAATAATTAGTTACATTTTTCATTGTATATTTAAATTAAATATTGACAAAATAAGGAATTTGGGAGTAAAACTTAATATTACAAATGTGTATTATTGAAATTTCATAGCAAAAATATTTCGAAATAATTAAGATGACCCTAGAAAGCTTCACTTTGGAAAAACATAGAAGATGCTTTACATCTTAAGAAGACATTGTTATACATAAGAGTGTAACAATACAAAAGGATTAAGCCAATTGAGGATCAAGTAATTAATCTTTTAATGAAGGAGTTAGAAATAAAATTTTTTAAATTTGTCCCAAATTACTGATAACAAATATGCAATTTAGGAATTATAAACATTTTTTTTAAACTATGCTAGTATTTAAAATACATAATGGATAGGACTTGATCATGCATTAGAAATAATGTTTATATTGTTTTATAAATCTTCGTTTTCCCTCTATAATATTGTTGTACAAACACAATATATGCCATAGATTATAATTTAATTAAGAGCTTTAATTGAATCAATACTAAAAGTAAAATTTAATAACTTTTACAAAAAAACATACATACAATTGTTTACAAACATCTGATCTTTTTTATATCAGACAAAAAATCATTATCAAACTTACAATTTATTTTAATAAACTTTTTTAAATAATACATTAAAATTATATTTTTATTAAATTAAAAAATACATTAATTAACATCTCAAAGATCTAAAAAAGATATTAAGACTTGATACATTAAATATATAAAAAGTCAATTTTTAAAATATGGTAGCAAGTATTTTTTTAAAATCTTCATTTTGACCAAATTCTTAAAAGTAAATGTTCTCTTTGCTTTTAAATCTGTAATTGTTTTGCAACAAAGCAACAAAAATAATCCTAATATCGTTCACTTTTATTTAAATTATTTCAAACATGCAAAATTTATTAAATTTTGAAATGTCCACTATTTCTTCTTTTCTAATTATTTATTAACTTTCAATTATTTAAACAAATCTTTAAACAATTTTATTATGTAAAATATACAATGTTTTGAAATGTCTGGTTCTTCTATTTCATAATTATTTATCACTCGCAATTATCTAAATAATTATTTAATTCTTTTGTTAAAAAATTTAATATAAGTATTATTTAAAAATTTTTAAAAGGGCCAAATAAAGATAATAGAAATTAAGAAATATAATTATAAAAAAAAGATTAAAATAAGTAATGTAGATTACTTTTATAAAAATATAATATGTATTATAAAAGCTTATGTATTGTTAAAACAATAAAAATAAAACACTAACAAAATTTAATAACAAATCATTTTCTTTAAACTAAAAATTAATCAATATCCCAGTTCATTATTTCTAACTGTGTAATATCAATATTATAGTTGATCTTTGATAGTAAATGCGCTTCTATAAAAATAATCTCTTTATTGTTGCATTTATAATTATCTAAAAAATCTTGAGATGCAACATAAGAATCATTGAAATTTTTGATTGCAATCCAACAACATGTCAAAAATATTTTTGTAAGCACAGAATCCTTTAATCTATTCTTCATATTTTTTAAATATCTTTTCAAATAAATAAATCCACATATCAAATACAATGGTAGAATATTTTTTAAATCAACCAAAGATGAGAAACAACATTTGTGATTTAAGTAATTTTGAACTATTCTTTTGATAATTTTTTCTGAAATGTCTTCCTCTTTACAATATTCCATTTTATGTCTATACTTTATTTTTGTTTCTCTTTGGTATCTCATGCCCATTTTGTTAAATGTTTTTATTTATGTTTTTTAATTTAAAATAAGTGATGGCATAAAATTAAAAACAGCATAATTTTTAAATTAAATTTTAAAAAAATTTACAGTGAAAAAATATTTATAAATTAAAAATCATAGTTTGTTATAATATTCCTTTTTTGTAAAACTTGCAATTTTTTTTAAAACTTTTAATGTTTACATTAATAAAATAAAAACAGCTATATAAGGAAAAATAAATTAAAATTTTATAAATTATTTACTCTAAATAAACATAATAAATTCATATTAATTACTTAAGATAAACAAAAATAATTATTTCAACTTAAATTATACAGTAGTTTCATAAATTTAATTGTTTTTTATGTTTGTTTATTTTATTAAAAATTATTTTTAATATTATGCATAAACTGTTTACCAAATTTGTAAAAATTAACAAATGGTCTATAAATGTAAACTTAATTGATATTTTTGTCATTTACCATCTTTATAATCTAAAAAAATTAGAAACTTCAAGAAAATTTTATACTAAGTTACTATTTATCACAATGGTATAAAGTAAGTAAATATACCTATAAATTTGACATATTTCACAAAAATGTAAAATTAATTAAAAAAAATTATAAACAAATTTACAAAAAGAGATTCACATATTCCAATTATAGTAAGTTTTTTATTGTTTAAAACCTTCATTTATATTATAATTGTACAGTAAATACATTAATTAATAGATTACACCATATTTATATATTAAAATTTAGTCAAAATTTGTTTATTTTTTAAAAATATTTAAGTGCATAATCATTTAATAAAAAGCACAGTAAGCTTGTGGAAGTTGCAAACAGTAAAAATATAAATATTTAATTTATTTGAAAAACTGTTTAAGATTAAAAATTACTATATAAGGAAACACTTTGTGATTTTATAAAGGATGTGTTAAAATTAAAAGGTCTAATTGGGTTTAAATTTTTTACATAAGAATTTATACTGTTACTAACTCCGCACACAAAATTAATATAATTACATGTTTATAAAAAGTTTTTACAAAAAATTGTAATTATACTTTTACAATTTATTTTTATATTTAAACACTTTCACGCAGGCATTTGAGATAAAAGCAGATAAAACTTGATCTTTTAATATGTTATTTTTGTGTTTAAACACATTTACATTGGCATTTGAGATAGAAGAAGATATAAAATATTTTTTTAATATATTATTCTTGTCTAAAAGAAATTATTTGATAAAACTGATTTTTTTAAGATTTTTAATAAATGCGGCGTCTAAAATTTAAAAGATAAAATTAGTAGTTAAGAAATAACATAGTTATTTAAAAGACTGTTATAAAAGTTATTTTAAAGAGGAAATAAAAAACGTTACTATTTTTGTTCTCTAAAGGTAGAGGAGATTTTTTTAAGCCTTTGTGTTTTTAAGATAACATTATTTATTTGTAAAATTTAATTAAAATACTCTTTTTCTGTTGTAAAATATTAATTGTTTCGGTAAATTATTTCATACTGTTCGTTTTGAATTTAAGTCATATAATTGGAAGGTTTTTTGTCATTGATGACAAAGAATAATTAGTAAATGAATGACTTGTCATTCAAATCCATTTATTATAATTGCTAATTTATGCATAACTTTCAAGCATAAAAATTTAACCCTTTATGTACCATCCTCGGGTCTTCCAAAAAAATATACAGAAAACAAAAGAAGTAGAAAAAATGCCTGTAATAATTAATAAAGAACAAGTTATACCAGAGAATACTTTATATGAAGAACCCCTTGTGAGACATACAAAACCCACTAAGAAGCATGTTACTATTTTCGGATTCTCACAAAAGAATCTTGAACATGTTATTAAGAGGATTAAAGAAACTTGTCAAATAGAACACATAGAATATGGACTTAATTGGATAAATGTTATTACAAATAAAGATTCTGCACTTTTAAAGTTAAATTTATCACATATCAATGGTGAGATTATTGGTGTGTACAAGGAGTCAAATAATTCTCTGATAGAAGATAAAGATATTTTTTTAAGGAAAGAAGGAATAATAAGAAAAATAATTATTTATTTGTTTGGTGAATAAATATTTATGTGCATAAATTTTACTTCCACTTGCGTATTAATTGTAAGTTTACTTTCTACGTTTAAGTTGTATTTTTACAGTTTGTGTTGTGAAATTTGGTTTTTTTTAAAAGTTTGTGTTGTGTTTATTGGTTATATTTTTACAGTTTGTGTTGTGTTTATTGATTATATTTTTATAGTTTGTGTTCCACGTATTCGGTATATTTTTACAATTAAAGTTTTTACATTTTTTAAACTTTACAATCTAAGTTTTTACGTTTTCTAAATTATACAGTCTAAGTTCTACATATATTCATATTTAACTGTTAAAGTTCTCCTTATTAGTTGATTTTTACAATAAAAAAAAATATATATTCAAGTGTAAATTAAAAGAGACAGAATACAAATGTGATTTTTTATTAAAATATTTGATAAATCTTTTTAATTTAATTTTTAAAAAATCATTACTTTATAAAAAGTAAATAAATCAAATTTTACACAGATACTTACTTTTTAATATTTTTTAATTATTTACCCTTTATGGACTATCTTCCTCAAATGAAGGTTTTGATCAAAACTGTGGTTAGAAAGTTTTATGAGCCACACCACAGCATCCTTGTAGACATTATTTTAGAAAATATTCTTATTTACGACACAGAACTACAAAAACTTATGAAAATGCATAACAAAGAAATAAATAAATTACTTGTTGCACTTAAAGAAGATAAAATAATTAAATATGAAAACAAAGTGGAAGTATACGAAGATAAAAGACAATATCTAAGAGTTGTATATTATATTAATTATTCAGAAGTTAAATATGTTATTAAATATAAAATTTATAAAATTACAAAAAAATTAGAAGAAGACTATAAAAACAGCATTAAAGAAGGGTATTACTGTACAGCCTGTGATAAGCAGTTTAGTTCTCTTGATGCACAAATTATTATGACAAATTATATTTTTAAATGTGATGATTGTAATGGTGAGCTGGTAGAAAATGGTACAATAAACAACTTAGAAAATTTGTTGAATGCCAAATTCATGAATAGTATACAAGATATTATAATATTACTAAAAGAACTTGATCAGTTTGAAATACCAAGCATGGATTTTTTCCAGTTAAATGAATTTAAAAAAGAAATGCTGCATAAAGTTGAAGAAAATGAACAGCCACTGGAAGAAATTACAGAAGAACAATTTATTATAAATAATGATATGCATAATGAAGATATAATTATAAAACAGTCTTCTGATGAAGATATTATTAAAGATACAAGAAATGAAATGGTGACTGTTAAAGGAATATCAAAAATGTATTCTGAAATTACAGAAGAAGATAAAGAACAGATGGATGAAGATGAATATGAGAAATATTTTGAAGTTTATTCCAAATACAATTCTTAAATTAATAATTGAAATTTTGTAAATGTATAACTAAATTTAAGATATTAATTTATTTTGACAAGCCAGAATACAATCCAAGACTAAATGTTCCAAATAAATTGGATGTACTAAGAAACTTATCTTTTGTACATAAACTGCCCGTTAAAGCACCACTTAATGCCCGAGTATAAAAATCATCGTTTTTTCTTACAGCTTCAATAACAGTCTCTGCTGTAGAATAAATTGCACAAATCTTTGCAACATCTTTTCCTGATTGATGGACACTTCTGATAGATGGTTCTTTATTTCCTGTAAAAAGTCCCATCATGCATCCAAAAATGTATCCTTGTAGCGTATTTGATACACCTTTTATTATTTTAGGTTTAAGACGATTTATTTTTTTTAAAATTACACTCATAAAAGGGTGTGGAATAAATTTGCAAAATGCTTTTATAAATTTGTATTTTACTGTTATTTCGTACAAAGTAAAAACATAAATTCAATGAAGTAGTTATTTATGTATTTGTGATATTACAGCCATTGGAAGTTAAAATTTATTTTCTGTAATTCCTATCTTTAAAAATAAATTAAAATAATTGACATGTGGGGAATTATACCACAATGTTGAAAGCTTGTTTGCTTTTAAATACATTTTTATTCTTATAGATTTTTGTAATGTTTTTTAAATTTGTTTGTAAGATCTAAAAAATGTTCTTTTATATTGTTAATTGTCATTTACAACTTATAAACTAAATGATCAAGAAAAATCACTATAATGTAAGTTAAGTGCAAAATTTATACAATTCTTACTTTCCGTCATAAGGGCATATAGTTTAATATTAGTATATTTACTACAATGTAGTAAATATATAAAAATGTAAAAGGTAAAATGCATATCTTATATGGTTTTTAAAATAAAGTATTTTTTTATTAAAGTACAATAATTGCTTATATAAATATCCTCTTTCAAATTTTTGTTTTTTTTAAAGATAAAAAGTTATCACTGTGCCATGCTCATTTATTTTACCTAATTACTAATATTTAGCTTTATTGTAAAGCATAAGGTATAAGTTAAAAGTAAAATATTTTTTCTTAAAATTATAACTATAGCGAAATGTATTTATAATCCAAAGTACTGTCAATAATCTCAAAGCATATTTAAATTATTTAGAAATAAACATAACATATCATTTTATAAGTTATTGTCATAAAATGTATCCTTGTTACATTCACAATCTTCATTTAAGTTAAAAAAATTTATTCGTAAAACTGTCAAATTTAAATAAACCATTTTTTATATTAATTTTATTACAAGAAATTTTCTAAAAATTTCCCAAAATTATAAACATTTACTGTACAACAGGTTAATGTATTTAACTTGCTCATTTTTTTATATTAAATTTAACAATTAAAATTAACCAATAGTTGTATGCTTCAAAATTATCTTTTAATCACGAAATTACTTCAAATGTTATGATTAATTAATAAAACAAATTTAAAAAAATTATAAAAATAATATAAATTTACAAACAAATATGTGTATAATTTATTTTTTTAATTTTATTTTACCCCTCTAAACATCTCATTTGTTTGAGATGTAAACATTGGTGTTTTAATTATTGCCATTTTATGTATTTTTAATTTATTTCTAATTTATGCAGCATAAATAGAAAATTAATTTTTTTTTAATTATTTGCTCCTATGCAATATTTAAAATTACATCATGCTGTTTTAGTTATGATGGAAAAAAACATAAATGTTAAATATACATCCCCTTTATATGAATAAGCTTTTCGGTTATATACAAAATTATGAAGATGCTTTATTAATGGTACATGCAACACGCTTAGGTTATATTACACCAGTAACACAAAGATTAAGAACTGACGAAAGGGACTCTTTACGGTCAGGAGATATATTTGTTTTTATCGAAACGGAAAATGGAATTAAAAGATGGACAGATGGTAAAATTTGGTCTCCATCAAAGATAAATGGACAATTTTTATTGTACAAAGAAGTGCCCAGACATTTAAGTAAATCTGCAATAAAAAAATGTAGTTTACAAAAAAATCTCAGTAAAGACCAAATAGCCAAACTTCATAAAGAAATTAGGGAAGATGATAAACTTGGATTTCACAAAAAAACAATAAGTATTGTACATGAGGGTAAAACATATCACATTATTGGATATTACAGACCAATCTTTTCGAAAGAAGCTTTGATTAATATACCATTTTTTAATCAAATTGATTTTTCCTTAAGAAAATATCCTGGTTTGCTTTCTGATAAATTTTTAAGTAAAGAAATTTCAGATAAAAATTTTTTTAATAAATTTGACCTACCAAATAAACCTAATTCATCAATATTTTCTGAAGCTAAACGTCTTCAACTGGAAAAAATAGCTTTTTGCGTTTTACATGAATGGGTACTCTATAGAAGTAAGGAAAGCGGACAAAGAAAAGTGAATGAACACAAATAGATTTAATAAATTTTTATATTATTTTTTAATTACAGTGATGTTAACACTTAGATATTTTTTATAGATTTAGCCAAAAATAAAAATTTTTTAAAAATACATTTAAAATTTTTATAATTTAATTAATTTTAAACACAACATTAAAAAGTGTTGTAAAGAGGAAATTATTTTTTAAAAATACAAGAGATTTACAAATAATGTAGAGCTTCGTGTCACAAAATTATTAAAAACGATTTTCTATCCATTTTTTACGATTGCAATCATTTATTTTTAATATGAAAAAAAGCATAATTTGAAAGTTTTAATCATCTTTGTCAATGTACTAGTATCACCACTATTATTATAATCTGTGGAAATATTTTTTTATTTTAACACAATGCAGGGAATGGCAAATAATACAAAAGTGTTGTTAATATTTATATTGCCTAGTTAATTTTTTTAAAAATTAAAAGTAAGATGCTTTTTGTTAAAAACCATTATTTGTTAATTATTTTTTTATTCAAAAATTTTCATCGTTTATTATCGTATTTTACATTACAGCCTTTTTTAAACTTAGGGTTGTAAAAAAAAGCCGACATAAAAGTAATTATAACTTTTTAAACCGAATATTACTTACATTATAAATTACAAGGTCAATACTAGCTCTAAAAACGTGTAAAATTATATCACACTCTCTTCCAATGCATGTAGAAATATTTTTGTAAACATCATCACACTCCTTCGCAAAAAAGTTTTCAAATAAAAAAAAGTCTTTGTAGTTTTCAATATTAATTGTAATAGGATATTGATTTTCAATACAATTAGTATTTACATAGCTTATATAATAATCAGAAAATTCTTTATGATCGTTTATATCTTTAATTTTTGCAGAAATTAAAAATTTATCACTTTCGTTAATAACAAGTCTATTACAATATGTTTCTAATTCTTCTAACTTAATTTGTTTTGGACAAAAAAAATGTGTAAGGGTAAATTTTTGGCTATTAATGATATCAAATGATTCTTCAAAATCATCAAAAGAGTCAGGTAAGAATCCAAAGGCACTTTCAATAAATGTATTTTCACATAAAATTGAGTTGTTTCGTTTTTGAGATTTAATATTTTCAATAATATCGGGTGACATTTTGGTATCAGGAGTAACAACCTCCAAATTTACTGTCACTGTATTATCATCTATTAGATGCATAACGTCTTCATTACTTAAATTTATTAAACTGGTGTTAATTTCTAAATCAGTATTTTTATCGTTCATACAAGAATTTTTGCTTCGTTTCTGTTGGGTATCATCTTCAAAAATATCTTCGTGCTTTCTTTTATATGGCGTTTCGTGCAAAAACGTAGAACAAAGTTCGTTAAATTCGTTTATATCTTCATATTTAAACTGTGTAAATATTGTAGAAATGTAAAATGTAGCATTTTGTCGCGTTATCTGACGAAGATTTGTAATTTCAATACGATTACCAGCTTCTATATTATAAAAGTTTAGATCTGAGTTATAAAACAACACCACCTTTACATCTTCAACCATTAAAAGATAGTATTCACTGTAGCCATGATTACTTTTTCTATTTAGTACACTTCTGTATTTTATAAATCCAGAAATATTTTTAAAGTGTTCAATATTTTTAAAAGTTTCTTTTGTATTAAGTCCTGGCAATTTGAATAATTCATGTACAGTTAACTCTTTGACATTAAAAAATCCCATTTCGCTAAATTCGTTATGTTCAATATGTCCTTGTGGTGGATAGCCTTTACCCGCTCTAAATTTTGTTATACCAATAAAATCTCCAACATTTAAAGATGAATATTTTAGATTTTCCTTCCAAATTATTATTTTAAATAATTCGTTATCTGTTTCTAATATGAAAAATAGATATTGAGATGTATTAGTGACATTTATACGTGTTTTGTATATAATTTTACCAGATATAACAGGCTTTATCGATTCTGGTAGAAAGTCTACCTCTTTATCATAATATGGCAGTGTATCAGTAATAAATGGTAAAAGTGTATATTTATGATAAATATAGTCAAGATAATCATATTTAAATTCAGACGTATCAGATTCAGTACCATTTTCAACAGTTTCAAATTTTATTCCGTTTTCTTTGTTGTTATCTGTTATATAAATTATATCATATTTGTAGACATAGCCCTGTAAGATTTTGGCGTAAAGATTCTGATTAACTTTGTAAAGATCTTTTTTGGTTAGAATGAAAAATGTAGATGGAATCTTTTTTGATCTAAAAATTTCTAATACCTTTAAATATGTATTCTCTGTCATTTAAAGGGTAAAATTTATATATAATTTTTACTTAAGAGTTAAAAATATAAAAAATAAAACATGTCAAACTTCTCAAAACGTTGAATATCATCTTTAAATACGTTTGCGGCCCGTCATATTTCAATTTATATTAAAGTGCGAAAAAAATATATTTATGTGGCGCATTTCTTTTTATCGTCTCACAAAATTTTAATAAAATTTTACCACAAAATTAAAAATGAGCTGTAATACAACAAAATACATTATTAATACAGAAAGCATTTATTTTTTTTTATAATCCAATTTTGTTTCTAATTTCTTCGATTCTGCTATTTTACGCGCCGCTTTAATAAAATCTTCTTGCACTGCATAATCTCTATCCTCTCGAATAGCCATCATACCTGCTTCAGTACTAACATTCCTTAAATCTGCTCCGTTAAAATCTACAGTTAGTTTAACAAGAACATCGTAATCAATTTCTCCAGAAATTTCCATATCCTTACTGTGAATTTTCAAAATTTCTCTGCGACCCTCTTCATTTGGTAGAGGTATTTCTATTTTACGATCCAATCGTCCAGGTCTTAAAAGTGCAGGATCTAATATATCAGGCCTGTTAGTAGCCATAATAACTTTAACATTATCTAACTCTTTAAATCCATCAAGTTGATTTAATAACTCCATTAAAGTTCTCTGTACTTCTCGATCAGACGAACTTGATTCAGAAGACCTTTTACCTCCAATTGCATCAATTTCATCTAAAAAAATAACACAAGGGGCCTTCTCTCTTGCATATGCAAACATTTCTCGGATCATTCTACTCGACTCTCCAATGTATTTTTCTATTAAAGCTGATGCTACAACTTTTAAAAAATTACAATCCATAGTAGCCGCTGTAGCCCTGGCTAGTAAAGTTTTTCCAGTACCAGGTGGTCCATAAAGTAACACACCTTTAGGTGCTTTTATTCCTACACGCTTATAAATTTCTGGATTTTTTATCGGTAATTCTATGACCTCTTTAAGTTCACGTATTTGATTTTTCAATCCACCCACTGACTCAAATCCAATGTCTATAGGTTTATCCTCACTCATGCTATAGACCATAGGATCTACTTCTCTAGGTAAGACATGCATAATAGTCAATGTTGTGATATCAAGAGCTACTCTTGTACCTGATTTTAATAAAGATCTGTCAATATTCTTCATACATCCGACGACATATCTAGGACCCTGGCTGCTTTTAACAATAAACCGTTCATCAGTAATTTTCTTAAGAACTTCACCTACAATCTGACCTATAGTCTGTAATGCTTTAACATCTTTTTCTGATTTAATAAACTGCTTATTTGTCTGTTTGTAAATTTCTTGTTCCATTTTAAGGTTATTATAAACATTCTCATTTTCCTTAAGTGCTTTTAAATAATTTTCATAAACCCTTCCACTGTCCATAGGGGCGAAACAAAAAAAAATATTTTAACATAAAAGCAATAGATTTATTTTTTAATAACGTGGTAAAAGGTTACAAATAATTTTTATTTAAATCTTTAATAAAGCTAAACAAAGTTTATACTTTTAGAATAATTTAAAGAAATAATCATCATTTTCATCTTCATTTCTTAACAAATTACTATTATTTATACTACTTGTATTAATCTGACACATTCTTGATATTTCTGTATCGTCAAGACTTAAAGAATAAATATAATAGAGAAAAACATTTAACGGAATTAATTCTTCTGCGTATCCATCAAAGTTTATTTTCTTATCGTTGTAAATTAATCTAACGTACTTTTTGGTTGATTTACACCACAATTCTATAAAAATAGCAGAAGCATACGGAGGCCATTTTTGAATATCAGAAGTTAAGGCTGCAAGGATCATTGCTATACTTCCATCGTGTGCTGAAATAAGGCTTAAAACTGACTCTGATTGCAGTTCATCTATAAGCTCAAATCCAAATCTACCGAATAAGATGGTTTTAGACATGTCGTTTTTTATAACATTACTCATCTGTTTAGACCAATTGTCAAAGGATATTTTAATTATTTTATTAAATACATCATCTTTATTTTTTAAATTAATTGTTATGTTATTACACATTGCACATTTCAATTCATCTGAAAAATAAGATAATTTTTTTCCATTTAAAATACCCAATTTATAAAATAAATTAAATGTCTTTATACTTATTTTGAAATCTAAACTCATTTGCTTTTCTAAGTACATACACTTTTTTATTTTCATTAATGGATCAGTATAAGGTATAGGACGTATATGCCTTATACTTTTAGTTTTGGCTAGTCCATTCATAACACCCATTAATGTAGAGTGTGTTCTGCCAATTTTAGTGACTCTATACGAAATATATTCTTTATGTAAATTATCAGGAAATAGTAGCTTTTGATAATTCTTTTTTATAAATCCGCCAAGTTTCTGTGCCTGGTCGTATCCTTTAGATGTTAATTCTCCCTCTTCACATTTTTTTTTCTGACAATTATTTATTTTTTCACCTGTAAAGTTGCATTTTATGCAATTTTTATTTTCCCAATCAGAGTAATAATTTTTAATGGGAGCTCTGTCTCCATGTCTGAAAATTACTATTAATTTTTCGAGATGAAAATTGGGAGGTTTACCAAAAAATTTATAGTCAGCATTACAGTAACCCATGAAATCCTTTGATGACACTTTTGAATTTTGATTTGCAGATTTATTGTTATTATAGTTCCATTCTAGTGTGTTTATTAAATTTGTAAATAAAAGACATAACATAAATTTCATGGTTTTGTTTTTATAATGTAATGTATTAAAATGTTTCAGAAATATTAATAAATCTAAGACTTAAATATTTTTTAAAATAACTTGGTTTTTATAAAATTAAAGTGTTAATGAGAGAAATTTTTTGTTATTTTCTTTTTTTTATAAACACAAAAAGATGAAATAGAAAATGGCTTGCTACATTTAATATTAAAATTTAGCATATAATTAATGCTTTAAAATAGTTTAATAATATATTAACATGTAACATTAAATAATAACCAAATATTAGTAATTATTTATTGGTTTAAATAAAAACTAGTGAATTACAACATTTAATTTTGTGTTTTTATTTTTTATAGTTTTTAATAAATGTAAAATGTAAATTAGATAAATTTTATATACTTGGCATAAAAAAGCATATTAGAGAAAGTTATACGTTGTGTATAATTAATTAAACTTGAATATTTATTTAATGCTCATATCTGATGCAAATTAATGAAGTTATATCAGTAAATATAATTTGCAATCTTAATATTTCTTCACGTGCCTATTTATATAACAGAAGAAAAAATTTCTATCATATTGAACTTTTTAGATAAGCAATTTTAATGTTGTTAAAAGAAATTTTATTATTTTTAACATTAGAGTTGTATACCTTTCATTAAAATGTTTGCAAATTGGTACAAAATTTATGACAAAACTTTACAAATTGTCATTTTGTTATTTTTTAAGTCAACTATCTTTTTATTATTGTTAGTAAGAAATTGTCTTTTTTTACATCGTTAATAATGTAGGCATATAAACCCACGCTAGTAAAATCAAAATTCTTAGTCTAGTAACATACAATAACATAATAATATTGTTATTGTTAAAAAATGTTATCTAGGTTATTTTTTAATTTTAAAATTAACATTAAAAATTAAATATTAATTTTAAATGTGTCATTTTTAATTCTAAAAATGCAATAAAAACGTATATTCTCTATGAAACAATTTTGTTACTATTAAAAGCTAATGTTAGTGTTTCTATGAAATTATTTCACCCAGTAACTTTTTACTAAATTTCATTGGTATATTTTTTTTTTATATTTAAAATATTAAATTATTAATGCACATACACTACAAGAATATGTCTATGTTCAGTAAATACAATACTAGTACTAGTTTTTTAGATAGCATATGTTATATACATTTATTGTGTGCAGAAAAATGTCAGTGCCCGAAAATTTCACTTGGACGCGTAAAAGAACTAGCAGAACGCTTTGAAACTGAAAGTATAAAAAACCTAAAATTATTTAAAAAATTTGAAACACAAAATGCTTTAAAGAAAAAACAAAAACAACCCAAAATTTTTAAAGAAAAAGTTTTATGTGAATGTAAACATGTTAGTGTTCTAGAGAAAGTAAAATATTATGAAAAAATAATAAATAATAAATAAATATTGTTTAATTAACAAAGTTGTAATCTTGCTATTTTTCTTTGTTCTTCTGTAAAATTCTCCTCGTCATAAATAAATGGTACATTAATAAGCATATCTTTCAATTGTTCAAGTACATACTTTTTTACAGGTTTAAAAGACTTATCATAGTACATTCCACTGACATAAAAAAACCCTTTAGTCCATGTTAAAATATTTTTAGAATAATCTAAAACATAAAAACTAGCCTCTTTTTGTATTTTATTTATAAAAGTAAGATCATTGCAGTTAACAAAAATACTTTTATCATGAAAATCCTGTGTACAAGTAACAGTATAATCTGAATAGTACTTTTTAATAAAAGTAGTCACACCACTATATTTTTTTGTACCGTATAAAAAAATGTATTTTGACTTTTTAGGTACAAAAGTAATATTAAGTTTCTCGGGTAAATAATCTGTAACGTTAAAATGTTTAAAATAACATTTTTCTTTTTTGTTAAGAAAATATTGTTCAGGTGTGTAAAATTTAATCTTACAATTGTACGCAAATTTAATATCGTGATACGCCGAATAACAATTCGGTCTAGGACCAGCAGCATCTCCTACATAGAATACATTTTGTGGTGTAACTCTAATTAACTTAAGTATATAGTCATATATTCCTGTACATGGCTTTCTGTATTTATTACGACCAAGAACAATAAAAATTAACCAGGGAAGTTTGATATCGCATACAAATTTATGAATTTTTTTTTTGATTTTTTCAATTTCATTTGATTGATTAGCTAGTGATTGATTTGACACAATAAAGAGTTTATAGCCAGTAGAATGAAGTGTTATAAGCATATTAGGAATACAAGGATACATGTATTCAAATTTCTCAATATTACTATCATAATATTTTAAAAGAGTAGAATCTAGATCAAAAAGCGCCAACTTAGTTCCATTATTAGCATCAAAATTGTAATCAATAATTAATAAATGATCCAAGGAAGTAATCTGAGGGTGTAAGTTTGCCTTTGTATATATTTCTGAGGACATTTAAAGGGATTTAAAAAGAGAATACAGAAATAATAATTATTTATAATATGAATATAAGCCTTTTATTGGATTAAATATTTATTTACATTTTTTAGACTTTTCAAGTTCGCTGTATGCTACTAGCCATTATTTTAAAAATTTTAATAAATATTTACTTTTTGTGGTGCAATCAATTTAGATTTTGACATAAAAGACAATAAATTTGTAAGTCTATATGTTTGTATATACCAAAAATTTAAAAATTTATTAATTAATAATTAGCCATTTTATTTGATAGAAATGGTGGTTCTAAGAAATCATGTTTTTTTTACAAGTCTTCCCAATTTAACGGTTTTTAAATGAAAAAAGCTAAAAGTTAATGAAAATAATCTTAAAGGCATTTCTTATTTTAAAGTACAAAAATAACTTTTAAACATTCATATATTGTTAATAAAACACTCTTTAATGACCGTAAGACACTTAAGTTAAAATCTTTTAAGCATAGAAAATAACTATGCAAACAAGTAAAAATTGTCATAAAGTGACATGATTTTTTTGACATACACCAAAATAATATTTTTAAAAAAATTGATGCGTAATAAATTTAATTAAAAGAAATCATCATCATCTCCGAATAAATTAACTTCTACTACTTCTTCCTCCTCTTCCTTAACTTCTTCTTTCTTTTCCTCTACTTTTGTAGTTTCAGCTTGTGGCTGCGAAGAAGCAACTTGTAATGCGATAGATTCAATGATACTATTTCCTTTAGACAAAATTTCTTCTACGCTCATATCACTAGTTTTATTAATAAAAGCAACAAGTGTATCTTCATCTACAGAAGCATTAATAGCAGAATATAATTTCCTGTAATTTTCTTCTGTTTTCTGAGTTCCGGTGCATTCAAACATCAAACAAGCACTAACAAGATCCATTTTAAGGGGTGAAAAAATTAGAATAACAAAAATTAAAAATAATGCATATAAATATAAATTATATGCAATTTATAAGAATGCTTCTTATTTTAGTGTTATTTATTAAAATCTGTTGTGTATTGTAAGTAAGTTAATTGTTATAAAAGATAGGAAATTGATATGCTATTTCTTTTTATATTTTTAAAAAATTTTAAGATTATTTTTTAAGAATAAAATAACAACGTTTTGGTAGATAAAAGTCACTATTATTGTATTTGTAGATAGAACTAAAACATATAATATCTTTTTATACTTTCACACAAAAACGAGTATTCTTTTTTAATTAGAAAATACCTAAAAAGTGTATTTACTTTACTGTCAAATGTTGTAAATTTAATAAAAAAAGAATAAAGGTTACTTTTTAATAAAAATAATAACAATTACAACTTATTTTATAAGTTATTAAAAATACATGTTAGAAAATAATAAAAAATTAATTAATATTTACAATTATAGTAACTTGTTATTCTTTCAATTTTTTAAAGTTTCTTCATTTCTTTGTTGTAAATTCAAGATGGTATTTTTTATATGCATATTTTAATAAAAATTATCATATCATCTAAAATAATTATACCTTTTATTTATGTTCATACAATTTATAATTTAAGATAAATTTGTTAAAATATATAAAAAGTTTGAGTCTTCAAATATTTTTTTTTCATTTTTATGCCTTATGGAAACTCTTACACTTAAAAAAATAGATCTTAAAGATACCGTCCGTAAAGCTCTTGATCCTTTTGAGTTTGAGTTAGAAATGCATTGTAAAGAAGATTTGGAAGAAAAGGTAATATTTACTATATTTTATACTGTAAATGTAAGTAATGAGAATGAAGATCAAGTATTATCTGAGACAGAAATTTTTCCAATTCCAAAAGGTAACATAAAATTTACTCTTGAAGCTGATGCACCCGACATAAAAGTTATTCCTTATGATCAATTATTTGGTCTTACTTCTATTATTATTGTAGGAAAATATAAAGAAGAGCAATTTATAAGAATAGGATATATTGTAGATGTATACTACCCTGGAATACCAAATGATAAGCTTTTATACAATGATGATGATGCAGAAGATATTAATGATGAAGATATGGAAGAGGAGGAAGACGAAAATGGTAATTTGGAAGATTTGGTTGTTGAAGATGAAGAATGTGAAGAAAAGGAAATTGTAGAAAACATAAATGAATCTTGTAGCCAGGACGAGGAAGATGACACACCCAGGTCATTTACAGATGCTATGGTAGAAAAAGTTACTAATAATGAAATGAGTAATAGTGACGAGATACAACCTGAAGAATTTAATCAAGTAAATGAAGAATTAGAAAAAACGATTACGGAAGAAAAAAATCAAGAAGATGTTTTTGAATACAAAGGACATAAAATTAATTATAATTTTATCGAACTAAATGTAATGGTACCGCCTAGTATTCATACATTTTTAATACAATGGAAAAATGAGCAGAATGATTTAAGTACTGAAGAGGAAGTTAGTAAAAAAATAAAAAGAGAAGAATAAAAATTATTTTATGTTTATTTTACAATTATATTATTTTTATTGTTTTTTTATTTATTTTTGTATGTTAAAGACGATATTAAATTACATATGTTTATAGTAAAATGCTTTTTTGAGCACTAATGGTCTAGTGGTATGACAACAGCCTTCCAAGCTGTTGGCCTGGGTTCGATTCCCGGTTAGTGCATATAATTTATTTTATAATTTTTTAAGTAACCCGTAAATAATTTTTTATATTCTTTCAATTACAAATTATCTGTGAGAGTATTATACATACGTCCGTAGATATAAAGAGCTATGTAAATTATTACAAAAAAGTGTATCTTTATTTTCTTATTAATTTTACATTTTTTAAATTTAACTCTTAGCTTCCATTTACTTTAAACTGAATAAAATGTAATTTTATATTATTTTTTCAAACATTACGTCTTAAATCAATAAAATAAGTTAATAATACATATATTAGTTTATTAGTTTAAAAAATAACAAGTTTTTTCAAAATTAATAAAAACTTTTTCTATAATCTTTATTCAATTTAATGTATAGAAATATATTTTTTACCCCATGAATCTTGATTATTTGGCCCTTAAAAAGTCTCCTTTTTTGATAAAAAAATATGTAAAAAATATGCATAAATTACCAGCAGATCTACAAACAAAGGTCGCTTTATACAAAATTGTAGAACACGATAAAATGAAGTTTTTGCATTTTATTCCCGATTCCCTCTTACAAACTTTAAAAATACAGAATGATAAAAAACTTTATAGTCTTAAATACTTTCTTAAAGTAGAAATTAATGACAAACAGCTTGATAAACTTATCGATTTAATAAATCGACAAGATCATCTGGCTATACTTTACCATTTAGATAAATTATCTACAGATATTTCTTATGTATTTGTGTGTAGAAGAATATTAAAAATGCATAAATATAATGAGTTTAAAGATATGAAAATTTATCTTAAAAATAATATTTATGTTCCAAAAATCGTAGCACGATTTCTCAATTTTTACAAAAGATTTTTACCTCCCAATTTTGTTGACATTGTTTTGTCATCAGGTGTTGATATTTCTTATTTTATTAATCTTATCTCGTCACTACGCCCCGACTTACAGTTTATTGATATTAAAGAGGATCTAATGAAATTTGATTTGTTTAGGAATGCAGCTATTAGTCAAGGATTTGGTGAAAATAAGTTTCTTGTAAAATATGTGAAAAGTGATGATTTTGAATTTTATTTAAGAATGCATAATTTATCTTTAGATGAATACAAAAATAATGGTATAAAAATAGATCACAACTGGTATCCACATATGAAGATTTATAATTTACTTAAGGGGATTCCATGTTTAATAAATCCGCATAAAAAGTATAATTCAGTTAATACTGAGCAGATAAGTTTAGACAAGGATACTTTTTATAAAACATATAAAAAAGTTAATTTAATGTCAATGTTTAATAGAGATGTAGATATTCTTTTATTAGAAATTATTGTTAATGTTTTGTGCTTTTTTAATGATACTACTTCATTAGATAAAATATTTTACTACAATAGAATATTTAAAGTTTTAGATGAGTCACTTTATTTTTCATTAATTAATTTTAACTTGGTTGATTATTTAAAAACAAATTTAGAAAAAATTGATAAAATACCAGATGACTTTTTAATTAGAGATTTTAAAATATCTGATATTGAAAAATACGAATTTACCAACTTAAAGAAAGAAATGATTGATAAGGCTATTTATATTCCTACTGAAGAATTAGTAAATATAATAACAAAAAAATTTGAGGATGAAAGAAAGATCTATTATGAAATTTTACTTAAACAAAGTTTTAATCAAAAGTTACATAAATGTGATATTAAGATTTTTAACATTGAAAGTAATGATACTAATTTAATACAGTATAAACAAAATATTTTAAAAACAATAGAATCTGATTTTATTTATGAAAAATTAAAAAATACAGATTTATTTTTTAAATATTGCATAAATCACGAAAAATATGCATTGAAGTATTTGGAAAATATTAACTGTCATGAATGTACATTAGAAGAAGGAAAAAATATTTTTACAATATTAAATATTTATAAAAGTGCACATTATATGATTTGTAAAAATAAAGGTAATTTGATTTATAAGGTGTCTACAACATCTTTTAAAGATTTAGATTTACTTACAGATGACAAAATAGGACTAGTAAGTATTATTTATCATGTTAGATATGATGAAGGTATTTATTTTTTTTATAAATACAGTGATCGGTTAATATCTCATTATATTATTCAGAATCTAAATTTAACTAAAGATAAAACATCTTCTAGTTTTTTATATATGAATTATTTATCAAACAAATATTTGTTTCATTCACTAAATGTATCTGATAAAGATTTTAAATACATTCTTAAGTTTATACCTACACTTGATAATAAATACATCAAAATATTAATAAATTTACTAAATGACACCAATATGTCGTGTGTTTTAGAAAGTAAAAGATTATTAAATAGTATGCATTGCATAAATCAAGATATAAATTCTATAAAATCTCAAATTATAGAATCTTTTATAGATAAAATTAATGTTAATAATACATTACTTAGTATTCTTTCCTTACAGTTTAATTACATGATTGATGATACAAGTCTTATACTTATTTTAGAATTAATTAGAAGATATATTAAAGAATATAAAGAGTATATATTTATTATATTGAGTAAGATACAACAGATAGTAATAAATAAAGATCTGTTTAAAAAAGAGGTTTTTCAAATAATAAGCTTATTTGTGATACAGAATAACTTTTACACCGAAGAATGTATTAATATTGTAAGATTAAATATAAATAATTTGTCAATAGATTCATTAGATTTATTATTTAAAAATATAGACAATGATCTTAGAATTGCATATTTTCTTGTAGAAGTTTTAAAGATAATAAATAATGATGATTTGAATAAGCAAGTTATTTTTAAAGATTTAGATAATAATACAGTGTTAAGTAGTAGACCCAACTTTTTAGCATATGCTTTTGACTTGGAAATATTTTATAAATATTTAGACAATTATTTTCCTGTTTTAAAACAGATTTATTGTACTAAAGAAAACAAGATTGCAGTGCATGCATTTTCTAAATTAATTTATAAAAAAAATGACCAATCTGAAGATAATACAGAACATAATGATATTGTTTTTAAATTTGTATCTCATGAATCATTTATTAATTCTAGTACTCGAATGTCTTGTGTTGAAATATTATCCAAGCAAATTCTTACTAACAAGATATGTACATTACTGTATATTTATAAATACGATGACAACGGATTAATAAGAAAAAGAGTTAGTGAAATTTTAAAAAATAGAATAGAAAATTATAACATTTTAATAAGATCTATTTATAAAGATATTTTAAAGTATCTTAATTACTATTATTATTACATACCAGATATTTCTAATAATGTTATTAATGAATTAATTACTAAATATATTAATATTTTTGATTTAAAATACTGTAAAAGATACACAAATATATATCCTCTTTTACTACTACATGGCATAAAGAAAAATAAACTTATTACTGAGTGCAAAGAATATTTAATGGAAATAAATGTGGATAACACATTAATAACAGAAATTGATGGTAATACGTTAATAAAAGAAATGGGAGACAGCGCATTAATAACAGAAAGTAACATAATAATGCCAGGAAGTAACACATTAATAACAGAAATCGGAGATATTTTGTTAGAGAAGGATAAAGAATTTATGCTTAAATATTTAACAGAAAGACTACATTGTAATAGTGTATTTAAAATCATAGAAAATAACTATTATCTTGTTTATACTTTATTGATGTATAATAACGATCTTATAAATAATTTAGATTTATTAAAATTACTTAATGAAAATGATAAAAAAACACTTTTTGAATACATTACAAAAAGTAATAAAGATTATACTGAGTCAATGGCTTATTTATTACAGAATACTACAAATATAAATATTTCTGATTGTGATATTGAAATAATTTACTTATATCTGTGTAACTGTAATAGTACAGATATAAATTTATATAAAAAAGTATTTAATAGATTGAATAATGCAAAATTACAAAAACTTATAATTAGAAGAAATTATAAATATATTTTAGATGTGTCATATAAAAATATTACTGAATATGAGAATCTTATTAAAATACTTACTAGTAAAAATAACATACAAAGTATTGATAGATTGTATGAAATTTATGGTTATGTAGATAATAAAAGCAAGGAAAGAATTGTTGACTATTTTATTTATAATTTCTTAATATACGAACATAGAGGAACAATAAGAAGTATTTTTAGTAAAATCGATTACATTGGTGGGTATAAAAAAGATTTAATTTTAAATGTAATTCTTAATGTAGAATAAATTATTTTATTTCAAGTTTTAGTGATTTATGTAATATTTTGTATATTAACAAACAAATAATACCAAATATTTTCAATTGTCTTTAGCTTTGTTTAGTTGATATTAATTATCAATGCCAAGTATTCTTCAATAATTTTATAATAAATTGCTATCACTAAGTAATTTAAATTATATTGTTAATTCTTTTATATGTTTATCTATATTTTCTTCTTTCTCTAAATTTACAGGCATGTAAAAAAAGTATCTTTTTCTACTAAACAATATATAACAGCTATATAATAAATATAACCCTCTTACAAACCAGTAATTTCTTCCTAAACAAAATATTAAACATATTACAATATCTGAATAAGAATATATAAACCAGTTGTAAAGTATATTGAAATAGTAAAATATCTGATTTTCACCACACATATGAAATAGAATAAGAAATAAAAGTATGATACGAGATGAATAAACATTTTCTAACCGTCTGTTTAAAGTAAAATTTTTATAAAACATATTCCTTATAAACTTTTTACTATCATTTTTACATTTTTTACAGAATTTTAGTTTAGCAAAATAATCTGAAAAAGATGTAGATCTTATAATATATTTACTATTTTTGTAGTATCTAGTACATAAAGGACATAGTTTATCTGATATAGATAAAAATTCTAAATCATCCATCTCTACTGATAAATATTTTTGTTCATTGTTATTTACAATAGTAAAATGGGATCTACACACAGAACAATAATTTTTAATAACGTTTGTGCCACAATATTGACATTTGTATGTATCTGAACTATTTAAAAAAGAACGGAGAATATTATTCATTCAGGGGTATAAAAAAATGTATAAATTATTAATAACGTAAATATTATATTAATAAGATAAATAACTTAGTATTAGTGAAAAAATATTTAATAATATTATTATAAAAATAGCTGTGTGTCTTTGTGTATTGACAAAGATGTTACACCGATGTATTTGACAAAAAACATTTTTAAAAACTAAAGTTATGTTTTCATTTAACAATAATATTTACTCTTACCATATTAAAGTACTAAATAGAATAAAATTTAAGTAAATTTAACTTTTTAATTACCAAAAAAAAGGATATATTGGGTATAGTACTTATATTATTGTAATAAAAATAAGATGAAAATAATTTATACAAACATTTACAAATTTATTTAAACACATATTGTAATTGACAATAACATTGTTTATTTTACTTAATTCTTTCATGATAAAACTGGAGGTTATAGTTAAAATAAATACATGAATGTACGATAGTAATATTTTTAAAAAAACATATTTTTTGTTAAAATTTATGTAATCACTAAACTTCTTTTAATAAGACTTAATCTTTAAACATAATAAATTAAAATAACTTACTTTGGTAATTGTGGTATTATTTACCACATGTCAAATATTTTAATAAATTTAACTATAAATATTTATGTTATTTATATCAATCAGAAACACAGAAGAAGAAGAAATTTTTTTAAAAAATTATTGATCTGCAGTCTGTAATACCACAATAACAAAAGTTAAAATGTAAATCATAAATGTTTATTTAATAAAATTAGGTTAAATATTGCAATATAAAATTTTTATGAGTAAATGTTTATTGTTAAAACTTAAAAATAATTTTTTTGCATAAAAAAAAATAATTTTCATTTATAAAAAATTATTTTAAAAGTTTTAACAATAAACTAAAATTTATTGAATAAGCAATTCTGTATTGGCATCATTTATACTATCGAATACAATTGTACCAATATGTTGTCCTAAATGTAAATGACTATTTTGATCATCCTCTCTGTTCAAAAGATCAATCCTGTTTCTTTCCTTCATTTTAATTTTTTCGGCCATAAAAGCGTCAATGTATTCATTTAACCTATTTAATTTATCAGGATGAAATAATTGCATTATTTTTTTTTTACCGTTTTTAGTAACTTTAAGATCAATACTATTGAATGTATCTTTCCACAATTTTAAAAAAACCTCATTACGGGGCTTATATTTCATAAGAATGCTTATTCTGTAAATAAGATTTTTAGAATAATTTGCTATTTCTTTTATAAAGTTATCTAATTTAGCTTTACGCTTTGGCATCTTTTGATGAAATATAAACTTTTTTACGTACCTTTTAAATAACTTCATATATTTTTTTTGATTGTCAAAGACCAATGATTTCGCAAATGGCAATGTTTTAGAAAAACTTTCATTACCAATTATCAAATAAAATAAATTTTCTGAGGCACGCAATACATTTTTTTTCGAGGGAATTTCAAGTGCATTAAAATCAAATAAAAAGTCCCTATCTGAAAAATTAAGGTAATTATGTTCAGCTTTTAGCATTTTATTTTTTTGATCTTTTGCTTCATCATTTTCGCCAGAATTAAAATCAATGAAATATACATTTGGGGGTTCAGACAAAAGTTCCTCTTTATCATCAAAATTTGCTGAATGTTTTTTTCTAATTAAATTCTTATGATTTTTTTTAACAGCCAAGAATAACTGACCATAGTAAACGCCTTGTCCTGCACTTTTTATACTGATAAAAAAAAGAAAAAGTAAAATCATGTACTAATTGGGGGTTATATTCTTTTTTATTTTTATATTAAAAAAAAATATTATTAAAATTACTTTTTTGATGTATACGGTGCATTTTAGAATATTTTAAAATGTTCAAAGTGTACGTATATTTAATGTTACAAATTAAAATATAAATTAAAAATTAAAAATTATTTTTTATTTATTGTTAAAATAAACGAATTATCTTAAATCTTGGCTTTTATAAGCTGATTAGTAAGGTTTAATCACTGGTAGTCAAACATACTTAAGATCTGTCATTTTAAACTATTTTTTATATTTGTATATTTTTTCGTTTATTTACAATAAAAAATAAAAATTGCATAAATAATTTGTAAATATGAAACAAACAAATTTTAATTAAAATTTAAAAAATTTCAAAGGTATTAAAATTTAATATTGTTATTAAGATTTTAGACTATCTTTATAAGGTTAAGATTGATGGTTTGACATTTCGCTCTTAAAAAATTTCAAAATTAAAACTTATGTTTCTAGTAACAATTCTGACAGAAACCTCAGTTATCGTTTTACATAGAAACCATAAAAGAATTTTATAGTTCACAACAGTTTTATAAACAAGTACAAGACATATGTAAAAATTTTTATTATTAAAACTTAAACATTTAGCTTATTACTGCATAACACACCTTTTTGTAGCTTTAAAATGCATAATTACTGTTGTGTAGCTTTAAAATGCATAATTTACTGTTGTGTAGCTTTATATTGCATATTTTATGTTGTGTAGCTTTAAAATGCATAACACCTTTTTGTAACTTTAAAATGCATAATTTACTGTTTTGCGCTAAAGGTATATTTTATGCTATTTTATAAAATAATAGCTTAAAATTATTTACAAAACTACATATTTTATTTTTGTTTATTTAAAAATACATTTAGTTTTTATTTAAAATTTTCAATAATATTTTGTTTTTTGATATTTAACATTTTCTTGTATTATTGTTTATGTATTTTATTTATTTATTTTTTGCATAAACAAAGAAATGTCTTTAATAAATTATCTTTTATGGTTCATGTCCCTAAATTCTTCATCATTCTTCACATCTACGATTACAAGTCTTAACAAAACTACACTATACAGTATTCTTAATAAAGAAGCTGCACTTCAAATTTATCATTATTGTTTTGTAGATAAGAAAGATGATAAAATATTTATTAGAACATCAGACAGGTTTACTAACCAGAATATTTTAAATGTAGATAGTGAAAATATTTGTCTTTTTATTGGCACAGGAATAACAATAGAAAATATAGACATTCTTCTTCCACATTGTAAAACTATATTTTACCTTACAAGTGATAAAATAGGAAGATGTGAAATCCTTCAGAGATGGTATTCTACATTAGGATTGTACGTTGGTGATATTAACTTTTTCTTATTAAACAATAAAATAAGCGATGAAATAAAAATGATGATTTTTAATAGATCTGAAATATTAATTAATTATAACAAAAAGTTTATGGTACCATACAGTACTAGACTAGGAGTCTATACATGTCTATCAATAATATTTTTATGCATGATTAGTATGTTATTTTTAATATGTGGAATGTATTCTACTGTCAATCCAATAATAACAGAAATAGAACTAGAAAGATTTAAGATAATGAAATATAAAGATATTAAAGAAAAAAATAGTGACTCGTGTCTTATTTGTTTTGAATTTTATGAAGATGAAGAAGATTTAAGAATATTATTCTGTGGTCACTATTTTCATCAAAAGTGTGTAGATAAATGGCTGTGTGAACAATCTTCAAGATGTCCCTATTGTAGATATACAAATAAAAATTATGATGAAGTATAAATAACAAGAATAAGTTAGTATTAGTGTTCTGTAAATAAAAATTTTTAAAACAGTTATGCATAATGTACTTATAATTCATATAATTTAAACGTCGTATTTATTTATAATTATTATTTTTGATCAAAAAGTGTGTAATATTCCGCGATAGTGTTAATACTTTTATTTATTTTCAAAGGGCTGCTCCTCTCATTCCTTGCCTATCTTCAAAAAATTATGGAAATTTGATCTTAAAATAAATATAATATTAAACTTGTATTTAATAAATCGTGACACAATTTAAATACAATTATTAATTTAAAAAGTGCATCTATGAAACAAAAATTTATATAAGTTCTTCGTTTATGCATTGCATAAATTAAACAAAACAATTTTTATTTATGTTAAGGTAAATCAATTACAATAATTATATAAAATTTATATTAAAGTTTAACTACAATGTATTTAGTTAAAAAATCTAATTTTATAAATATTTATTTACATTTTTACAATCAAATACTAAAATAACAACAAACGTATAAATTACTTCTCATTTATAAATGTCACGTTAGATGTTATTTAAAATTCTCAAAAAATTCATCATATCTATATTCATCATTTCCTTCAGATTTAATATGTAAATCTGATGCAAACTCTACATCAAAATTAGATGTATAATTTTCAGGTTTAAAATCTGTAGCTATTTTTAAATTAAAAACGTCATTCCAATTTACTCCATGAAAATATTTGTGTGATTTTACTCCTTTTAAATTTAATCTCTTTTTCGGATCTTTCACTAATAATTTTTTTATTAAATCTTTAAGATCCTCAGGCATTGGTACATCATATTCAGGTTCTGAATAGATAATTGACCAACAAATATCACGATTTGTAGTCCCGGTAAATGGTGGTGATTTAGTATTTAGTTGGTACAAAACAATGCCATAAGACCATAAATCTACTGCATTTGTATATCCTTCATTTTTAATTATTTCAGGGGCAATTGTATCTAAAGTACCACAAAAAGTGTAGGTATAATCAGAAGACGATAAGTTTTCTTTGCACAAACCGAAGTCACATAATTTAATGTGCCCAAAAGATGTTAATAATATATTGTTTAACTTCAAATCTCTGTAAGCAATTTCATTTTTGTGCAAAAATTCAAGCCCTAAAAATATTTCACATGCGAATAATTTCAAGTTATTTTGTGTAAAATTTACTTTTAACGTGTGGTAAAATAAATCACCACCAGGCAAGTATTCAAGTGCAAAATAAATATTTTTGTTATCTTGAAAACAATAATACATTTGCATTAAAAAAGGATGAGAACACTGTGTGGCTGTTTTTAAAATTCTTCTTTCTACATCAAGATATTTTGCTTCACTCGCACATGAAATACTATCCTTTCTAAGAATCTTAAGCGCTACTAATTTTTCTTCTTTAATATTTTGTGCCAATATTACTTTACCAAAATTCCCTTTTCCTAACGTTCTTATTAACTCAAAATTACTAATGTTATACTTTTGATCATTAAAACTTCTTTGTAATTGTTTAGGAAAAAAATTAGCCATTAAAGTTCTTAAATTCATATCCATCTGGCAAGAATCAAAACACAAATCTTTACAATCAATATGAAAAACATTATCACATCTTTCGCAGCATAAAAAAGTATCTTTTGTTATACGTTCCCCACAATGATTACAATATCTAAATCCACTTAATTTTTTTTCATGTAAAATATGCGCAATTCCATAATTATTATGCCAACGCTTTTCAAGTTCAAATAGACCTCTTTTACATTTAAAAAATATTATATCTGAACATTTTTTATGGCAAGAAAATTTACATCTAAAACACCTGTAATGCTTTGTAAAAATTGGCATAAACATTTGACATACACCACAAATTTTGGGATAATAAGATGTAAGTACTTCAAGTCCATGTCCTATATTATAAATACACACTACTCCCGCATTTTTCCTAATCAATCTTAGTTCTTTTTTAAATGATATTTTTGTGCAAACATAATTAAAATTCTCGAAATCTATGTCAACAAAGAAATTTTCTTTATCAATAAAAAAATCGCATGGAATTAAAATGTACCCTAAAATTGTGTCAGTTTTACCAATAAGCATAATCTCTAATTCTGACGCATGTTCAAAATTTACTTGTACACTCTTTCCGTCTATTAAAAGATTGTATTTAATTTTTAGTATCGAATCGACATAAAAAAATAAATTTTTAATCTCAAAAATAGGATCAAACTCAACTTTTAAAAAATTAAATTCTACACTTCCTATTATTTTTTCATATGTTGATTCGTAAATCGGTCTTGCATCTTTAATCGTTTTTTCATATGTAAATATTTTATATTTACAAAAATCTATTTTTTCTTTTAGTGTTAAATACAACCGTTGATCACTTCTAATAAGCTTCTGATAACCTTTAATAAGATTTTGTTGTATTAAAATTTTATTTTTTAGGTGTTTAGCAGAAACTAATTTACTTGTAGAAATATTAAAGTTATTATCAATATCATTAAGAAGTTCCTCTATTTTTCTTATTTTGTACGCTACACTTTCTTTTTCAATCCCTGTAACTCTATTTAGAGTATCTTTAAGTTTTAAAAGTAATTCATTAAAGTCAACCATTTTAATTTGTTGTTTACTAAATATTAATTGTTTATGCCAAAAAAATAAAAATAAAAAAACAAACTATGCATATGTAAACATTTTTTTCTTTTCAAAAAAAAAATATTGTTACTTGAAAAATAAGATTTTAACAAGAATAATAATAAAACTAATCTTATTTCTATTTGCGATATGTCCACGTGTCGAGCATTTCAATTTGTTGGTTTAAATGATTATATGATTGCTGTCAAACAAACAATAAAATTTTTATAATCAAGGGTCATGAGAGATAAGAAAAGAAGACTTTTAATTTATTTTTATAAAGTTGTTTTTTAGAATGAAAGCGGACATTCTTTTTATTACTAATTGCGTAATATGAATGTTTTTAAACATCGATAAAAGCTTAAATATTAAAATTTAATATATCATTTACATTAATTTTTACAAGGTTTTTTATTAATAAACAAGTGAAAGTATGTTTTTATTATGTGCATAAATTAATAAAATTTTTTAGCATTTTTCAGGCATCAAAATCTATTTTTTATTTATTTGAAATACAATAGGAAAAACACTTTTTACTTTTTCTTAAAAAAAAATTAATTCACTCTAACTTTTTATAATGATAAGATATTAATGATTAAAAATACACTCTAAAAATTTATGTTAAAAACAATTAAAAAAAACAACATACTCTTTAGAGTTTTTTCTATAGCGTAGAACATTAGAGACCAAAAGACTTAAGTAAATATTTAATAAAGTATAAAATATTTCTTGTATGTAAATAATCGTAAACACTAGAAGATTATTATATAGATTCCTAAAGCATATTAAGATATTATCACTCTAATAAAATATCTTTTGCAAGCTTTTTCTTGTCGTCTTTTAAGTTACTTTTAATGATATCAAAAATCTGAGATTTGATTTTTTTCACAAAAATTTTTGTGCCTTTAATGTTTGTTTGAATTTTTTTAATCTGTTCTATTTCATCTCCATCTTCAAAAACATAATCTATCACTGTTTTTTCCAATTTTTTATCAGATTCTTTTATAGCGTCGTGATATTCTTCACAATTACATTCGTAAATATCTTGTAATTTATCAAAAAGTCTTTTTATCGCTATAACATTAAAAATATCTGCCTTATCAAGATTTCTTTTTATTCTAGAAGTATTAATTCTAAGCAAAGTATTATTGAAATCTTCCATGTCGCTTAATTTAACATATTTTTCAAATCTTTCAACTCCTTTTTCTGCATCTTTTAGCTCTGCTTCATTTTGTAAAAAGTTCTTTTTTAATTTACCCACCAAAATTATCAACTCATCTTGGAACTTTTTATACAATTCGATATCTTTTGATGTGTCTTTTATATTGTTATTAAGATAACAAATTATTTCAATATTATATTTATTGTATAAATCTTTAAAAAAATTATAAATCATCTGATTTTCCTTTGTAAAAATATTTTCAAGATCTGTCTTTATGTTCATAGAACACAAAAAATTATTTTCTACTTTTAAAATGTATTGATAAGTTTCTAGGACTGTCTGTACAGACTGTTCAAGATTACTTTTTGTTGTAGATTCAATATTTAAACCGTACAATTTTTTAAGGTATAAAACCAACTCTCTCTCATATTTAATTCTCGCATGATCTACGTATAAATTGCATAATTTCGCATATATTTTATCGTATCTTTCAGACATTTTATACAAATATTTATATCTTTCTAATTTTTGATATAATTCGCTATGAACTTTAAAATCTTCAGTGCTTTTATCATTTTTTAACAAATTACTTATAAAATTAATAAATCTATTATAAAACATAATAAGTGTTGCATTAACACGTTGTTGTTTTTCTGTTACAACACGTATGGTAAAATCTGTTACAAAAAAGTTTTCTAAGGCCTCTACTGCTTCTTCAATTTTTATTAGTCCTTCACCTGTAAAAGACTCGGTTTCAAGATTTATAAAATGTTCTTCTTTTATTTCTAATTTAATAAGTAAATCTTTTAAGGTTTCATAAATGGATGTCTGGTATAATATTTCATTTTCAAGTTTTGTATTTTTATCTTCAATATCTTTCATTTCATTTGCAAGTCTTTCTAATTTTACATTGTATAATTCAGCATTTATATCTATGTTAGATATTTTATCTTTTATTAAATTAAAGTAAGACGATAAAGACTCGAATTTATGAACAGAGTTTTCAAGGTTTTGTATTGTTTTGTCCGTGTAGCCTGTGTCATTGTCATTTAAAAAGAGATCATCAATTTCTTTTTCCATAGGGCTAACTTTTAATGGAGGATTTATGCAGTAAAATTTTTATAAACAAAAAAAATACTAAAGCAAAACTTACATTTTAGATTTATAAATTTGTGTAAAAAATGAAGATCTTAGTAATTTTTTGATGTGTTTAACAATCAGAATATACTTTTGTGACATGCTCTTAAAATTATAAAATTTATTGAAATACAATTTAAAAAAATTAATAAATCTGTTTTTTGTAATTAAATGGTCTTTGTTTGCCATTAATTAGAATTTTATTTCCTCTGATTTAAATTTATATAATTTTGTTAAGCAAACTTCTTCCAACTATTAAGATAGAAATATTCAAAAAACAATTTCTTCTGTTTTGTATTTAAAAGTTCAAAAAAAATCAATGTCTATCGAAAAATAATTTAAATATATTTATAGATTAATCTTGCGCAGCTTTAAAAATTAAATTACAATTAAATATAAAAATAAAGAAATTATTTAACTTTAAAGTAAATTTAATGTATTGAAATTTAATTTACAATAAAGTTTAAAACTTTCTATTTAAAGAGTGTAAAAAGATGGCATGACTATTACACTTAAAAATAAAATAATTTATTTTTTAGAAACATAATCAACAAGATCAGCAATCCTGGAAGCATAACCGTATTCATTATCATACCAAGCTATTAATTTAAAAAATTTATCTCCCATTTCCATGCTCGCTTTAAAGTCAAAAATACAACTTCTTGGATCTTTAATAAAATCAGAGCTTACTACATCATCCTCTGTTACTCCAATAATATTCGGCATTTTTTTACTTTCTTCGCATAAAACCGATTTAATATTTTCAAGACTGGTTGATTCCCTTAACCTGACTGTCAAATCGACTACACTCACGTCCAATATAGGAACACGCATAGCCATGCCATTTAATTTCTGGTTCAATTCTGGAATAACTTTTCCTACTGATTTTGCTGCACCAGTAGAAGCTGGAATAATATTTTGCATTCCACTACGCCCATCTCTCTTATACTTTTTTGTTATGCCATCGACTATCTTTTGTGTGGCAGTTGCAGAATGAACAGTAGTCATCAATCCTTCTTCAATACCAAAGTGATTATTAATAATATTTGCTAAGGGTGCTAAACAGTTCGTTGTACAGCTAGCATTGCTAATAATCTTTTCTCCGTTATATTTTTCATGGTTTACGCCATAAACAAACATTGGTGCATCATCACTTGGTGCTGATATAATCACACTTTTTACTTCCTTGTGAAGTTCACAATCCTTTATTGTTTTAAAAACTCCTGTACATTCAATAACATAATCAACATTATATTTTTTCCATTGGATTTCAGATGGACATTTTGCAGTTGATAATTCGGTCTCTTTACCGTAATATATTAATTTATTATTTTTCATTTCAACCTTACAATCAGTTCCATATACTGTATCATATTTTAAAAGATAGTACATATATGAAGTATCTAAGAAAGGATCATTTACTAATGGTACTTCAATTCCTCTTTCTCGTAAAATTTTAAAAACAATTTTACCAATTCTTCCAAAACCATTAATACCAACCCTATAGCTCATAAAATTAGGTAATTTTTTTTCTTTTATAGTTTTTTTTAAAAAAATTTATTGGTAAAAAAACTCAAACAAATTATTTAAATTTATTTTTTGTTGGTGAGCGTAACTTAGAAAAGTATTTTTTACACCCCACATGATCTTGAAATTAATTTGCAAATATGAGGCTTTATTCTTCAGCTACAAAAAAGGTATTCAATGTATATTATTGGTCTGTGCTACTTATTTTATTATACAAAAACCTTATTTGACAGCTGTCACATCTTCTAACCTTCTTTTTAAGAAACTTACAAATCCTTTTGAGGTTGCACCTATGAAATATAAGGATGAGTTTGACTTAATAGTATCTCCTGCTAATACTATTCTTATTCTTTGTGACAAAAAATATTCTAATTTCTTTGATTTGTTGTATGGAAGTGTTAAGAATATTAAAATTTACTACAGAGATATAATTTTTACGACAAATGATAAAAAATTAACTTCTAAGTATTTTACTGTAATTTACCTTACGTTTGGAGATGAAAATTTTACACAAATTTTTCCTTTACGAAATACACAACCAAATTCAGATCTTGCAAGTATTTCTAACTTTTATTTTCCAAATAAGTATCATGCTAGCATAAGAGATCTAATTTATGAGCCAGATTTAAATTTCCCTTTTACATTGAATATTCAGATCCAATATTCAAGGAAATATGTTAAACATTTTTGTACATTTCTTAGAGCTTTACAAAATGTAGATGCTTTTACATCAGGAAAATATTTTTACATACCTTTTAAAAACACGCATTTTGACATTAATCAATTTGCATTGTTCTGTATTTTTACTTTTTTATTCCATCTTTTTGACTGGATTGAAGAGCACCAAGAAGGAAGTATTTTTACTACAGGACTTAATTTATTAGCCTTTTATTTTTTACCAATAACATCAATATATTGTATTAGATTAAAAAGAGAGCAGATATTTTTAGCTCTCAGTTATTTTTTTATTCACTTTAGATACGGCATTTTGTTATTTTTATACTTGTATTTATGCGCATTAAGAAAAATAACACAAAATTATTTACAAAAATCAACAAAAAAGAACTAAAAGAAAAAGATTTAGGTAAGCCATTTTGAAAAATTTAGTAAAATTTTAAGATTAAATTTGCATACAAAAAAAAATATTTTTATGTTTTAAAAAACTTTAAAATGTTTACATTCAAAGTGATAAATAAAAAGTTTTTCTATATAACACTTCTAACAAAAAAAATCTATAGTACTATTTAACTGTTCTTAAATCTAAATTTCAATAAAAACTTTAAGTTACAAAAAATATGATCTTTGTGATTTTAAAAGTTTATTTCCAAATATAATATTTTCTATTAAAGATAAAATATTTTGTTAGTTTAATTTTATAAAAAATACAGATATTTATATTCTAATGCTTTAATAAAGTATATGTATTTAATTAAATTCTGCTTATATTTTAGACAAGCTGTTATATAATTAAGGTTGACTGTTTGTTTTTAAATAATTGTTAAAAGATAAATAAATATTTTTTATACAACAATTAAATACAAATAGACTGCCTTATACAACAATTAAATACAAATAGATTGCCTTATACAACAATTAAATACAAATAGATTGCCTTATTCTTTAATTTTGGTATTTAAAAAAAATGTATATTACAAAGGGCATAAATGGATGAGATAATCAAGGAAATATCAAAAAAATTAAATATAACAATTTTTGAGCTACGTAAGATTATTTCACAAATATTAGTTAAAGAAACATATCAGGAAGATCTTATAGAATTACTTGGATACGAAAACATTTCTTTAGCAGAACAAATATGTAAAAATAAAGAGTTTTTTGAAACAAAAGAAGAAAGCGGAGAAAACAAAAAATATTATGCTGAATTTTGCTTACCAGAAATAAAATCAGCAAATATTGATGAAAAGATTCTACTGTCTACTAGTTGTACAGAAGAAGATGCTAAATTTTTTGAATATACAAAATTTAATTTTATTCAATCTCAAGTTTTTGAATGTGCATACAAAACAGATACAAATTTTTTAGTGTGTGCACCGACAGGTTCTGGGAAAACAGATGTTGCTCTTCTTGGGATTTTAAGAGCTTTAAAAAGAAAAAATAGTAAAATTATTTATATTGTACCGATGAAAGCACTGGCTTGTGAGATTACGCATAAATATAAATCTAAACTTAAAAATTATAATGTTATAGAATTTACAGGGGATACGGAACTTTCCAATAGAGATTTATTAAAAAGTGATCTTATTATTTGCACGCCTGAAAAATTTGATGCATACACTCGTAAACTAAATAATATTTTTCAAAATTTTATCAATCTTGTAATTATTGATGAAATACACATTTTACAAGATGATAGAGGAAGTGTGTTAGAATCTATTGTATGTAGAATATTTAGATATATAGAATTACAACAAAAGCATATAAGAATAATTGGGTTGTCAGCTACTCTACCAAATTATGAAGATGTGGGGAAATTTTTAAAAACCAACAAAATCTTTTATTTTGATCAAAGATATCGACCTGTTTCTTTAAAAACATCAATTATAGGAATTTATCAAAATACAACAAGAAAACAAGCTGATGCATTATTTGTTGAAAAAATTGAAAAATTTAGACGAGATAAAAAGCAAGTTTTAATTTTTGTTACTGCTCGACATGAAACCATTAATACATCTAAATTATTAATTAACACCGAGTATACAACCAATTTAGATCGAAAATGTAAACTAAATGATATTCTTGAATATCTATTAATTCACAAAATAGGAATACATCATGCTGGATTACCTAGAAATATTAGATTGTACATGGAAAATAAATTTAAAAAAGGAGATATTGATATTTTAGTGTGTACAAGTACATTGGCTTGGGGAGTTAATTTACCAGCCCACGTTGTTGTTATTAAAGGTACTACATTTTACGATCCTACATTAGGAAAATTTAAAGATCTTGGAATTTTAGATGTTTTCCAAATATTCGGTAGAGCGGGTAGACCTCAATACAAAATAACAGGAGAAGCAGTTTTGATCACTGAATATAAAAAAGTCGGAAGTTATCTTAACATGATAAAAAATAATCAAGACGTAGAAAGTAAGTTATTACGACACGTAGCAAATTTAATAAATTCTGAAATTTATCTTAATAGCATAAATAATATTACAGAAGGATTAAATTGGTTTAAAAATACGTTTATGTATGTTAGATCTAAAAAGAATCCTAGCCTGTACGGATTAGAAGAAAAAGAAATAAATGATGAGGATACTGTGTTATCAGAATATATTTATCTTACAGTTATGAGATTAGAAGAATGTGGATTAATAACTGTTTACAAAAATGACTCAGAGTCCTACCTTCTTTGGAAGTTTTATTCTACCGAATTCGGTAGAATTTCATCATTTTATTATTTAGACCATGAGACAATTTATGATTGGATTAAAAATATAGACTTTTTGTGTTCTACAGATGACATCCTTAAGTTACTTTTAACAAATAAGGATTTTACAAATATTCAAATTAGAAAAGATGAAGAATATAATTTAGCAGAAATGGCTTCTAATCTTAACATTGAAATTAAAAATACTACAGAGTTTAAATTGTTGGTTCTTGCAATTGCACACATTAAAAAATATCCGATTTCCAATTTTGCTTTAAAATGTGATTTAGGATTTGTTGCCAAAAATATTGAAAGAATTCTTAGTGCATTTATAGAATTTCTACTTTACATGAAAAGATGGAATCTTTTGCTATTTTCTTTAGAGATCTTTAGTAAATTACAACCCACTACTAAAATTTTAAAAGAAAAGCAAAGTTATACAATTAACTTATTAGATTGTGGTTCTTATATATATTATATCTTTAAATCTGATAGACTTAAATATTTTTATCTTATCTTTTATATTGACAATCAACCTGTTTTTATAACCAGAGAATGTAATGCCTTTATAAGAATTGAGAAACAGCCTTTTTATAAAATTGTTGTTTATGATTTAGCATCAAATAAATTTTATGAAGAATTTTGTAAAGTTGGAGTGAATGAAACTATTGATGATTTTTTAAAAACTGGTTATCACAGTTGTGAAGACATAAAATTACTTAATATTCATAAAAAGTGTCAACATATTAAATTGGTTGACGACTTAATAAGAAAACAATATGATACTACCGGTACATTAGTTTTAAGTGGTAAATATGACGTAGATATAAACTTTTATGTAACAAACATGTACTTTTACAAAGAAGTACTAAAGCAATTTGTTACTTTTTCTTTAGAACATTTAAAAAACGAATCTCGATTGTTGATTGTCTGTCGAGAGAAAAGTGAGTATCAGATGCTTAGTCAGGAAATTCTCACGAGATTGGCACTTGATAGTTTTGAATCTGGTACAAAATGTAAACGCAAGGTTGTACACGAGATAAATAAAATTTCAAAAAATACTATTTGCATTGTGACATTCTCTGAAGCAATGTTAGTGACTGATAACGTTTTTGTAATTTTATTATCTTGTAGAAATTCTTTAAATGAATTTTTGTCAATTTATGATATTTTACAATTGTGTCATCGAAAGAAAACAATTATTTACGAATGTGAAGAATTTATAGAATATTTTAGATATTTTATTTTGGAAGAATAGTTTATGGTGCAAGATTATCTTGACAAAATAATTGATACTTAGAAATAAAAAAACTTTAACATTTTTTTGTAAAATAGAATTTTCTTTATTTAAGAAAAAATCATAACTCTTTTAAGATTGTTTTTTAAATAGATTATTTTTCTTGCATTTCCATAATTGTTCTTTTTAAATTGTTTTTTCTAGCGCTCTTCATGTTATTCATTTGAAGATTATTTTTTCTAATGCTTTTCAGATTATTTTTACCCCTAAAATGTTTATGCTGATTTTTTTTTCCAAAATATTTTGTGAAATTTTTCTTTTTGACATCCACAAAAGAAAACAGGAAATAATTTTTGATGTTACAGGAAATCAAATATGTACAGGTTGGTTTAATATACTTCCCAATTCTAATGCGGATTTTTCTGTAGTTATAACTGCGAATGATGGCAGTAAATTTTTTTCAGGAAAAGTTATAAAAAAAGGTAAAAAGGATTTTTCTTTTAATGTGACAGATACGAAGGATATAAAATGTACGATGACTGCAAATTTTTTTGAAAATAACAAATCTAAAACTGCTGAGTTGGAAATCAAATTTGACACACAGTTTGATACATTTAGGAAAGATGTGGCCAAACAAGTCAGAATCGAACCGGCGACTTACTCTCTTACAAAAATTGGCAATGTTATGATGGATATGAATAATTATATTGATAAGCTTATTACAAAGTTATCGCGTGTAGATGTTGAAAGTAAAAAAACATTTATTTTTTCGATACTTCTATCAATGGTTGTACTTATTGTTTATGTTATCGTGGAGATATATCTATTAAATCAGATGAAGACATTTTTTAAGACTAAAAAGCTTATTTAATAAATGATTTCATTTTAATTAATTTTTAAACTTTTTTTTGTTATAAATTAGAAAATAGTAGCATAGATGAAACAATTAAAGAGGATTATAATCTTTTATATGATTTTATAAGGTTTAACAATTGTTTACCTTCCTTTTTTTTATGTAAGCTAGCACCAACATTTATTTTTCTAGCAAAAGCAGATTTACAAGCATTTTCTGCGCCTCCTTCAAAAAAGCCTTTAAGTAATGTCAATCCAAATTTTCTATGTATCCATTCATTTTTATAATATTTAATAAAATCATCATTAATGCCATATAAATTAGCATTCATAAGACATACTACAAGATTTATATGCTTTGTATCTGGTGTATCAGTGCTCCTTAACAACAAGTTTTTAAAGACTTCATTTTTTATTTCATAAAAATTCAGTAAAATTTTTTTAACTTTTTTATATTCCCCAAGTTTACAGTAATTTTCAGTTACTCGCAGTAAAACGTTCGTATTTTTCATACCTTTCGTGCAATATGAAAAATAAAAATCATTTTCTTTCGGATATTTTTTTATAAGCGCCAAAATTACAAACACACCATAGTTATCATTTATATAGTCTATAAACTGTGGTTTAATGCGTTGGTAAACCATTTCTAAAGATTTATCATCTGAGAGATTTATTAAATCTTCAAAAATATATGTATACAACTTATTAAATGTATATTTTGAATTTACAAAAATCCTAACAATTTTTCTTAACAAAGATTTCGACTTCATAAACTTTAAGTAGTGTATTACAGTAATAAGAGTGTCAAGTGACATATCTTCTTTCAAAATATAAGAAAATTCATTTTTAAAATTACGACGTTCAATGTTTTTATCGCAAAAATAAATAATAAAAAATTTACGCACTACATGTGTTGCATTTTTGTCAACACAAAGTTCAGTAAAATTATTAATAACGGGTTTAAATATAAACTTATGAATAAGCTTCCAATCTAAATCTTTCATAATATTAATTGTCTCAAAAATAAGTTCAATAAACTTAGAACCAGTTTTCTTTAAAGACAAAAAATGAATATTAATTTTTTTACACAAATTAATAATCTGTAAAAAATTACTTTTTTGAACAAGTAATTCAAAATTAATAACAGTCTCTAGATCTAATGCAAGTTTCTCTTCATATCCATCTATTTCTTTATAGACATTATCTAATATCAAGGAATCATCAACAATATCAAAATCAATATTTTTAAAATATTCTTTGACAGTTTCAAAACTATTCATAAGGGTATAGAAATACGTTTATTTTTTATTATATTTAGTAATAAATACATGGTTAAGTGCCCCATGTAATGACATTCTTTGATTTTTATTATTAACTAACAATTGTTCAATAAAATCAAAAGCTATTGTACTCATTGTCTCGGGTCTTACTATATCCCCAGATACAATTTTTCTTTTTGCTTCTCTAAGTGATCTAGGCTTAATTTCAAACGGAGGTTTACCAACAAGAAATTCATAAGTTAATACACCTAAACACCAAATATCTATGTTATAGTCATGTATTTCGTTATTTAGCATTTCTGGTGATAAATATTCAAGTGTACCGCAAAAAGTCATACGTTTTTTGTCTTTGTTTTTGACTGCCCAGCCAAAATCTGCCAATTTTAAGCGGTCGTCAGATCCAAGAAGGAGATTTTCTGGTTTTATATCGCGATGAATAACATCATTTTTGTGCATGTAAATCAAGGCATCTATAAGTTGTTTAATGTAAACAGAAGTTGTTTTTTCAGAAAACTTGCCATTGTTTTCATTTAAAATTTTAAAAAATTCTCCTTTTCCCGCAAATTCTAAAATTAAATACAATCTTTCAGAGTCGTAAAAATAGCCATACATTCTAAGAATGTTATCATGTTTTAATCTTCTATGAATATCAATTTCTCTTCTAATTTGTTTTGCAGTTTCTTTTGTTAGAATTGAAGCTCTTTTAATTATTTTCAAAGCTACAATAAAATCTTTATTTTTTTCCTTGGCCATCCACACCTCACCAAATTTGCCACGACCTAACGGCTTTCCTAGCTCGAAATCGTCTATAGTAAAAAAAGACTTCTTCTCCATATTTTTAGGGTTAAATTTATTAATCGATTTTTTTATTACAAGTTCTAGATACTTTTAAATACATAGATTAACAAACATATCTATAAAAAACTAGAAAAAAGTAATTACCGCAATGCGTGGTGTTTTAAAGTTTTTTATAACAAAAATTTCGGATAGAATTAAGCACAAAAAAATTCTAAATAATCGCTTTTATTTGTAAGCGGACATAAACAGCCGTACAGGTGTGTAAAACCTCCTTGCTTTATAAATAAATTTATTAAATAATTTGAAAAGATATATAGTAAAAATTAATACAACATATTTTTATTTTTAAAATTAACTATACAATTTAAAAATACAATTTTTAGCAGTCCTTTTAATCAAATTAGTATGTATACATGATAAATAGGATTTATAACCTTTAACATAATAAAACCATATAAACATTCTTTTGATGCAAAACCGTAATGTTTAAAAGTAATAATATATAATTTATAAATTTACTTTATTCTCTTTCTGGTATTTGCCAGATTTGCAAGACATTGTCTTCAGAAACACTCGCAATCTCATAAATCTCTGCAGGATTCCACGAAATATCAACAACATTATCAGTGTGTCCCCCATGTAAAAACATTAATTCGGGAGGACCATCTAAAGCATCTTCTTCTGATAAAATATTTCCGTAAAGTGACAAATCCCACATACAAACGCGCTTATCTTTGCCAGCCGATGCCAATATGCTTTCGAAATGTGGAGACCACTGGACTTTTCCACACCCACTAGAGTGTCTTAGCAAAGTGTAAACAGAAGTACTGAGATTTCTTGTATCCCATATTTTCACCGATCTGTCCTCAGAGCTAGTAGCCAAATAAAACGAATTTAACGGTGAAAAATGGCAGGATAAAATATCAGATTCATGTGCGTCGGACACAACATAACTAGGCTTTTTTATTTTTGTATCCCAAATTATCAAAGACTTGTCGTCACTCACTGATGCAAGAACAGTGTCATTATTGTAATTATATGATATTTCATTTACAATCTTTGAATGATATTTTAATTTAGTAGTAGCTCTTATATTTTTACTAGATTCTGTAATATTAAAAATACAGATTTTATTATCTTCTCCCGCTGTAGCAAGTTCAGAAGTAATAAGCGGATTCCAGCATAATCCATAACCCCCCTTAGAATGACCTTTTAGCACAACATCAGGTTCAGCATATTCACTTGTTGCTAAATGTTTAGTATAATCAAATATGTGAATGTCTTCTGTGTCAAATCTAGCAGCAAGTAAATGAAATGCTACAGGATTGTACCTAACAACATTAATTGAACTGTGCACTGGTATAGACTGTTCAAATTTAAATCTTAGATCTCCATTACAATCATCACTTAACAATTCATCATATTTATCAGGAAACTCGACAGATGCAATATGAATATATTCTTGTTCTTCACCATTGGTGTTGGTGCTAAGTAACAATCTTTGAGAAGTGCTTTCTTTTCTATCATCTCTTCTACTATCAGGAAAATATTGTACTGACAAAGAAGGCCACTTTAAGGCGTAAGAGAACATTAAATCATACATGTATGGTACATTTTTTCTCCATACATTATGTTCTTCGAAAACTTCGTTATCATAATATTCCCGTTCTATCATTTTAAGGGACATAAAAAATAATTTATAATTTATTTGCAAATAAGTATAAATTATTAAACAACTACAAAGAAAAAAAATTAAAAAATATGTCAATATGCATAGATTTAAAAAAATTAAACCTTTAATTTATTTTATAATTAGAAAAATCCAAACTTGCTAAAAAAATCTCTACCATTTCCTCCAAAAAACTCTTCTGCACCTTCGAATCTTTCTCTTTCGTTTTGTTCTTCCTGTTCTTTAGGCATAACACCAAATTCTGCATATTTTGGAACAGCAGTTCCTGTAAAATCTTTTCTTACAGGAACATAATTCAAGGCGCGTGCTAATAAATCTTTATCAATATTCTTATCTATAATTATATTAGGTTCGAGGATAAGATCACCACCCGAATAACTATTTTTTATTTTAAAACCTTCGCCTTTTAAAATAATACATTTCTTTAAATCTTTAAATGGATATAAAGTAATTTCAAATTTCTTACCAGTGATATGTTCAAATATAATCTGTCCGCCTGCCAAAGCAACATACAATGGAATATCAACCTTACTAATTAAATTATATCCACTTTTTCTAAATCTTGGATCATTTGTAATGTTTACAATAAGAATCACATCACCCGGTACACAATTTTTTTTATGATTTCCTTTGCCAGAAAATGTATATTTTCTACCGTTCTGTACTCCTGGCTCTACTTCCACTTCAATATGTTCTTTAGTCTCAACGTATTGTTTACCTTTACAACTTTGACAAAGCTTTCCTTTAACAACAAACCCAGTAGAATTACAATTATTACAAGGTGCTTCTTGTACAGAAATTAAAGGACCTAGTCTCCTATGATGTTCTACCTTACCTTTACCTTTACATGGTTCACATGTTTCAACACTGTCTCCTCCTTTACCATTACATGCAGAACATTCTCTTTGCACTTTTACATTAAAACTAGCTCGCTTTCCCATATAAGCTTCCTTCAACGAAATATTAAACTCGTATTCTGTATCTTGAACTTTTTGTACTCGATTTCTTCTTCCTCCACCAGTAAAACTTGAAAAAATATCGAAAAAGTCTCCACCACCTGCAGAAAATCCAAAATCGCCAGTCATTCCCATATCATACTCTTGCTTTTTTTTCTCATCAAATAAAACTGCTTTAGCTTGATTACATTTTTGTGATTTTTCTTTAAATTCTTTTTCAACTTTTGCTCTTTCTTCATCTGTTTTACATTTTCTAAGAGCAGCTTTAAAAAATGCACCATCGGGATGACATTCCCTTTGTTTTTTTGTAAATGCTTTTTTAACTTCATCAATGCTTGCACCAGCTTTAAGTCCTAATACTTCATAAAGTCCTTGGGGGTCTTGTGCCATTATGCCATTTTTTAGGGGCCACCTATTTATAGAAAAAAAAATTCTAGAAAATTCCGAAAAAAATAAATTTAAAAAACTAGTAAATTTATAAAATTTATTGGTTTGGTGTTTCACATATTTCACATCGATCTAAGTTTTTCTCATTAATAAACGTACAAGCTGCACATATCCACGATCTTTTATAATATTTTTGTAAGGAATTAGTAAACTCTTTAAAATTTTCTTGTTCTGTAAAAAACTTAAAATAATTTCTATCTTTTTCAACAATGCATTTTAATAACTCATTGAAGTCTTTAAATTTATCTTTTAGTCTCTGGAGTAAATCAAAATTAGAAAATTTTTCAAATGAATAATCTTCATTAAAATATTCTGCAAGTTTTTTATTAGTAACTGAACCATAGAAGGGTGTGTTATTGAGAAAAAGGGGATTCTGTTTGTTACCATGTGTTAATTTAACTAAAAAAAATTCTACTGGTAGAAATGGATCAGCCTTTACAGATTTAAGACTTCCGTCATCTTCAATTGTTTTGTAAAATATATTTTTTGTAGTATAAAATAGCTTTGGATTATCTGTAGGCAATATAAAATTACCGCGGGTTAATGCCATACATTGTGAACTAACTTGATATTCCATTAGTTCAATCTCTCCTTGTATATTTGAAGTTACTACAATTGTAACAAATTTTGAATTAAGAAGATTTTTATTTTCAAAATTTGGAAACATAAACTGCATTTTTGAAATAAAATCAACTTCCAAGGATGACAAAAAAAAGTCTTCTTTAAGTTTTGAACTAGTCATATGTCCATCAAATATTAAATCTGAATAAATCATCCCAACAATTTCTAATCCTGAATCTTTCAGAAAATCACCATATGATAATTCATTTATAACAAATCCATCAGGAAAATTTTCTTGTTCCGGTAACCATATACCAGAGACAAGTGCTTTTCTACCTAATGGAACCATATCGTATGTTTTATATTTTCCTATTAAAAATCCAAAATATTGCCTTCTTGAATCTTTCCAGTTTTTTATAAAATTTTGAACCATAGCTGCGTCATCAAATTCCACATGATCGACCATTCGATATCTTTGCGGATTTAAAAATATATCTTTTTCTTGACAATTAACACAACGAATATTAGGTTTATGATCTTTACACTTTTTAGAAGAGTAATCTTCCATAGATAGATCCATATTTTTGTATTTACACATTTCTTTGTACGAACCAAAACTTAAATATTTAATTTTTTTATCAGCCATATATTTCGCATCCCACGGATCAAGTGGTGCACAATTAGCACACATCGCATTTGAATCATGATTGCACATCATTTTGTCTTTCTCACGTTTAATATCGCTTTTTACTATGTCATAATGAATAAATAGTGTTGTACCTTTTTTTAAATTTAAATCTAATATATTCGAATTTCCGTCTACTTTTTGTGTATTGTCTTCATCGTATGATAAAGTAAAGTTTTCTTTACCAAAAACTTCCTTTGCTTTTTTATATATTTTATCATATGGTCCTATTTCTATTCGTTTACGCTCTGTTGGTCCTTTTATAAAAATGATCATTTGATGTTTTAAGGGGCTAATTTTATTTTTAAACTGTCGTAAAAAATTATAATCAGTTTTATACCAAACAATAACTTATTATTTATTTGAATAAAGATAATTGTAAATTTTCTTGCTTTTCTTATTCACGCTGTTATTAAACATAGAATTTTTAGTTATTTCTAACAAATAATATAGTTTTTTAACAAATTACATTTAGCTTTTATCAATATTTTAATTTCCCTCCCCTTTAAATGGGAGATAATTCTAAAATAAATGATCAAGAAAAAATTACATTAAAAATACAAGATCAAGATGGTTCTACATTAGAGTTTAAAGTTAAGAAAAATGTTACATTTAGAAAAATATTAAAGACTTTTGCTGACAATGTACATAAAAATCCGAATGAGCTTAGACTTACTTTTAATGGAAAAGTGTTGGGATTGGATGAGACACCAGATTTAAGAAATATGGAAGACGGTGATGAGTTAGAGGTGTTTGCTTTACAAGTGGGTGGCTCTTATATTAAATATTTTTTTTATTTATTTTTTATGATCGATTTTTTTCATAAAACTAGATAATAATTTTTTTCTTTTTTTTTCGCTAAATTTATTACTTTTTTTTATAGCCCCTTTATGAGAGGCAGTGATTTAAACAAAGCTATCCATAAATCAAATTATTTTATTAAAAAGAGTCTTTTGTTAAGTACAATCTTATTTAATACACTTATAATTATTTTATTATACTTTAATAACAGATTTGATAAGTTCAAATTTTTTATATCAAGTTGTCCAGAGATATTTACAATACTTTGTATTTTTAAAATAAGCGCGCCTGTTATACGAAAAAATGGAAATATTGAAGAACTTGTTGATCCTGGCACGGCATTATCCGGGAAAGGTATTGCATCTGTTTTATTTGACAGTCTTGTAATTTGTATGTTAGTAAAAATGTTTATTTTTTACAGTTATTATTGGTGCATTTTATACGTTTTTATTGCTTTATCTGCTTTTTATGAGATGGTCTATAAAACTGTAAAAAAACTTAAGACTCAATAAATATTTAAATACACCCTTTTATGAAAATATTTTTTTTATATTTTTTTATCTTATTTCTATTAAGAAATTATAAAAGATTTTATATTACAACTCCTATAACCACTGGTAATTTTCTACTTCTTATAGCTCATCCTGATGATGAATCTATGTTTTTTGGTCCTACTTTATTAAATTTAAAAGGTAAAATACGTATTATTTGTCTTTCAAAAGGTAATACCCTTCTTAATTATACAAATATAAGACAGAAAGAACTAGAAGCACTTTGTAATAATTATAATTACAACTTAACTATGTATAATTTTCTAGATAATGATAATTGGGATGTACAAAAAATTACCGATATTTTATTTTATACTTATTTAGTATCACCTTTTGACACATTAATAACTTTTGATAAAAATGGCGTATCTAATCATAAAAATCACATATCATGTTACAAAGCTTCTTTTCTGTTTAGAAATATTTTTAAAATAAATACTATGTATCTTAAAAGCCTTAATATATTTCAAAAATATATTTTAAACTATAGATGTGGTGTAAAAGAATATGTGCTTAAGTTTAAAGATTATTTTTCTGTAGTTAAGATGATGTCTTATCATAGAAGTCAATTAGTATGGTTTAGATATTTATATTTAATGTTTTCAAGTTATACTTCTTATAATACATATCAGAATTAATTTAAGTTATATTAAAAGGTAAATTTGTGTATTTATAAGCAAATATAAGTATTATTTAATCTAGACATAAAAATCTTTACTTTTAATATTTATATTTTACAATGTAATTAAACTTAAGAATTGGCTTTTTATGTAATATTAAATGATAGAAGCTACAGAATTGTGCTTTATATAAATTTTATATTTACATCTTTTTGTAAACACAAAATACATTTAAAAAGCTAGAAATTATTTTTTTAACACATTTTAAATTTATAAAAATTTTATATCCCAAGATGCAAATGAATGAAAAAATAACAAGAAGCAAACTAATTGTATATCACATTTCTACTTTTCTAAAAGCATTAAGTGATTTTAAAACTGTCTATAAAACAAAAGAACACTTTGAAAATAATTTATCTAAAATACATAAATCTTTCACAACATTAAAAAATGTTTTAGAAAACTTGAATAAGATGTGTGATGTAGAAAAAGAAACTATTAATGATATTATTAAATATAAAATTGGTAATATTACTTTACTAAAGCATACAATATATGGATATATTTCTGTTGAGACTGGAAATACAGATCTAAACGAGTATTTAATAAAACGTCGATCTTTTGATTTAAAAATGGAATGTTTAAAATTTCGTAATTTTGAAGTGACCATGTGTGATTTTTGTGGTACGATTGGGTATGAACTACCGATGAATAAAATAATGGATCATAACATTATTCTATCTTTCCATGATAAATGTATCAAAGAACTTTCTAATGCTTTTTAAATATAGTTTATAATTGTATATATTTATATTGATTTAATTTAGACATTTATATTAAAAGAAGTTTTTTACATTAATTTTTGTAAGTTTCTTATTTTTTCGCTAAATTTTTGCTGTTTTTTAGAATGTAAAATAAAAAAAAATTATGCAAATTTTTTAATTAAATTGAGAATGAATTATGTTTTAAGACAATTTTCGATCTCTTAGTAAATTTTTCGCATTTCAAATTACCAAATTTTGATACTTTTGTAGTAAAATAAAAAAAATTCTAATTGTTTAATATTTAATTTTTCGCACCTGTTTCTATCAATTATTATTACAAAAACTCAATTATTTAATAAACATATTATAACATTAATTTCTGGTTCTTCACATAGCAAACCGTGCTTTCAAAAACTTGCATCGTTTGCAATCTTTGTGTATCCATCCATAATATTAATTTTTACAATAAGCTTTATTATATAATATTTTTAAAGTATTGTATCAGCTGACATCACAAAATCTATATAAAAATTTGGAATTTTCTAGAATTTTTTTATATATTTAAATAAATTTTACCCTTTACAAAAAGTAGAGACAACTTGCATGAACTTTACCATCAAAAATCACAATAAGAGAAATTAATTGCTTAAATATAGTGTACAAGGTTATCAAGTGCCTATTTATAAATATTTTAGAATATTATTTTCAGAACTAAACATTCCCCGTTAAGTACATTAAAAAAATAATTTATAAAATTTTTTATAAATCACACTATAATTCTATATATTTGATAATTTATACAACTATTTTAAAAGATTAATAAAGACTAGTATATTAACAAAGGAAATATAAAAAACTACAATAAAACAAATAATTTAAAGATTTATTGTGCATAAATATCATTTTACAATTATATTTTGCTATGTGGTATAAAGTGCATACAATGCCGCTTCGTTTTCTGTGTTAGTTCCTTCTTCTTGTATATTTGCTCCTTCTGTAGTGGGTGAGTTATATTTATTTAATAAATTAGCAATTTCATCAACTAAAAATATTTTATCTATCTGAATATAAAAGTATAATACAACAAGTGCAATAAATAGGAATATGTATAAATTATATAAATTTGCTTCAATTCTTGTCACATCAAATATCTTATCAGCTCTATACATAAAATAAATTACAAGAATTACAGCACAAGATATTAAATAATTGTCGCATAACTCAGGAGTTATTTTCTTTAAAGTAATAAGCCATACAAAGCTTATAATACTCATTAAAATAATCATTGAATAATGATCCTTACCGTACAATCCTTCCTGTCTTGTATTTACAATATCTATTAATAGGTATATTCCTGATATAATCATAAAAAATAATATTTTACAGTTATTGCCAAGATCTTCATCTAAATCTTGCAGTGCAAATCTTTCTGCAAAGACTTTTGGGATGTAAAAAAGATAAATTATATAAAAAAGATCAGAACCAAACGAATAATGATAAAATTGAAAATCAGACCTCTCATAATCTATTACTTTTTTAAAAATACGTATAACTACTAAAATAGAACCCCAGTCAAAAATAAATTCAATAAAATGCGTCGGTACTTTACACATTGTTAAAAAAAAGAATGAGGTCATTGAAATAACCATAAATGAGGAAAATCGGCTCATAGAATGAAATAATATATAGAAAGCAAAAAAATCTAGTGCGCTAAATAACATTCCATAAAATATTATTTCAAACGATATCTTTTTTGTATTAAAATTTTTCATTTTTAGTATTGTGTATATCAGTGAAGGAATAAAAGCTGTTGAGCATAAAAACGTTGTATAAGTTGTTTTTACTAAGCTGTTTTGTATTAGAATTAATGCATAGAAACATACTGGGTTTATTATGTAACATAGATCAATCATAAAATAATAGGGGTTAATTTTAAATAAACTATTATGTAAAGGATTGTACAAAGGAGAAAAAGGGTTTTAAGGTTAATAATAATATTAAGATATAACACAACATATACTATAAAGGATCTTAAGAATTAATGATTAATTTAAGATAAATTACAACATATGCATTGATTTATAATTTAATAATAATTTTGTAAAAAAATATTTATATATGACATTTTTTTATATTGATACATAATATTAAATATCTATTGGTAAAATGTTTAATAAGCTAAGATTTAATTTATCAAATATTAGATTTACAGTAATAAGTAAATATTAAATACAATTGTATTGAGTTGTATGAAATGTTTCTAAATCTATTTTTGATAAATAATGTAAAGATTTTATTTCTTGAGACTTTCCTAAATTTAAAATATTATTAATTTATAGTTTTTTAACTATTTTTTACTTTTAAAAAAGTTTAAACTAGGATACTTTAGTTCCCAATATTTTGACTCGCCGTTTAAACTTTTTTATTTCTAAAAGCAAAATCAAAATAAAGAAAGCGGATAAAAACGTGAACAAAAAATACATATTTTGTGTAATTTGAAGCAAATTTAATATAAAATCTATACTTTTTAATAAAAATGAACATCAATAGTTACTTTAGTTTTATTATTTATAATTTTTTTAATATTTCAGATTGATAATTTCTTTTGAATACAAAATACTATATAGAATAGCTTATGTTTCCTTTACTACAATATCCGATAAGCACATTCATTTTTTTTAATACAACTTATACTTTTTTTAACTTAAACATGTCAAAAAGTTTATAACTTTACAATTAGCATTATTAAATACAAAAAACACTTTTGCTATTACAATCAGGGATTTTGCATTAAAAAAAGGATGATTTTTCTAAACCTCGTATAGCCCATCTCATTATGTTTGATAACCTCTTCCTAAACAATAATTTATTAAACAAAATTTAAAAAATGTTCTTGTACAACCTCATTTAGAGTATATGTGAAATATTTTTAATTTCTTAATACTCTAACTTCATTTTGTTTTTGTTTTTATTTAAAAATTTTAAATGGTAAGACAAAATGTATAAAACTTAAAAACGTTTTAGTCGACAATTTAATGTGAGCATATCAATAATTTATATAGTCAAATAAATATAAGCTTGACTTTAAACAAAAAAATGGCAAAACAATTCGGGCTCTGTTGTATTTTTGAACTAACCTTTTCTTTTTATTTTATTACTAGCTTACTATTTCGTTTAAACGAGGCTACAAATGTGCTTGTTGTTCTTTCTTTTTCAATAGTTGTTCGTCTTTAAAGCAAGTCTTTTTGTTATTAATCTACAATAGTATACTGTTTTTAAAAAATTTAGTTAAAATTTTAAAATATATAATTTATTTTGCATAAATGTAATTTTAACTACTTTTTTACAAAAAATTTAATTAATTAAAACGAAGAGTTAGAAAATAAATAAACATTCAAATTCACAGTTTTTATATATATTAATTTTATGAAAAAAATCACAAATTTTTTAGTAAAATTTTTCATTTAAGCACCAATTTAAATTTATAAAAAAGTTTGTGTATTGTTTTAAATCCGAAAATATTAACTAAACAAACATAATAAATAAATTTGATCTTTTAAATTTCATTATATTTAAGCCAGATTTTCTATAATTTATATTTTTTACAAATATTACATAAAATAAATGCTTGATATTTTTACTTAGTTTATTTTTTTTTGATAATACAATCTTCTAAACACTTATATTTAAAATTTTATTTAACCCTTTAATGAAATTTTGTAGCTTAATTACCACATTATTTTTTAGTATTATTAATCTATCTCTTTGTACAACTGTAGAAGACGAAATATCTTATATACAGAACTTATTCAAATCAATTAATCTTCAAAGATTAGATACTCCTGCAGAATACAATATAAACTCAATGCTCTTTGAAAATAAATATGATTTACAATTTATGGAAGATAATGACTTGAAATTGCAATATACGATTTTTAAAGACTTTTACACTTTAAGTTTAGACCCTACTGTTGATTTATTGAAAAATTTTAAAGATGCAGAACATAAAATATACAAAGAGGTTTTTTATGAAGAATTTGTTAGAGAAGTTGTTTTAGCAGCAATGAAACATACTATTACAAAATCTTGTATACAATTTAAAACGGGTCTTTTCACTAAAAGCATTACAGAACTAGCGATACCTTGCTTTAAAAAAATATACAATGCTTTTTGTATTTTACAAAATAATGAATATGAAAAATTATTGACTGAGAGTGAAAATCTTTTTAATGCAAATATTAATCATCAAAATCTAAAAGATGGTAATCCGTTAGAACTAATAATGCATTTTCATTTATTTAATGATATTATAAAAGAAAAAATTAGTTGTTTTTCTAAGCCTTACAGTATTGATGATGATGGGAATGATTTTTATGCTTTACTTAAGTGTTTGGACAAAAAGTTATCTAAATTTTTATTATTTAAATTTGATACATTCATTAGTTTTTATAAAAAACGTACAGATAACAACTTTATCTTAGATCAATGGCTTAGAAGTAGTGATACGCAACTTCTTTACGCAAATTATTTTAAGAAAATCAATTATATTTTTACTTTTTTTCTTAAAATTATACGCATGCAACTATCTCAAATAAATAATGATGAATACTTAAAAGACTATGAAAGGGAATAAAATTTATTGTTTTTTACTTATTTAGACTTTTTTTACAAATTCGTGAATGCTATATTTTTACAAATTCTAAATACTATATTATGAAAGTTATAAAAGTCTTTTTATTTATTAAAAAATTTCAAATTCTGTTTTAAAAACAAATTTGTGCATAAAAATATAAACTACATATTTAAAAATAATCTTTATTCACATGGATTTCGAAGATCGTCTTCTTTTCTTCGAGAAACATAATCCTCACAGATTTTTCCTAATTCTTGATTAATAATTCCACAAATTTCATTCAATATCTTCATGGCATCATCTGAATTAAACCTGTCAAAAAACTTTAGATCAAACAAAAGGTACCCACATTCTTTCAAACTAGCTTGATTAAATTTCAACGAATTAACATAATTTCTACCAGACATATCAATTAATGCTTCTTCTAGGCCCCTAGCATTCATATCATCCTTACACTTAATTCTTATAATACCTGCATCATCTTTGTACTCTTCTGAATGTTTGTTTTTATAATGTTCAGGATGATGATCCTCAAATGTAAAATGGGTTCTCCACGCCGCGTCAAAAAGATCTGTAAAGAAACAATCCAGTTTTTTAGAGGTGTATTTTTCCCAAGAACTAATTACTGTTCTTTTTATGTCTTTGCTATGAAAAAACTTCCAAGTGTAACCTATTGAAGGAGCCAAAAGATATTTAGACCAATCATGAAAAATAATATCAATTATACTTAATTTTTCTAAATATTTACCCAACTTACAATAAATTGCAAATAATGAATTTTTATGTTCATAAACTTCATCATAGTGAAATTTAATTCCATATCCATACTTATAAAAAAGATATTTGTAGTCTTCAGTTTCCAACCCAAGCAAGACATCATATTCCACCTTAGCCCATTCACTTTCAGATAGCGTAAATAACCTATGCAGACACCGCTCAAGATTCGAGTTTGGTTTTTTATTAACCTTAATTGAATTAAAACTATCCTTTATTCCGCTCAGATCATAATTTTTAACTTTCACCAGAATTTCATTAATTTTCTCATCTAGCTCGGGGTCAATTGTTGAATCCCAAATATTGTTTTTAAAAGCATTCGTTGAAAATTCCTTCATTTTTTCAATAGCCTTGTTTAACCCATCTTTAAACGTTGAAAGATCAGCTTCTGCTACACTCTTACTCTTATATCTTGTATTAAATAAAATATTTTGAAGTTTTTGAACCACCAAAAAAGTTAGAAACTGCTCTCGCGACCATTTATATTCCACAGATACTTTATAAATTTCTTTTGGATCAAAAAGATGCTTTTTTCTTCTAAGAATAATGTGGGTTTCATTAGTATCTTCTACAGAATCTCTTGCAGCCACAAACCTCAAGTTTACTATTAAAAATGTTATGAATAAAAGCGCTAAAATCATAGGGGTTACAGAAAATTAAAATATTTATATCTTTAATTAAATTTTCATAAAATTTGTTGTAACACACAAAATTTTATTTTAAATGCAATAAATTTTATTTCAATTATTTTTTAATAAATTTATAGTTTAATTAATTTTTTTATAAAATGGTCAAGTTTTTATTTTATGCATAATAAGCATAAAAATATGTTTTTTATTAAAGTTTTTGTTTGTATCTCTAAACACCATCACATTTTTATTAAATTTAATAGATTAAATATTTAGACATTGCAAATATGCTATACAAATATTTTTAGGTTAAAGATTAAGTAAATTGCTGATATTATAATTATAAAAGATTTTAAGGCAGATTTTTGTTAAAATTTATGGTGATAGTGTTGTAGATAATTTAATATTTATTCTTATGATTTAATTACATTGCAATTATTTTAATTTTCTTTTAAATATTAACTCTTGATATTTTTTATTTTTATATCTTGTTGACAATTTTCTAAATTATTTATTTCTTAAATTCAATTTTTTATTTTTTATGCAGAAATTATTTTTATTCTATTTATAGTCAAAGATATTTTAATTATTTTCAAGGCAGAAAACGAAATGTCAATACATCAAGTGACAGAAGTAGTATTCATGTCATTGTATTTTAAAAATTGTTTGATAACACTTTTTTATTTTTTATTAAAATTCAACAAATATTTTGTAGAAAATTTTCTTAAAAAGTTTTTTTTGAAACACCATAAAATTCTCTGCTTCTGTTGGTTATTAACAAAATATTTGATTTAGAATTAAAAAATAAATTAAATCCATATTTTGTGTTTTTTACATAACATAAAGCATAGTTAATTAGACGCTTAAATATGTTTGCCTTTTTTAGGGAAAATAAACTTAATAAATGTAATTACCAAGAAAGGATAGAAATTTAGATAACAAACATAACTCATTTAAAAGTACAAATATTAATTAATTTAAAAATGAATAATAGTTACTTTGACTGAATAAGATGTGTTTAAAAATATCAAAATATATTGTTTTAATATAAAATAAGTTTTTTGAATTTACAAGACTTAAAACGAAAAATACAACGAATTTTTGGTATATAATTTAAATAACATATTTATTAACTAAATATTATTGTAATTTAAAAAATTTTATATTTTACGTAAAAAATATCATAGACACTTTAAATGAATAATAGATCAAAACTTTGAAATTAAACAAAAAACAATAATTTAAACATATTTACTTTCTTACTAAATTTTAAAATTTTTTAAAATTTCCTCTATTTCTTTTTAATAAATAAGTAAAATTTTTATGACATTTTACTATTGAAAAGGCTTTAAACCTTTTTAAACTTTTAAGAAATTGTGTAATATTTAAATGACTAGGATAATATTTATTAAAAATGTATGTATGTTGTTTAAGTTTGTATAAATTTGCTTTTTTTAGTATCAATGCCTTACTTTTGTAAAAAAAATTTCTTAGATTTAATAAATTTAGTATAGCAATATTTACATTATTTAACTGTCATTCAACTTTAAACGTATGTACTAAAAAAGTATAAATTTTTTTACAATGTAATCTAAATTTCTATATGTCTTAAAAAGCAATTGTTTTTAATTTAGTATTTATCAAATTGATCTAACAAAAGTATATATTATACTCTTTAAAAGAAATTTACGCTTCATTTAATGCGTTTTTATATTTAATTTATCTATTTAAATGTTATTTAAACAAATAAAGCCTTTTATATATTTTTTTAACTTGTAAACAAACATGACTAGAAAATGGATTAAAAAATTACAATCATATATAGGGGAATTTTTTGCCTCATTTATATTTGGATTTGCTGTATATACTTCTATTATTGGATCAGCACAAACAGGACAATCTGCAGGTCCAATTATTGTTGCATTGACTATCGCATTAAGTGGCGTAGCAATCATTTATTCATTTTGTGACATAACTGTAGCACATTTCAACCCTGCAATAACATTTTCTGCAATGTGTTTTAGAAGATTGCCTTTTTTTGGTGGAATTTTTATTATAATTTTCCAAGTGGCAGGATTTATTATTGCAGGATTAGCTTCAGTAGCTGTACTGCCCGGAAAATATAAAAACAAACTAGAAATAGCGAGACCAAAAAGAGTAGCAGATAATGTTAGTAGAGGACGTATTTTCGGCACCGAATTTTTTTTAACAGCAATACTTGTTTATGTTGCATTTGCTGTGGGGGTTAATCCTTACACACCCCCTAAAGATGAACATGGTGATCAATTGGATCCAGACGAAGGTTTAACAGAAGGAAGAAAAATTACCGCACCACTTGCTATAGGATTTACTTTGGGTTTTTGTGCTTTATTGGGAATAGCTAGTTCTGGGGGTGCATTCAATCCAGGTATAGTATTGAGTCCTATGATTCTTACTGGCACCTGGGATTTTTGGTGGGTATATCTGCTAGGACAGTTTTCAGGAGGATTGTTAGGAGGTGGTCTCCAAAGATTTTTATTATATAAAATTTTTTGAACCTTTTTAAGTTTTTTTAAAAAAGCTTTGTAGCCGTTACATTTTATCAAAACATAAGTAAAAACATTTTAACTATATTTAAATATTTTAGTAATAGCCCGCCTAGACATATCAATAAATTATAAACTTGATGTATGTGACAATAAACAACTGTTTTTTAATATTCTTAATTCTACATATTTGATTTTTAAGAATTGGTATAGCTTCTACTTTTGTTACGATTTATTTAATAGCTTACAAACGAATATCTTTTAATCTCATTTTATAATTTGTCTTAAATCTTCTAAATATGTTTTTAAATTAATCTACAAGGCTATGGCAAACATACGCGCTATAACAATCTCACGAACTGTCGTTTCTTTTAAAAAATTTTTCAATAAATAAATTATTATTTATTATTGACAGACATGCGTTTTGATATCAAAAAAATTATAAATTTAATATAATGTAATTTATCTTAATCAGGCATAGCAGCGGTCCCATATGTTTTATTTAATAAAGGCTGATAAAATTTATGTAATACTTTTAAGTATTTCTAATTTATTAGTGAAAAGTAATTAAAGCCGTCTTAACTTTTTTTATTTAACATTTTAAAATTTTTAGCAAATTTCTATGTACATATTTTATTACCGTATTCCTCAAGTTATTTTTTTTCTTTAAATTTTTATGCCTTATTTTTATGCGATTAATTTTAGAATCAATAACTATGAAAAATTTTAAAAGCTACAAAGGTAAGCATCACATTCCAAATATTGACAAATTTTTTACAGCAATAGTAGGACCAAATGGCAGTGGTAAAAGCAACATAATTGATAGCATACTTTTTGTACTGGGATTTAGAGCCAAAAAAATGAGACATACCTCGCTAACAGATTTAATCTACAATGATGGTAAAAAAGAAGAAATGTGTTATGTCGAACTAGCCTTTAATAAATTTAAAATAAGAAGAGAAGTTTATGCAAATAAAAGTACAAAATATTTCTACAACGATAAAGAAATCACAAATAATGATTTAACTAAATTAATGATGGAAGAAAATGTTGATATGGAACATAATAGATTTCTTATTTTACAAGGAGAAATAGAAAGTATTGCTATGCTTAAACCCAAAGAAGGACTACTTGAATTTCTAGAGGATATTATTGGAACAACCAAATATAAATTGGAAATTGATGCATTGACTAATGAGGCAAAAACTATGGAGGAAGAAAATATTACAATACAAAATAATATGAAGTTTATTAAAACAGAATACGATCACATAAATGAATTAAAAAAACAAAATGAAGATAATCTTCTTAATAGAATTAAATATAATGAATATTTAAAAGAGTTAAAAAATTTAAATATTGAATTTATAAAAAGATCCCTGCATAAAAAAGAAGAAGCAAAAAAAGATGTAATAACCAAAATTGATGAAATAAAAAATCTAAACTTAGAAAATAAGGAACTGCTAAAATCATTGGAGACTGAACAAAATTCAATAAGGAAATTACTCAATGACAAAGAGGAAATGTATTTGGAAATTAAAAAAAGGTATAAAAGTTTAGAAAGAGCAAATTTGGTATCAAAAGAGCTTAAAAATAAATTAGAAAAAGAAATTAAAAATCTTAGAAATGACTACAATAATTTAAAAGCAAAGGTAGAAATGAAAAATAAAGAAAATAATATTTTATCAAAAGAGCTTAAAGAAAATATATTAGAATTGAAAGGGTTGACTGATAAACAAAATGACTTAAAAAATAAACTTTTAAAAGAAGAAAAGATTGTAAATGAAAAATGTAAAAATGATCTAGAAAAAATGAAGAAAACTCAAGAATTATTATCAGATTTGATTTATAAGAAATCTGAACAAAATCAACGGAATGTTAAATTTAATCTAGAAGTTAATTCTTTGAAAGATAGGATGCAAGAACTACGAAAAGAAATTGATGAATTAAAAGCTAAACTTAAAAACTGTGAAAATGTTAAACATTTAGATAAATTACAACTGGAAAAAGATCTAAAAGAAATTGAAAGTGATATTCAAAAGACGCAGTATGAGTTGCAAAAACGTAAAACTAGATATAGCGAGGTTTATAAAAGGGAAGAAACTATTAAAAAAGAAAAAGAAATTCTAAAATATTTTAAGGATGTAAGTGGGGTTATAGGAAGATTGAGTGATATTGGTAAAGTAGATCCAAAATATGAATTGGCCCTGAAAACTTCTTGTACAAGATTAAATAATATAGTTGTTGATACAACACAGACAGCAGAAATGTGTATTGACATTATTAAAAATAATAATTTGCAAAGATCAACATTTATAATTTTAGATAGAATCCAAGAGATTAATAAATTAGAAGAATTAAGTCTTCCGTACATGTTTGATTTGGTAGAATGTGAACCAAAGTATAAAAAATGTTTTTATTTTAGTTTAACTGATACGCTTTTAGCAGAAGATTTAGAAAAAGCTTCAGAATATGCTTTTGGTAAAACAAGAAAAAGAGTAGTTACTTTAGATGGTAAATTAATTGAAAAGAGTGGTATTATGACAGGAGGGAAATATCACGAAAAGGTTAAGAGATATGAAGATATTGAAAAGGCATTAGAAAAAATGACAAAATTAAGAGATTTAAAAATAAATGATCTACAAAAAATATGTGAATATGAAAATCAAGTAAATATAAAAAGTTTATTAAAGGAAAAAGAAATTGCGTACAAAAAGATTCAAAATAAACTAAAAGAAATACAATCTAAAATTTTTGAAGAGGGATATGAGTCAGATATCAACTCACTTAAAAATGAAATTTCTAAATATAAGTCTAAAATAGAAAAATTTTATGATTCTACGTTGCGTGGCGAATTGCAAATAGTTAATGAGAAAATAGAGATTTTAGAGGAAAGAAATCATCAAATTAATATTTTATTGGCTGAAAAGATGGTATCTTATGAAAACATAGAAAGTGATTTAAATATTAAAAATGAGAAACTTTGTGAAATTAAAATCATAGACTTGTCTTCCTTAAAGTCACATCTTGACAATGAAGAAAAGTGTTACAATGAAGTTTTAAAAAATTTTAATGAGATTAAAGAAAATTTGTCAACTTTAAAAAAGAAGATGGGAGCAGAATATCATTTGGAAATAGATTTAAACAATCAGCTTGATGATTTAAATGAAAGCATTATTGATTTAGTTAAGAATTTAGAGGATGAAGAAACTCATCTAAAAAATATTTTCGAAGACATTTTTAATGATAATAAAGTTATAAATTCGTCTTATGAGTGTGATAATACGAAAACAGATCTGAGTTCGCTAACTGATTTGGATATTACTGACTTTCAAAAGAAAATTCAGAAGAAATTAAAAAAAATGGATGAACAAAATGGAAGACCAGATATCAATTTGAAGATTTTTGAAGAATACAAAAAGATAAAAATATCTTATGAAAAAGTTAATGAACAATATGAATTACAAATGTCTAAATATGAGGATAAAAAAAATCAGATAGATCATTATTGTAAATCAAGACACGATGAATTTATTAGTGGATTATCAAAAGTTAATTTATATTTAAAAGAAATATATAAAAAATTGACATATGGAGGGAATGCGGAACTAGAACTCGTTGATTATTTGGATCCATTTTCTGATGGAATTCGATTAGCAGTTATGCCACCAAAGAAATGTTGGAAGAATGTTAGTAATCTTAGTGGTGGAGAAAAAACATTAAGTAGCTTATCACTTATTTTTGCCTTACATAAATTTAAACCTTCTCCTTTTTATGTTATGGATGAAATTGATGCAGCATTAGATTTTAGAAATGTTAGTATAATTTCGCAGTACATTAAAGAGATGGCTAAGACTAGTCAATTTATTGTAATAAGTTTAAGAAACGATATGTTTGAAATAAGTAAATCTATTTTGGGAGTTTATAAAACAAATAATATGTCAAAGTTTTTAATGATCAATGTTGATGAGATAAAGAAAAAAATAGCTAATAAATAATTTTTATTGTAGTTTTACTTTTTATGGTTTAATTTAGAAATTAAACTGTTAATTTTGAAGACAAAATCATAATCTTTTTATTAAAAAAAATTACAGTAAGAACTTTATAATCCTCCTTCTTCTTTTATTACTTTATTAAGCCAAGTATAAACAACTTCTTTAGCGATATTTTTTATTTCTTTACATTCTTTGGGATTCTTCATATAAAAATGAACAATTTCTCCAATTTTACTGTCTATTATAAGATATTTGTTTATACGAAGATTTTTTAAAACTTCTAGTAAACCTCTTTTAATTTTTATGTTAGGTAACGAATTATCAGGAAGTGGCTCAAGCCACTTCCTCACTACATCCAAAATATTCTCACTAAGCAATCGCTCTTGTAAATCTTTATTTAAAAGAGATTTAACAAACAAATCTAATTTTTCTAATTTATTAGTAGCAGGTAAATGTTGTTCATTATTTTTATTATCTTGTATTACTGCACTAAGCATTTCTAGTTTAATTTTTCTTGCTGGATCAATAATTTCTTCATTCATTACTAAGGGCTATTTTTTACATCCCTTTATTGTATGAGTTTTAAGCCTGTAAAAATACTTTTTAAGACTTTTAATAAGCTTATACCTGCATTAATTAAGCCCGGAGTGACGGTATTAGAAGCGGCACACGAAAATAAAATTGATTTGGAAGGTGCATGTGAAGGATCTTGTGCGTGTTCTACATGTCATGTTATTTTAGATAGAAATTTGTACCAGAAATTAAGTGAACCTTCTGATAAGGAGTTTGATCTTTTAGATCAAGCGTATGGATTGACAAGTACGAGCAGACTTGGATGTCAGTTGAAAATAGATGATAGATTTAATAATACAGTTATAGAAATACCAAAATTTACTAGAAACATGTCTATAGATGGGCATATACCTAAACATCATTAATTTTTATTTTTGAATTATAAAGCAATACATTTATGCATTGTATTTTTATAAAAAACGTTTATTAAAACTGTTAATTAAATTTATAAATCATATGTACTAGTTTATATTCTATAGGAAACCCTCTTTCGATGAAATACTTCATTTTTTTTCTGTTCACTACATACATAACTTTTTCCTGTAGTTTAAGTGTACTTACTAGGGAACCTTCCTCATTAACTAATTTAATATTACTGTCATTGTTATCTTTACTTTCAATAATAAAAACATCAACTAGATCTCCTTCTAATTGATTTGTATAATCATTTAGAAGGATGTAAGAATCGTAATTTATACTATAACAATTAATATAACATAGTGTGTGTCCAGGAATATCTAGTGCAAGATATGTATTTAGATTAAGCGAAGTAACACGCCTCATTAAAAATGGTCCTTCGATTTGTGAGGACAATTCTCTAAAATCATATTCTACACCCTCGTAGACAAGTACATTATCATTAAAATCATCTAAATCAAAAGGAATTAATTCAACAACAGGCAAACTGTAATTGTATTCAATATTTTTTAGAAGCTGTACGTACCCATTTTTATTTAACCAACCAGTTATCGCTTTACGCCTGTCGTGTTTGCAAATATCAACCTCATGAAAAGACAAAGCAGAAACTTGAAAAATAACAAGTCTATTCTTTTTAATAGATATTCGTTTATATTCTTTATTGCATTCATTGTTAAATAAAATTAGGTCTCCAGAGTTTAGATCATCAAGATAGAATGTAAATGCGTACATCCTTTCTTCTACCAAATCATCGTGACAAGAAAGATAATCTCCTTTTCTATAATAAGATGCGAACATTGTAAAAAAAGTATGTGTAATGTCAGTAAAGTCTTTAAACACTTCATATAATTTACATTTAAAAAAATCAATATCAGATTCTTGAGCGAATTCATCAGTTTGTAAAAATTTAAATAGGTCGGTGTGTTTAAGATAAAATTTTTGTTTATTATAAAAATCTTGTATACGTTGAAGATCGGAGGATGATAAAAAATTATCAATTTTTAGATGAAAAAACGGTGTGGTTGATTTCATTAAGGGTGGGAAGAAAATGTTTAATTTTTTTTTTAAAATAAAGAGTAAATACTACTATACAAAAAATTATTATTTTAAAAATAGCTGGTTTTCATAAAAATGTATCGTTTTTATATCTTGTGTTCTATATTACTAAATGTCAATTAAATAACTAAAATATTTTATTAGAAATACCTTCAATTTTGTTAAAAGATACAAATATAAAGAGTATATTGAAATTTATATACAATTTTTATATTTTCTATAGAAAATAAAGCAAGCATATACACTTATAAAAATGTAAAGATTGTTATTCTCTTACAATTTTTTTTTTCAAACATTTTCTGTGTCTAAAATATTTTTTTTATTATTTTTAAATTAAAAAATTTTATCAATATTTAAAATATAAATAAATGTATGATTAAATCTTACTGTACATTGGATTTAAAAACTTAAATTCTTTGTTTAAAGTTTCAATTATTATCAGACAAAATTATTTTGGTTAAAAAGTTTTATTGAATTAATTTAATGATTTTTACATTTATTGTTTATTATAATTGCAGTTGTGTATTTATTAACTATCTATGTTATATAAAAAACTTTCTTTATGTTAATACTTTAGTTATTTTTAAATCTTTATACATTTTTGTCGTTTATTTACCCTAATGTTAAAACGCCTTGAAAATATTTTAAATATTACAGCCTCTGCTTCACAGACTGCAAAATTACTCGAAACTACTACCTTAAATTTACTAAAAACCGTTCTTTACTATTACAAAGATAAGTATAAAATTTTTATAAAACATAACATTAATAACGAAGATTTAATAGGTCTGGCTTTAATAGCTTACTGTGACATTAACAATATAAAGATTGAAGATAATATTATTGATTTTTATTATGATGTTATATTAAATAATAGACTAAAAGACGAAGATATTTTAGATCATCTTATAAAAGAAAATGAAGAATTGCGCAATAAGCTAGAAATAGAACATGCATTTATTAAACAAGCCTGGTATGAAATGTGTGAAACAAAAACAAAATTTGAATAAATATCTTGAATTATAAGTTGTAATTAAATTACAATTATGGAAAATTTTATTAAATAAACTCGCAATTAAATTATAGAGAACTTCACGGCTTATATTAAATCGTCTTTAAATTTAAAATAATACTTTGACTAAAATTTTTTATAATAAAAATTTAATTTACATTATTTTTTTTTCTAAATAATCCAAAATTTCATTCTTTTTTTTTATTGTTTCATTTTTTATATCATTTAGTTTACTACTTACTTCTTTATGTTTATTGTCATTTAAAATCTCATTAATTTTAAGATGTATACTTTCTATTTCTTCAATCATTTTTGGATCTAGTGTTTCTAATAGTTCTAGATATTTTTTGAAACTTTCTTTAACCATCTCTTTTATATTTGTTAATGAATTTTCTTTAGACGGGTACTGCATACCAAATATCTTATATGATTTGGGAATCTCTGGAATACTGTAAGAACATTTTAAAGGTGGTTTACACCAGCTTTTTATTTTCATGGGGGTGCACAAATAAAATTTATAATAGGTGTTTTAAAAATTAACTGGTCATAAAACAACTTTAGTTACATACATCCCTTATTTATGGATGAGAATTTAAGAAAATTGTTAAAAGAAGCAACAGAATTTTCTGACTTGTATAATGATGATGAATATTTAAAAGAAGAAGATAAAATAATAAAACAACACACAGAACGAAAAGTACAAAAAAAGAAATGTGCGAATTGTACGTGTGAACTTGCAAATAAAAAAGTTGAAACTAAAAGTGCATGTGGTGGATGCTACAAAGGTGATGCGTTTAGATGCAGTGGATGTCCTTACTTGGGAATGCCTGCTTTTGAAGAAGGAGATGTAATAAAGTTTGAATAATAAATATTTTAACAAACAAAGTTTTTTTAAAAAATTATTTAAAGAAAATATGTGCATAAGTATGTTTATGTTTATAACAGCTATTTTAGCTAAATGACCAAATTGAAGATATGTGCATAAATGTGTTTATGTTTATAACAACTATTTTAGCTTATGACCAAATTTTTATATGCATAGTACATCAAAAGTCTGTCACTTTTTTAATGTACATATCAAAATAATGCTTAATCTGAAGTTAAATCATCACTAGCTTTGTTTTAATTCTATATCCCCTCCAGAGCTAAATAGGAATGGAGTCTCTTTTTACATCTCTAGATTTATACAATTATGTAATGGATAAACTTAAGCAACCTATTTCTTTATCACTTAAATTAAGTTTATTATTTAAATCTATTCAGAAAGACTTTCTTGTTGATAAATACATGGTAGTAATTTTTTTAAATTATATCAGATGTCTTATAAATTTACAAAGTGATGATATCTTATTAATCTTTAAGACTAGTAAACTTAAATATTTTAAATATTGGTGCTTTTGGAGAGAATATTTAAGTTATATTATTAGTGTTGGAGAAAAAATTGATAAAATAATAGACGAAGGTATTAAATTTTTAAATGTTAAAGAATTTAAAGATAAACAAAAGATTTTGGATTTTTTATTACAAATTAAAGAAGATAAAGATAGACAGAAATATATTTATAATTGGACCAGTGAATGGATGACAATAGAGAATATAGATGAAAGTTGTAATGTTAAAGAAGAATCAGGTCTAATTATTGCTAAATGTGCCTTTGAAAATTCAAAAGATGTGCAATTTACAGATCATTTATATTCTCCTGCTTATAAAAAAAGTCATAAATCATTTCCTAATACACCTATTACTGATGATGTAAATAAATATTCATACAAAGATGGCATTATAGATTGTAATAAAGTTATAAAGTGTAAAATAGAAGATATTACACTAGGTGAAGATACTAATCTTTTTAAAATGGGACTTAAATCATCAAACAATGATAAACTAGAAATTAAGAATTACAAAGAAGATAATAAAGTTGTAGAAGTCGACTTTAAGCATGAAAACGAGCAAATAAATAAAGAAAATTTAAAAAATACAAATTACAGAAAAAATAAGGAACAAGAATTTTTTACCTTAAATGGTAAAAAATTGCTAAAAATCAATATTATTGGTAAGGGCGGTAGCAGTAAAGTATATAAAGTTTTTTATGAAAGTGAGTTTTATGCTTTGAAAGTTATAAATATTGAAATGGATAGCACACTAAAAAATCTTCTTTTAGAAGAAATAGATTTACTTAAAAAATTACAAAGTGTAGACGGAATAATAAAAATGATTGATTATGAAATTTTAACAGATAATATTTATATTTTACTTGAATATGGAGAAACAGTTTTAAATCAATTTATGAAGAGTGATAAAAAAGATATATTTTTACATAGTAATAGAGTTAAGTACATTTGGCAAGAAATTTTGTTAATTGTATTAAACATACATGATCAAAGAATCATTCACGGAGATCTTAAGCCTGCAAATTTTGTATTTGTAAAAAATAAACTAAAAATTATTGATTTTGGTATATCTAAAGCTTTAAATAGTAATACGACACGTCTAGATCTTGATATGGTTTGCGGGACTTTAAATTATTGCGCACCAGAATTATTTTTTGAAAATAGAAAAAGAAGAAGTAGTGATGTTTGGTCATTGGGTATTATTTTATATGAATTGTGGTATGGGAAAACACCTCTAGATGCCTATAAAACATATTTAGAAAAGAAAGAAAACATTGTTAATATACGAAAAAATTTAAAGTTAACATCTAAAGTAGATTTAGTGATATATATGTGTTTAAATGAAGATTGTAGGCAAAGGCCTACAGTGAAAGATTTATTAAAAGATAAATTTATTTGTAATTCTTTAGATTAATTTAGATAAATTAAAAAATAAATTTTGTTATAATAAATTTTTATTTAGATTTCTTGTTAGAACATAATTTAGATAAGATTCATATTAATTATTAAATAATCTAAAATACTTACGTGGTGTTCTTTACCATCACTAATGAGAACAAGACTGTCTATATGATTTAGTATTTTATTATTAAGAAATATTGATTTGTCTACATCATTTGAATATTTGTAGCTAAGTAGATCTGAAGGATTAAGCGGATTATATATTCGCTCAAGCCATTTACACATTTTTATATTTGATTCGTTTATTTGTATATCAAATCTTTCAATTATATTTTTATATGTAACCTCAAATTCATCATCCGCAAAATTGCATGTATAATTAGTTTGACACATGTCGTTAAGTAATAAAAGATCATTCTTTATAAAAACAAATGTACACAATAGATGGTAAAGCTTTATATAACCCATATTTAAAAATTTTTTTGCATAACTTTTTTGATCTATCTTGCCATTTTTTAAAATACAACCTAAAATATTATATTGTGGTATAAAAAGTATTCCAGTATTTGTATATTCATAAATTAATTCAAATAAAAACGAAAGATCGTTATTATTAGGTTTATAAATAATTGTAGAAATATCATTGTGTGATTTATGTACAAAATTTTCTGTTTCTATAATTTCATTGTACATGAATATTATTTTCTCAATAAAAAGACTGTCAATTTTAATATGCGGCAATTTTGTCAATTTATGATATGTTGACGGTAACAAAAAATCTTTACAAATGCATGGTGAAGATAGTACTTTCTCGGATTTAAATATATAACAATCGTTTTTTATAAGTGATATTATAAATATTACTAAATTATAACATATTATACCTAAAATAAAAAAAAAAAGATAATATAATTTATCTGTTCTCATGACCCCTTATTATTTTATAAATTTGTTGAAAATAAATTATAAAATAAATTAAAAATAATTTTATTAAAACCATTTTGTTATTATATATATCGAAATAACTATGAGACTAAATTGTTTAGTATTACACAGAATAATTATTTTTTTACTAGTTAAAACAGAATTTTAAATAAATTGAAAATTTTTACTATTTATACTGATGTTTGTGGGATACTAAAAAAAATTATATTTAAAATATAATGTGATTATTTAAGATTAAATATTAAAAAGCTAAAGTAGTTTTTGAACTAAATTACAATTATGATTCCTTGTCGCCTTAGATGTAATTTTAAGTCCATTGTTTATTGCAATTTTAAGAGCTTCTTTTATATTTTTTGATAAATAACGGCATATTTTCGACTTATTTTATATTCATGTTTTCTGTGGATTATGTAATATAAGTTTCACGTCGGTACAAAATAAGTTTTAATTTGTACAAAAAAAGTATGTAATAATAAGAATAGGAATTAATTTGAAATTTTTTATCATTTTTTTTACAACAAACAAGGTGATATATCATTTGCAATTTTTAAATAAAAAAAAACGCTTACAATTATTAAACATTTTTTAGCAGTTAATATTTGCCCTAAGTTTGTTTAATCTTCTTGTGACACTAAAGAGTATATCGAATAATACTAGGCGTGTAGATCTCCTAAGTTTATATTTATTTCTACGTATACTCTTTTTTATATTTTTTGTAAATCAAGATTCCAAAAATCTACAATTCTGATGCTTCTTCGAATTGTCGAACTTCTTTTTTAGTTTTTAATATAATCCTATCTTTAGAATATTTAAAAAATCTATAATTATACAAGATTTAACTTTTTTAAATACAATAACTAAAATCACATACACTTTTAAACTAATGCGCATAACTTTGATATTTTGCCTTAAAATATTGTCAATGCTTTACTAATTTTTGATTTTTATCATTTCATATTTAGATGCTCAATTTGTACGTTTTTTTAACAACAAAATTGGTTGAATATTCATTAAGTGTTCAAAATTCTACTCTAGATATTTTGTCTCACTAAATATAAAAATTATTTTTAATTAAATTACATACAAGTTTTTTAAAATCTTTATTTAAATCTAAAATTTGTAATAATATTTTTAAAATAAGTTAAAAAAAATCGTTATTGAGATAAAATTTAATATAATAATAATAAATTTTTTTATTGATCAATTCTTATTAAAGAAACGTCATTTCGTCAGATCATTTAAGCAGCACACATTTTTTTTCAAAATACATAAACTTCACAATTCTTATTAAGTTTAATGAAAAAATTATACAAAAAAGATTTTTTTTCAACATTTATTTATATTACACTATTATTTACAAATGGGCTATCAATAGAGAAACTAAATAAACTAACCAAAATTTACGATACGCATATTTTTTTTTAAATTATTAAATACTTTAGTTAAATTGTAATTTAAAAACAAAGGCTTACAAACTATATAAGGAAGTTAGCAAAAAGCTAAGATAAAGCGCAATGCATTTGTAAAAAAAACAAACAAATTAATTATTTTTAATGTAAATAACGGAGAAAGCCAACAAATTTACCAGAAAAAAGAATTTCATCACAACTAAAGTTATAATCCTTATATAAAGCTTCTTTAATCTTTTCATCACATTCAAAAATAAGCTCATCATCTTGGTTTAAAAATTTTCTTAAATCTGCTTCACTAATAAGTTTATTATCTTTAACAAATAAACATATAGCCTTTTTAGTAATAGCAAGTATAGATTGATTTTCATAATCTTTTAGTATATTCCAATAAGCACGAAACAAGATTAAATATTTCCTTGTCGTTTCGGGATTCTCAAAACAATCAGGGGAATTCCACGATTCACAGCCTCTGTATTTTTCAATTTTTTCATCTAATCCTTTAATACATTCCCAGTTATCTCCCTTACATTTAGTAATTCTGAATATCATTCTTAAAATTAGCAAATCGTTTTTTCTTATTAACCTATCATTTACTAAAAATATAAGTTCAGTAACAGGTTTTTTAATCTCAAATTTTTCAATTTCATGAGCGTGGTTTATTAAACGTTCTTTCATATCAAAACCTTCTGAAGTATAACCATGACCATGTGGACACCAATAAGGTTCTTCTTTTGCAATCAAGTTCTTTTTCTCCAAACAATTGATAAGGGAAGCCATCGCAGAATTTTCTAAGCCTTCATTTAAGTCTAAGTCAAACAAGTTGTAATATTCAAATATTTGATTAGAATAAAATGCTGCTTGTAATTTTAATCCTAACACATCAACAATTAGCAATGCAAAAATTTTCATAAAACAAGGGTAAAACACCTTTATATAGCTAAATAAATTAAATTATTCTTAAAAATAAATATTAAAAATATCTAAATATTATATAAAAATAAAGTAGTTCTTTTTTTGAAATTTTTAATATAATTTTTTAAATTTTTGTTTATTTTAAGCAAACAAAAATTTTACTTTTAAATTTAAATTTATTTGAACTTTCACAAATTTTTTACAAATAATTTAAACAAAATTACAAATTTTATTAAATTATTTTTTAATTACATATTGCACACATTATTAAATTTAAAGAAAAAACTGATTTTAATAAAATAAGCAATATTTTCATTAAGCAACCTTAGTCAAAAAAACTGCTTAATGATGAAAGTTTTTTATCTGGTTGTCAAAAGTACAGTCTCAAACGTGTCCTAAGATTGCCACTACAAAACAGGAAGTGACAATTTTAGATCTTCTGAGATATAATGAAAGACACATTATTTTACAGAAAGCCTAGTAAGAATCTTATAAATACAAAATGAGGTATTTAAAGTGCTTTTAAAAAATGCAAGATTAAAAATGATTGTCAAGTTATAAAGGTAAATTAAATGTCAATAATTTCTTTTTAATTAAAATAAAATTTTTTAAACAGAAAATATTCTGAAAGATGAAATTGAGAAAAGACAGAATTAATAAATTAATGACCAATTAATGATGTTTTTAGAATTTCAACTTTAGATAGGCAGACAAAAGTCAACTGAATACTAAATATAAATCTTTTTAATTTATTTCATTACCTGTATAGATCATGAATATTGATATTTTGTCTTTTTATGTTTATCATTTCTTGTTTATCAAAATTTAATGTATAGACGAAATACTGCTATACTACAATGTTAAAAAACATTTGATTTATGCAAATTTTAACTCATTAACAGCGATATTTGTCCACGTTTAAGTTGATATGTAATGGCTTAAAATTTTTTATTATAATTTATTTGGCGCAAAAATTTGTTTTTAATTAAAAATTTATTAAAAGAAAAGGATAAAAAATTATGTATATAAGATCCTTATTATTTTCTAATTACACGTTAAGAATATTATTTTTTTCCAAATGTAAGCATATGACTTAAATATATTTTCACGATTTTATTTATTCTAATATGTTAACTCGAAGTAAATATATATTTAGTTTAAATAAAATCAAATTAAGAATAAACAATAAACAAAAAAAATTCATTAAATTATTTACATGCTTGAAGAGCACTTTCTAAAAAAGTAACAGGATGCTATGTAAATTTAAAATAATTTAAAAATGTAACTTAATGTCGCAATACAAAATTAAAAGTACTCTGGATAATAGTCATTGTTTTACCAAAAATAAAAGACGTAAAATTAACTGCATCAGATTGTGAAAAGAAGCATGTGCAATACATACAATGAAATTGTTAGAATGAAAAAGAATTATTTAGATAATTTTAAAGATGTAAAAATTAAAGGTGTTTTAAGTAATTATAACTAGTTTTTGTATAGAAAAAAAATATTCGACAATTTAAAAATAACAAACATTAACTTATATAATAAAAAGAACTTTTAAATACTTTAAGAATACCAAAAGGTTTGTATTGATTTTTAAAAAAGTTTTGAATTTTATTAAAAGATCATAAACTAATATTTTAATATACGTAGAGAACAAGAAATTGCATATATATAAATTTAAGTTTTATAAAGGCTATAAATTTAGAAGGAGACTTCGTCATAAAGACCATTTAGTATATTTAAAAAAAATTAAATTTTTTGCAAGGAAAAAAGGTTGTTTAATATTTAAGTAAGTCGGGGCATGTTTTGATTACAATAGCACAAGATGGAACTTAGTTAGTAATTTATACAACGACAATTATATTTGCAAGTGAACTTGAAATTTTGCAAAAAAAATAGTCAAAGATTATTAATATTTTTTTAAAAAAAACTATCTACAAAAATTTTCTGTTTATAAATATAGTAGATAAGTGTAAAATTAAGGCAACTAGCTAGTTTATAAACTTAAATCCATAATATCTAACAAATAATTGAATTGAAAGTTTACAACTTTACTGCAAATAAAAGAATTAAGTAATTTAATTAAACTAAATTTTGTAAGGACAATTTGTTAAAAGACATTGTAAAGAAAGTGAAAAGAATATTTTTAATGGTATAAGAACATATAAAGACAGTATAATTATGGCATCTGTGGAAAATTGAAAATTATTAGTAATATAAAGGTTCTTTATTAATTATATTCACTAAGATTAAATTCTATATAATGATAGTTTATACAATAAATTAGTCATTAAATTTACTCACAAAACAGATAATAATTTTATTAATAACAGTTATAATTGCCATATAAACACAATAGAAAATAATTGTTAAAGAGTAAGAAGTGGAACAATAATAAGGCATAGAATTAGGAATAATAAATAGTGCTGTGGTATAACTACCACATAGATTGTTTTAAACCTGGAGTAAAGTAACAAATAATTTTTTATGTTTAAATTTTTTGGTGTATTGTAAAAATTAAAAATATAAATAAGTTTGATTTCACAAAGATATGAAAGACAACAAAAGACGTTTAGATAAAAGTCATGGTTATAAAAAACTTCAATAATTCACATTATTTAAAGAAAACTCTTCTTTTAACGGGACAAAAAGGAAAGGCGAGGACATTAGAAGCGTTCTAGTGTATTATCTCCAAACAGGCCGCATCCCACCAAATTACTCTAATTTTATAGTAAGTTTTGGTTTTAAAATAACAAAAGAGAATTTTTTTGCTAATATATTAAATTGGTGTTTTCTTAGCTATTTTTTTTTATTTTTAATAATATTTAAAATTTTGAGTTTAAGGTTAAAAAGATTACATGTTAGTTTCAGGACCATTTTTCTTGTTATTGATTTATCAAAAACAATATTTTATAAAATAATTATCCTGTTTTCATATTGTTGGTATTAAACATGGGTTTATTTATTATAAATTATTTAACTCACAACATGTCAGATATCTTTGACATGTGTTGAAGCCATTCCTACACATATAATTTGCACATTTTACCATAGTTAAATTTTTTATAATGCTAAAATTCATTTAATCACATTTTTTTGTATAGATAAATTAAAAATATACATTTAAAAGAACATAAATAACTGTTTATTAAGTTGTATGCTATAAATATATTTACTAAAATTCATGAAAAAAATTAAAACAAAGAGACTTAAAAAGTTATTAAAATTACGTTGCAGAATCAAGTTCATTGAATATAAAGTTTTACTTTTCTAAAATGTTATTTTAAAAGAAGGATTTTGGCATATTTATTTCTCTTAGGAATAAAACCTGTTTCTACAAATATTATCTTGCCGTAAAAGCATCAAAAACTTGGTTTTATGAATAAATCACGTTTAGCATTTTAACGTAAATGATTACAAAAAACTTGCTACTCAGCTTTTATAAATCAAGGTTATTTATTAAAATTTAAAATTTTTAAAAGAATGTTTGGTTTATCCTATCAATGAACTGTACCAATCCAAACCATATTGTTTTTATCTCAATAATAAGATTTTTATAAACTCTAACAGTAAGTATTATCTCTCGTATTGTTTTTCTACAATCTTCTCGTAGGTCCGAATTAGCCCGCAAATAACAAGTATATTTATTAATAAAATCTTTAAATGGTGTCAAGGAAATAGATCTTAAATTTAAAGCTTCAAATCTTTTATTAAACTGTATAATGTAATCTATAGTTATAATATTTTCTAAATTAAAGAAGTTAAACTGATCAAAGTCCTTGATTAATGGTAATAGTTTTTTTAGATCCGTAGTAAAATCTGTAAGCTTTTCACAAGGTTCTTCTAAAATCGCGTCGTGTAAACATTTTACAGCTTCATTTAAATTTTTGTTTAAAAGATGTTTTTTTAATCTGTTTGCATTTATTAAAGAAGTAAATACTGGCACTGGCAAAACTTCTATTCCGTTATTATAAATAAAATAACACAATTTTGTTGGTGCTATTAAAGAAAATTGATTTTGAACGTGAGATTCTTGAGATAAACACAAAAATATTAGAAAAATCATGGGCCATGTAAATTAATTAAAAATAATAAATTATTGAAAAAAATTAAAAAAAAGTGATAATTGATAATTAATAAATTTCGCATAATACCCGAAAGATTTAGAAATTGAAAGAAGACATATTTATATTAAAAAATGTGGTTTAATTAAATTGAAGAATAAATAAAAGAAAATAATTTAGAATAGACCGATTGTGGTTTTTATTGCAATTAGATATTTTGTCTAAATCTAATAAAAATTAGAATATTTATATTAAATTTTTATTCAGCATTATATTTATATTTACACATATCTGTAAAATAAAAAACACTTAAATAAAGATATTAAATTTTATATTATATTGATTTTGTGTTTGCCAGAAACATAATCTTTTTAAATAATGATTTTCTTAATTAAACAAATCACAATGAAAGGGTTCTTTAAACTGACAAATTTTACTTACTGTTTGACAACTTAAATTCAATAGATGATTTTTGATTTTTTATAAAATATTGCTTCTATATTTTATTATACAATTGAATGATATATTTGTCAAAAGGTTACAGTTATTTATTAATCCTTTAAATTATATGATACATTTATAAAGCTGCATGCTGATTAAAATTTAAATGCTAGAAATTTAAATGAAGAAAGATGTTAAAGTATATTAATTTATTATAAGACAAATCCAGATATCTAAAAATGCAGCTCGAATGTTTTAATATGCTTTTAAGTAAGGTTTAACAGTCAACATCTCTAATGTTTGACAGTTTGTTCAAATAGCACCAATTCTTTATTTATTACTCTACTATAAATATCACTAGTTTTTAGAAACAGTGGAAAAACATTAAAATTTAATATAAATAAATGTTGGTTTAATATTCTAAGTAGCACCAAAGTCAGCACTGCTTATTTGTATACACTGTCAATTATATTGGTTTCTAAAATGATAAAGCTTTTAGAAAAATAATTCTTTTTATAAATTTTCTTTACAGATTAGTAAGTCGGAGTTAGATGGTGCATAACTTATAAGAAATATGTAATGTCTGTAATTTACGGCTTAATTCGCATAAATTTTTTTATAATTGACATTATTGTATGATATGTGGTCATCAAGCATCATTTAGATACAAAAAAACTTATATTTACTAACAAAATTGGAGAATATGTACAGTTGGTCACTCTTAGAAAGACTCCTAAAAATGTCATATATAAAGCCAAAGAACGGGGAACATAAGAATATTGAAGATAAAAGTAATACATCTACTCATAACATTTACTCTTGGTGCTAAAAAGACAAAATGTTAACGACAAACCTAATTTGTTACTCAAATAAAAATTTTCAAAGAAAATAAATGGTGTCTACATAAATAAACTTTTCGTTGTGGAACTACATCTAGGTTAAAACTTTGTAATTGTTTCATCTTTATTGCACCTTTACAATTGCCACTCAAAACCATCTATCAAAAGTAAAAAAAAAAATTTCATACTAAAACAAATAGCGGAATTTCTGTAAGAAATAAACCCTTAATTTACCATCTTTGACAAGCCAATTATATCTGATAATTTTAAATTGCAAAAATTTTTATAATTGTCAACATAAGAATTAGCTTGTTACAATTTTTAAATTTTAAAAAAACACACTTTAAACAAACAACAGACTAATTTTAAAAATAATATTAACTTTATTAATGCAGATAATTTAAAAAAAGAACTTGCTTTTTATCAAAAAGAATCTTATCGCAACTCAAAAAATCAACATTTGTTAGAGCTACTTTTATCTTTTTAGGACATTCAAAAATAACCTCGTCATCTTGAATCATAAAATCATTTATATCTTTTTGACTAATGTTTTGATCATTTTTTATATAAAAGCATATAGATTTTTTAGCAAGAGCTAATATAGATTGATTTTTATAGTTTTTTAATAAATTGCAAAAAGCACGAAATCTAAAGGTATTTTTTCTTTCATTCAGAGAACAGTCATAGCAACAGGGATAATAATTCATCGTTTCAAACCATTTGTATTTTTCAATTCCTGCATGTAATTTTCTAATCCCTTCCCAATTGTTTTTTTTACATTCAATAATTCTAAATATCATTTTACAAATCGGCAAATCCACTTTTTTTATAAGTTTATCATTTGCTAAAAATATGAGCTCATTGACTAACCGATCCAACATAACTATTTCAATATTTTTTACTTGTTTTGACAGTAATTCTTTAAGTTTTTCATTATTAGAATAATAACTTTCATGGTCAAAAGAGTTGGTTATTTTAATTAAATTTTTGGTAATCATAAAATCGATGATAGAATTTAATTTTTCATTTTTTAAGCCATCAACAAAGTTTAAGTCAAACAAAGGAATTTTATTAAAAAACTCATTAGAGTAAAAAGCTACTTGTAATTTCAATCCTAAAATATCAAGAACAAATAATGCAATATATTTCATACAGTAAAGGGGTGGTGATAAGTTTAATAAAATACAAATAATGATGATAATACATTATTTTGTTGCGTATAAACATTGTATGAGTTTGATAAAAATTATGAATTTGATACAAAACAAGTTTAAAAACAAAAGAAGTTAACTTCATTTTTTAACATTTAATTAATAGCCATCAATTATAATTTTTTTTAATATCTAAAACAATATTTCTTTACTTAATTTATTTAATATTTGTTTGTTTGTAAAATATAAATTAACAATAATTTGCGTCTCTTCTTTAAAATATGCTTTTAACAGCTTTTAATTAAAATTCCATGATTCAACTTTTCTTCTCCACGTGTAAGCGGATAATCACAAAGTATCGTTTTTATTAAAAAACATATCAACAACACTAAAGTAAAGAGTATCTAAAAGAATGTTTAGCATTAAATTCATTAAGAATAGAATTAAAAAAATTAAGATTTTTCAAAAGACAAATAAATTTTAGATTTAATCCCTAATAAATACAGCTTATGAGCATCCGCCCATCTACAAAATAAACAAAAATACAACATTTATTTTTTAACACTATTGAATCATTTTATAATAAAAAACAAAAATAAACTACTCTTAGTTCATAAAAAAATTTAGAATATATGTTTACAGAATTAGCTATTTGAGTAATATAAAAATTCAGCATGTTTTTGCATCTAAAATCATCTATTTCATCTAAATTAAAAGATTCACAAAACTGTACAAAAGACATCATTTCTATCAATGGAACTTTTCGTAATTCAAGCTTAATATAATTATAAATAAATCTTTTTTTGTACAGTTCTACATAATTACTATACGAATGAATAAAATTAAATTTTTTATGGAATAGTAACCATCCTTTAAGTTCTTCAAATCTTTTCATAAACATAAGCAGACATTCATCGTTATCGATTTCATGAGATATTTTAATTATATTAAGGAAATACATGCGTAAACTTAATTTTTTTAGAAGTTTTTTATAGTATAGAGCTTTATTTATAGCTGTGCAAAAAACAAAAGCCGTTTGGATATCAGAATTATCTTTTACATATAATCTTATAAAATCATCATTATCCGTCTCTTCTGGTGTATTATAAGAAAAAAAATAGCGTAAAAAATAGATATAAAGCATTTTGGGTTAAAAATTATATTTTTTAAAAATAAAAATTGATTAAAAATCTATAAAGTCATAAAAATAAACTTCAAATACAAAAGTTGTCTGTATTACTATACAAAAACATACAACTTATTATTTAGCAATTTAAATTTAATTAACTTTTAACAAATTTTAATTTTAATTCGTATTTAATTAAATAAAAATGGTTTACTTTACAAAAGAAAAAAATAAAGTTTTTACTAGATATGATTATTATTAAGTTTAATGATTAAGTATCTAACTGTGGAATAACAGCCGTTTAGAAGATCTTAAACGATATATAATAATAAATTTAAAGCCGTAGGGTTGGCGTGTCGATTTTATATAATTTTAGGAATAAATATAAGCCAATGTGTCCTGTCCAAGAGAATAACACCTCTATTTTAAATAAGTTTCAATATAATTATATTTATTGTTTTTTTTAAATAAGTTCCACGCCTATTTCTGTCCTGGGCTGTTAAAAAAATTTATGTTAATTTTGTTATTATTCATTTCTTTTTTCTTATTCTTTAATTAAAATTTTTTATAAAAATTTGTATTTGCTTCTTGCGATTGTGGGCATTTAAATTTTATAAAACAAAAATTATAATTTATTGTCATAGTATGACTATGACCGGTGTTTTTTAGTAACAATTTTTTAGAAAACAACAATAGCCACCAAAAAATTCTAAATCAGCAACTTAAAAAAAATAATCCTTCTTTTTCTGTGATTCAAATAAGTTAAATATAATAATTTAATTACGAGGCAATTTAGCTATTTTCTTATTCATTTAGAGAATTAAGATTCTACCAGATTTTTTGGCTTAAAGACGTTAAACTCTCTTTACTATTATCTACTAAATCAATATCTCCTTACTTTTTATGGTCAAAGATAATGCTTTTCAGGGCTTCTTTAGTATTATTGATTGGGCGTATGTTTCTCTCCTAATTAAAATCTAATATCATTTCTTGTGGCTCTCATAATAGTTAGTTATCACGCCATCTCGCGTCATTTAATGTGGTATAATAATAGACTTAAAATGATGTTTAGGGTAAGTTCATTAGATAGTATATCATTTTTTTAAATTTTTTTCTGTTTCTTCTCTTTACAGACTATCAAATGACGCAATTCCTATTTAAATAATTAGTATTCCCATCATTTTCTTATCTACTACTACTAAATCAGGCCTGTTATTTTTATTTTTATGTCTGTTTTGATCGCGGTGTCAACTCTTATTTCTACATATTTGTTAGATACTGGATCCTGTACCATATGGTTTATTAATTTCATTCTCGATTCAACTCCATACTTATTGCGCAATAGTAAATGTACTTACTTCATCACCTCATTATGCCTTCTTGTGTATTCATTGCCTAGCATTCTTCACATTTAGATGCTAAATGATCGACATTTTTTCTGCTACATTACAATAAAGCATCTACTTTATTCTTCAATAAAAATGGTTCTATCTTTAAAATAAAAAAATAGTTCTTTTCTTCTTGTTGGCATTTTTTCGTGTTTTAACCATATCGACAAATGCTTAACGACGTGTTACTCAATAAGACAGCTCTATACAACTTTTTATGCAAAGATTTTACTTATATTGTTGTACAAGGTGTTCCTGTAAGCTGCTAGTATTTCTTTTTTTATAAAAGTAAATTCAAAAATATAATTGTTTCTTATAAAATTTTCAATTAGACAAAGGTGTATTATTTTTTGATTTTATATTTAAAGGAGTTAAACTAAGAATAAATTAAAATTATTGACATGCGATAAACTCACTGATAAAATCAATTGTTGACCAATTTGATTGAAAATTTGTGTTTTTTTATAGTTAAGGATTTCTTGTTTTTTAAAAAAGCATTAAATTTTTTTAATTTTTAATTAAAAGTGTAAAATTTTAGAGCTTGACAAAAATTTATAATATTGTAAAAAAACACCATAGTAAGAGAATATGTGTTAAATGTGGTAAAGATACCTAAATATATCATTTAAATAAAAAAATAAGCAAAACTGGGACATGTGTTGCTGAAAAATGTTTATTTGGTCATACAGCGCCTGAAAGACATAGAATGAAGACTTTCTAATCTATAAATGTCTGCATATATAGAAGAGAAATCTAGATTTATTTCTTCTATTTAAGATTTAAGTAGAAACTATTATAGTAACAAATATTTAAGTAATAGCTTTTCGAAAAAAAATTGTATTTTAAACATTTACATAAAAAAATTTATTTTTTAGATTGAAAGGATAGAAAATGAAATTAGATGAAAATCTATTTGTAAAGCACAACTATCAGAAAATTCATTCGATCTGCGGGGTTTGGGTATTTAAAATAATTAAAATAACTGCAAGTCGTAAAATCGTTTTGTTTATAATAAGTCCTAGCAATTTTTGGATAAATTGATTTTAAATATTAATAAAGTATGTTTATTAAATTTAGCTCTCTGGAAGAAGCATAATACAGTTAAGGCATGAATACTACAACAATAAATAGTAAACCCCAGCGCTTTAGTAAATTACAACATCTAATATTCATACGAAGACCATTAAATGTAATTGGTCCGCAATTAAACAACATACACCATTCTAGTAAAACCAAAATATTGATATTGCCATATTATTACATTTTTTGCTACTTGAAAACCATCAAAATTGTTATTTTAGGAATTAGAATAGAAAGTTATTCATCAGCGCTCCTTAACTACAGCTTCAAAGGGGTTAAAAAATAAAAAAACAGGAATTTTGTGCTATAATTATACTTTTTGAATCTGTATTTAAGCAAAGCGACTTTTAATTTTTTAACTTTTCTATAAACATAAAAAATTTGCATGTAATAATTTTTTAAGCCGAAAAAAAACAATAAATTTTTAAAATCTTTTAACGCCTTTAGACGCACAATAAGATGTGTTTGTAGTGCCCACACGAAGCAGGTAAAAAGTACGCTTTTTATAGAAGAAACTTGTTTTTATTGCCCAAATGGCTGCTACGAAAGGCAGTGCATTAAAACAAGAACGATCTTTCAAAATTTTTGTCTACCTGCTTTTATCAAATTAAGAATAATATTGTTGCGTTATGGATATGAGTAATAGCATTGTTACTTCCCACAAGGATGAAATTTTAAAAAAATAAAAAAAAGTTGACAGCCTCTTCGGTAGAATAAAAGGGCCGGAAAGGTTTATACAAGTAGATGAAACCGCAATATGTAGGGGTAAGATAATATTATGTCCCACATTTACATATGATGAACTTCCAGGCACCACATGACTTGTAGGTGGTATAGATGAAGCAACAAGTGATACTTTTTTACAAATTGTTTCAGATAGGACAACATCTACGATGCTTAAACTTTTTAAAAATTGGTCATAGAAGGGCACCACTATTTGAAAGGATGGGAAGTTAAAATACTGATCAGCTTACATGTTTGTAAAAGTTATCTTTATTAAGTTTGTCACGGTGTTGTCTTTCAAATAATTTGAACCAACACACTAATAATATTAATAATCTATGAAGCAACATGAAAACCGATTTGAAAACTAAAATTGACACTATATAAGTGATATTGGAAAATTTTTTATACAGTAACGGATTAAAAAAAAATTATTTATTTTTTTACAAAAATCTCGGACAAACTTATAAGTAAATTTTTATCAAGAACTATTTTAATACAAAAAAATAAATTTTTAATAAGATTAGCAGGTTTAAATAAACGATTAAAGATTTTTATTTGCGTAATATTAAAGCATAAATTTTACTTGGAAATAAAAATAGAATTTTTAAATTCTTTTATAAAATAATAAAATTAAAAATTTTATAAACCTTTTGTTAAAAGAGGAAAAAATTTTGCTTAAACCTAAATTTTAGCCGAATATAAAGTTGAAAAAAGTCAAAAATAGTTGCTGAAAAATTTAGTTTACATTCTTCCTATGTCTCTAAACAATAAACGAATATGAAAAAAAGGAAAAATTATTTAAACTAAGAATTCAAGTTAGATCTTTTTTAAATGACAATGATTTGCTGCGTCTTGATAAGAAAATTAAAAGGAACCATTAATAGGTTGTACTGAACTGAGAAACAAATTATAAAAATCAAAAAAAAGATAATTGCTAGGATTTTTTTTAAAAATTAGTTGATTTGGGTCATAAAGATAGGAGAAGAGCATGTAAACCACTTTTGTCAAAAAAAAATATTTAAGATAGATTAAGACTAGCAACAAAATAGTATTACAAAGAGAAAAATTACTTTAAAAATATTATATAGAGTGATGAATCTAAAATATCACTGTTTGAGTCGGATTAAACAGTTAATTGCCTTCGGAAAGATGATTTGTGGTGTGATATGAAAAGTATAGAACTTACTATGAAGCATGGTAAAATGGTTTAATAATTTTTAGGGTTGTTTTTCAAAGAAATTAGTTAAAATACTCTGATATTTGAAGGTAAATGGATAGTTTAAATGTACTAAAATTCTCAATGATAATTTATTAAAGGTGCAGTGGATTTAGATCAAAAGTTTTTTATTTTAACAGGATAATGATCCAAAGAACACATGAAAGCTTACGAAGTAGTTTAAAAAATAAGGGGAGATCGAGGCAACTGTCTAGTTTTTTAATAAATTTCTAAGTAACTTTTTTATTAATGACCTTTTTTTGGTAACCATTTTTGTTAATGACCCTTTAAATAGTCTCTCATATGATTTTTGTGTACCCTCCTTTTTGATAAGTTTTTTTTTACAAAATCAAATTCTAGAAAATTTATAAAATTAAAAATTTTTAAATTGTGATTTTTTACCACAAAAAAAAGGGTAAAATTAATAAATAGTTATCACAAAAACCCGATTTATATTCAATTGAGAATATGAGATTTTAAAAAAAATGTTAGTGCTAGAAATTGTAAAAATTTTCAAGAATTTAAAGTTACTGTGGCGGAAGAATGGAATAAGATACTGAAGGAGCTGTACCAAAATTATATTTAAAGATAAAAAAAGATATGAAGTGGTAATTTTGGCGAAAAGTATTCACACAAGATATTAACAAAAAAATCTATTTTTAATCTCTATCTACAGTTTATCTTTATTAAAATTACCTAGCTATTTGATTAGATATTTTAAACAAAACTTATAATACAGTTGAAAATATATTTAAAAACATAGAGATCAAATCTTTTTTATTAATAAATAAGATTATATATTAAAATTTTGATACTATATGCATTTTAATTTAGAAAAAAGTTCGTAAAAAAAATTCTGATATGTTCGATGTGACGTATAAAAAAATTTTAATACTTGAATAAAATTATTTATATATTTTTTCTAAATTCCTTTTAAGCTGAAGTAAGAAGCGGCCTTCTAAAACAAAATTCTCCATTTTTCTTATGCAAACAACGTCTTTTAACTAATAAAGAATAAAAATGTCTTTCTACAAAATAAAAAAAATCGAAATTAAGAATCAACTGTATTTAATTGGTCTTCGTTAATTAAATAAAAATAAATTATTCTCAATTCATAAAAAAATTTAGAATATATTTCTACTGTGTTGATTATTTGATCAATATATAATTTAAGTATGTTTTTGTATCTAATATCATCAAGATTTATAGATTCAGAAAATCGTAAAAAAGACAACATTTTTGTTAATGAAATTTTTCGTAGTTCAAGCTCAATATAATTATCTATAAATCTGTTTTTATATTGTTCTAATAAATAATCTATCGGATAAACAAAATCAAATTTTTCATGCGGTATTAGAAAACAAATAAGTTTACGATATTTTTCGATAAATTTTCGCAGATGTTTATTGTTATCAAATTTATAAAAGAAGCTATTTATACTAGAAAGCCATGAGCATGGGTATAAATCTTTGATAAGTTCTTTATATTCTGTAGCATTATTAATAGATGTAAAAAGTGTAGAAGAATATTTAGCATTACAGTCATCATTTATATATGATTTTATAAAAGTGTTGGTATGCATATCACTTTCTGATGTGTTAGAAGAAAAAAGATAACATAAGAAATAAATGTAAAACATTATGGGTAAAAAACTAGATTTTTTAAAAATAAAAACTAATTAAAAAAAATATTTAATGAATAAAATTCAAATTCTATTAATTTAAATCATTTTTGTATTTGTAATTGAAAAAAGATGCAATATATGCAATTGTAAAATATTTAATTTATTTGCATTCATATTTTATTAATAAACAAAATTGGTCTACTTTACACAAAATAAAGTTTTGTTTGTTTATTTAATTTTTTCTAATATGATATTTGATCTATTAATTTTATGACCAATTTAATTAAAAATTTACACAAAAATATCAAAAATTTTTAATAACAATTTTAAATTATTCTAACATTATTTATAAGAAAAAATAGAACGGCTTAAGAGTATTTAAAGGCCCCTTTTTTCATAATAGTGAAATTAAAATGTCTTACAAAATTTCTTGAAAATTAAAACTTAAATATTATTAAAATCTTTCAAAAGTTGCAGTATATGGCTTAGATACACTAAATTCAACAAAGTCTTTTTAATACATGCAAAAAAAAGCAGAGTAATTTCTAATTTGGCTAAATTGTAACTTACGTTTAAAACAAAAATTGGGTTTTATCTTTAATTTTAATGAAAAAGATGTGAAAAAAAATAGTTTTAATTTATTAAGAATTTTGTTTAATATAATTTTATTTAAGTTTTGATAAATACTTTAGGCGTAGGTTGGTTTTTAATGTAGGTTTACGCTAGTTTTAATAAACACATTAGGTTTTAACAAAAAAATCCAATGTTTAAATTTTTTTGGATTTTTACAATATCATAGAATAATCTTAAATATTTTAGAAACTTGCTTTTTTATTTACATCAATGATTTATTTGTGTCTTCAGATTTTTATGTTACCTTTTTTGAAAGCAGCCTTTAAATATCTAAATCACTTCAAGAGATACGTCATGTGACAGGATATGTACTTTTGGATTTTAATTAAAAAAACACTATATTTGCATTAAATTTATGTCACCACATTGGTTCCTATATTTGTTCAAACTTCTTAAAATAACTACGAAAAGCTTGGGTAGAAGCAGTCAAAAGGTCTGACTAATTAGTAGAGCTCGAAGAAAAAAACAAATCAAAGATTTAGAAATGCTAGAAAGCACAGAAATGGTTAAAAATGCTTATGAAAATTATAAATATTGATAAACATATAGACCAAAAAGGCATATATTTTGTGCCAGTTTAGCTAAAATTTATGTAGATTTTTTTCTACAAACTTATGCGATTTATTTTTGTATTGATTTTTTTTAAAAACAATAATTTTAGCATTGTAATTAAAGCTTAATATTCTTTTGAAAAAACAAAAGTATTTATAATATTATAAACAAATACAAATTTTTTCAAGAAAGATGGTGTATAATGATATTTATTGTATTAATCAATATTATAATACACATAAATCCGACATTTCAAGTTAATAAATATTTTTTTTTCTAACAGCCAATAAGACTTGATTATATTGAAATGTACTGTTTTACGAAAAACATCTCATAAAAAACTGTAGCTGTACAACCAAACACATAAAGAAGTGTTATAAACATTCATTGTTGCATTCAGAAGACTTTTTATAAAGATTTGCTTTATTTGTGTTTTTTCTAATCATCCTTCTTCTCTTTCATAAAAAATCTTTTATATTTAAACTTAAAATAAATGTACCAAACGTATGATACATCAAGGTTTCACTGATGTATTGTCTGTATCATGTTTTAGACATTAACTCCAAGACTTATAATTTCAAAATAAACTGTAAACTTTTTTTTAAAGCCTGGAACCATTTTTTTAATCGATATCGTTAACATTTAATATTAATTTGTGCGCTTTAGAGTAATATCCCTTTTAATTATTAATTTACATCTTTATATTATCACAATTAGTACGTTTAGTTCTGAGCAATTTTCATCTCTCTTTGTTTCATAATAAATTCATTTATATCAATGCCTCTGTTTACACTTTTTTTATAAAAGTTTTTATTCTCGAATTATAAGCTACAATTACTAAACGGAAATATGCACAACGTTCTTTAAAGATGAATGAAAGCAAATTTCTTAAAAATGAATCGACGTTTTACTATTGTTTTGGATAGTAATAACATATTAAATATAATTTATTGGTGTCATTGTAATCAATATTTAAATTGTAAAACAGATAATTTACAGAATCTTGAACATTATTATTGGTTTAAGTAACTGTGTTTGCACATATATCTAAAGCCAAAAATATAAATAAAAGAAAGTTTTAGCCGTAATGGAATTAAATAAACATTTTAATAAAAAGGTTTTTAATTTTGATAATTAAATTGTATATTGCTTGAGCTACAATTTATTGTTTGCTATCTCTGGCAAATATTAAAAAATACTTGTGGTATAAATACCACTTAGATGGTTTGATTACTAGTTGAAACTTATAAAAAAAGTAACATATGATCTTTTGTGCTTAATATATTTGTTAAAGTATTCTAAAGCTTTAAAATATAAATGAGCTTGATTTAACAAAAGATATAGAAGACAACAAAAGACGTTTGACTAAAAATCATGGTCATAACAAAGCACCAAGAGTGCAAGATAAATCGTTTAAAGAAAACACCTTCTTTAATAGGGTAAGTGAAAAACTTGACATTGTTAGAAGCGTTCTGGAGTTCTATTTCCAAAAAGGTCGCATTCGATAAATTATTCCAATATTTAACGAATTTAATGTAAATTAATATATCTTTTTTTTATAAATAAAAATTACAAAAATTTTACTTTTATGGTCTACTTTAAAATGAATAATAAGAAAATTTACGTAAGATAAAAGAACTTTTATTGTATTTGTGACATATTTTTATATATGCTTCCAATATGCCTCAAGTATGTAACACAATTTTGTTTATATCTCGATAATTATCTTTTTATTGTTTGTTAATCTTTATAATATTAATTAAATAATAAATAATTTTATAAAAAAATAATTAAATTTTAAGTTTAGTTTTATCACAAAACTACAGTTTTTAAATGAAAATAATATTTTTGTCATAGGCCTAGATCTAGAATGAAACATAAGTGATAGTTTCAACTCCAATTTCACCTTTGTTGCGTCTTAGTGATCAGGACTTAAAGATATCCATCTGTCAGCAGTGAAACTTGCGTTTCACTACAAGTATAAACATCATTATTTTTATCAGAAATATAAATCCCGAAAAAAACCACTTTGAGAAGTTTGTTAAATTCGACAATTTTTATAAACTTTTTTCTTTTTAGCCTTTTTACAAGTTTAACTGTCCACTAACAGCTAAATATTTTTTGCTTCTTATAGCTACTTCGAGCATATGTAATTACTTTTTTTTACGATTTATTGAAACGTTACAAAATTTACAGGGAATGAATAAAACGTACGACTAAACTAGATGATAACTTCAATTGATAAAACGATAATATTATTAATTTTCGATGAAAAAGAGAGAATATTAATTTTTTATTTATTTCTATAATATTTCTAAAATTTTCAATTTTCTTCTTTCAAAAGAAAAAATTTTACATATTTAGAAAACATTATGTCTAGGGAAGAAATCTGCCGCATCTCTTCATTTGTTGTTTTAATGCTTTTTTCTAACAATTGTTTTTTTAATTCTAAACTTAAAGAGATATTAGATTGCTCTAATAAGTCAGCAATTATTTTTTCATTATTTTGTATTAAAAATTTATCATCTTCATTGAGATCAAATAAAATTTGTTCATCAACTTTTATAAAAGATAATTTCAAAATGGCCTTTTTCCAGTCCGGAGAACCAGACATTTTTATACGCTCATAATTTTTCAGTATTTTATTTTCAGCATCGGTTGGATTGCTCTCAGAGATTTTAAAATTTACTATCTGATCTTTTGCACCTAACCTAGCTTCACAGATAACAACACTTTCTGAATATTTTGCATATCCCATAACAATAGCACGAAATGAAAGATAAAGCTTCCGCAATGTGTCATTATCTAAATCGGGGTTGAATAATTTCATAGTATCGATGTGTGGCTTAATGTTCATTGATCCAAAAAAATTTGAATTAAGATCTATCTGCTTCTTTCTACTTTTGAAGTAATGTTTACATATTAATATCGTGGCAATGATTACAATTAATATGGCTGAGGAAACTACAATTGTAATTGATGCAAGAGATTTCCAATCCATTAGTGGGTATAATTTTAAAAATTTACTTTTATTAAAAGGAGAAATTATATCTAAAAAGGGGATGATTGCTTAATAACTTTAAAGCTTTTATTTTGGACAAATATTACTACGTTCTTTTAACATTTACATATAAAATTGATACAAACAAAATTGCATGTTAAATTTTCAATTATTTTTATTTTTTAAAACTATCATAAAAAAGTATCATAAAAAGTGTATTATGCTTAATGATTTCACTTAATAAGAGCTTTTTTGTTTTTTGTTTTAATTAATGGTCTGTATAATTTTTTTACTGTTATTAACATAATAAATTCTTCAAAAATTGTACTAAAAAATAGAGGACTAAATCGGGCAGACCGGTATTTTTTGATATTTCCAGAATTTGTAATTTTTTAACCCCTAAAATGATAAAACTCAAAGAGGAAGAGGAGTACCAAAAATTTGCAAGTGAAGTCAATAACCATTATAACAATCGAAAATGTTATAAATGCGGTTCAAATACACGTAAACTGAAGGAAAAGAACAGGATTGTCTGTTCCTTTCCTGCATGTAAGTGTAGGTTCACTTGCTATAAAGGAACAATTTTTGAAAACTCGCCACTTCCTATTATTACTTTAATAAAAGTAATAGATATGTGGATTGAGAATGTTCCTTGTGATCTTATTGCCAGCATTGCAGGAATTCATAGATCTTCGGTCTTTGAAATCTGCGATAAGCTACGATCACTAGGTGGATTAGACTTATATTTAAATAAGTTTGATAGAATTGGTGGAAATAATGCGATAGTTGAAATTGACGAAAGTAAATTCGGCAGGAGAAAATACAACAGAGGCCACAGAGTAGAAGGCGTTTGGGTTGTGGGCGCCGTTGAAAGAATTAACAAAAGAATCGTGCTAAGACATGTAGAAAAAAGAGACGGCTTTACTTTAACGACGCTTTGTAAAAAATACATTAAAAAGAAACGACTATTTATAGTGATTGCTGGAAATCCTATTCAAATCTTTCCAAGGAATTTTTTAAACATCAAATTGTAAACTATTCAAAAAATTTTGTTGACAAGCAAACTAACACGCATACCAACATCATAGAAGGTAACTGGAGTGGAATAAAAAGGACAATTCTAATAAGAAGCAGAACATGGAAATATATTGACATATATGTGGTATTATCTACCACATTTTTATCATATTTTAAAATTTTTCCCACAAATGAATTTTCCAGAAAATATTTCAGTATAAATATTTTCTTTTTATTTTACCCCAAAATATATTTTATACTCATGAGCAGTAACCAAAACCAGCATGCAAGAGTATCACCTAGCAAAGTTGCAAGCAATAGCAACAATCCAAATAAAACAGTATTTACAAATAATAAAGGCTTTGGGAGTTGTGTTCTAGAAGACTTCTTATCTTCTGGCCAGCTGCCCTTGTATTATGTCAATATACTTATTAAGATTTATGTTAAAAAAAACGAAGGGAGCAACAGTCTAGAGGTCTTATTAAAATATTTTATTAATATTTATTTAGAATGATTTGTTTGTTGATTTGTAAATTTTTTATTTACTTATAATTTATTCGTGAACTGTACAAAAATTTTTCAATTTTAAAATGAATTTACACTTTAAGACTTCGTTTTGCAAGTGTAAATTCATTTTAAAGTTGAAAAATTGGGGTTAAAAAATATCAAATTTTGGAAATATCAAAAAATACCGAACAGGCCGACTATAACTGAAGGGAGGCTTTGTCTCTTTGGGCTACAATCTCCATGTATCCCCTTGCAGATACATAACTTGTATCAACTATCCCAAAAACTCAGACTTGATGATCTGACGTTCGTCCCCCATTATAATTTTGCTTGTGAAAAAACAAGCTTTCATCAATTTGGCATATAGTGACGGGACCACCAAGGGAAATCGAATTTCTAATAAAGAACTCTACACATGCATTTCTAAAACTTCTGCACATTTCAGTTACCTTATCGTGTCCTGGTCCCGTTAAAACGTTAATATTTTTATGCGAAGTGTTTATGCTCCAAAGATAAATGGCGTATACTCCCATTTGTAAATCAATTCGTGTTTTTTCAAAAAACGAATTGTTTTTGATTGAAAGTATAGTTTTAAACTTAAGACATTGTTTGTTTCCGCACTTCCAAACAAATTTGTCTTTGGTCTTTTACTACAAGCTCGCCAATCCATACCTCTAGAGCAATAAACACAACACATGCTTCTTTTGATAAATCATATGGATTTGAGAAAGTTGATAGTACAATTTATATCAGTACCAATAATTTGCAAAATTTCTTCTCATATAAGGGTAAAATGTTAAAAAAAATTATACTGCGGTTACTTCCCCCTGGGGAAGAAAACCGCACTGATCCCCATCTTCTGACCCGTAACCTTCAGTATGATAAAACTATACGATGCCTAAAATTTAAATTTTTTGCAACAGGCGGATATGACAGGTGTCCGTCGGTAAATAGAATGCTATCATTGTTGATATTAGGCATCATAGTTGCAGTTAATGATTCTATAGCACGAACAATATCTCTACAAAGAAAGAAATTTCTTTCTTCTGTTTGGTCTATTCCACCTAATATCCAAATTGTATCCCTGGTATCATCGGAGCTTGTAAGATTTCTAATAATCCCTTTACGTGACAAAACGCTTTCATCAACTTCAACAATTATACAACATCCTCCCGACACAACAGACCTTTTTTCAAAGTAGTCTTTGTAACAAACTAAAAGTTAAGAGTTATACTTTGCAATAGTAGTGTCAGATATTCTAAAAAATATCGACAACTGAAAGTAATTTAAATCACACATTAAACAATATAATAATCTTGCTATTTTTATTAAGGGTAGAGTAAAATGAAACAAAAAAAGATGTTTTTGGTATCTTTTCTTTGTACATCTACAACCTATACTTCCGTTGCTTGTAGAAATTGGCAACAATCCAGACAAATAGCCACACCTTAAACACGAAATGGAAAAGCTTATAATATTATTGCTCATAATAAAGCTTTTTGGCACATCCAATATTGAATAATTTTATGTTCTATTGTAATATTCATAAGGATTATCTTTAAAATTTTTAAATCTTTTGCCCTTCTAAAAGAAATCATTAATATTTTATTCAAATAATTTTGATAGCTTTTTGGTTTTATATGTGCTTTTGTTATTAAATTAAAAAAAACTTTTTGTATTTATGAATACAGATGTATATGGTTGTATTAGTTAGGATAGGTAGATAGGTTAGATAATTGAATTAAGTAGTTTGATTAGATTAGGTGGGTTAGGTAATTTTAAATTGGTGGTATCAGGTTAGTAGTATTTTTGGGGTTAAAAACAACAATATCAATTTTTTAAAACGCTCTCGTTTTATACAAAAATATCGGGATGGTTGCCTGACTTCATAAATTTGCTTACCAGTTTGTTGCGCCTATTGGCTTTTTGATATATTATCTTCTTTTTATTTTTTTAGCCCCTGTTTTAGATTGAAAAAAAGGTAGGCAAATACGCGGAGAAGATCCCAAAAATGTAGCCGAGTCACGCTAAAAGACCAAACCAATATTATCACGCGAAAAATCTTATATAATTAGTGTTGATATTCGTAGTCCCTTTTTGGCTAGAGATTTAGAAGTTTCGGAGGCAAATAGGAAGTTGTTTAATATTACCATATTAAAATTTTCAGAATATCTCAAGTTAGATTTGCTTACAAAGCAGAAACGGAAGAAATTTTAATGAAAGTTGGATTAATAAATATAAACAACTAGAAACTTTGTAAGTGATAATAGCGGTTAATATATATCAAAAAAGAATAAAAAAATTTATAACATAAGCATTAAACATATAAGTGTTTCTTATTTAAATTTAAGTTTAAATGGAATAAGTAAACGTATAAATAAATTATTGGTGAAATTTTAAGAATGTATAAACGAAAATTGATTAAAGAGTTAAAAAAGAAATAAAACATAGATTAAATAAAAAATGTAACAAAAAACTAAAGAACATCTTTTAAGTTATTAAAAACAGAATTAAATTTTTATTATCTGTTTAGAATGAAAGGAATTTTTAATATTGATACAAAAAGATACTGCAGGAATACTAAGTTGTCAAATAACCATTCTGCACTTTGAGACATTTGATTTGTTTTCTTTAGATATTTTATAATAAATAGACCCACGTTTTGTTCCGCAAGATAAATTAAGCACAGAAATACTGTTCAGTCGTGAGTTTTATACCAAAGATTTGGTATATTTAAGAAATTATTGTACAAATAGACTGATATTAGCTATATATAGGATCTTACCAAATAATTGAAAAAGGAAAGAAAGTGTTTGTCAAAATTGATGGCTGAACTGTATGATTTCGTTGGAAGCAATTAAAATCTAAAAGAGAGCAGGATATTGCTGATCTTCTTGTAAAATCTAAAATTTTTTATTTTGGAGTTTTCTAGGAAAAATTTATTATAATTAAATTCTTTAAAGAAGAATATTAAAGATGATTAAGAAGGAAAAACAAAATTCTTTATGAATTTTTAGAAATGTTTAAATAAAGGTTATTACATTGGAAACATTTAGTTATGTACTCAAAAGAACATGTTTTTAATTATCTGTAAAATTAAATGTTTTACCCTTATTTTTATGAAACTTGTCATAGTTATACTATGACAATAAATTATAATTTGTTGTTTAAAAACTTTGTGTTCACAATTGCAAGAATCAAAATAAACCTAAATAAAAAACTTTAAATAAAGAGTAAGAAGAAAAAAGAAATGGAAAACAGAAATTGTAATCATAATTTTATTAGACAGCCCAGAGCAGAAATAGGGCGTGCAACGTATAAGAAAAATAATAATAAATATAATATTACTGAAACTAAAAGTATTGTTAAAAAATATTTGAAACAAGGGAGTTATCTTTTTAGGCAGGACAAAACTATACACAGAAGAAGAGTACAATGAAAATTTGAAAAATTTTAGAGACTTAGTTGTAGCAAAAGGTTGCGTTTATTAAAATAAAGACATAAAGTTAAGTACAGATAATAAGTTTATATGTAAAAATAGTATTTGTGAATCCTAGATACAGTATTTACAAAAATACAATTTTTTCATCTATAAAAATATCTGTTTTGAATTATATAAAGATTTTAGATTTATTTTTCAATAATTTTCATTAAATTTTTAAGTGTTATAAGTGGTATTTCAAAACAGAAATTATCTGTAATTCTAATCAATGTAATAAGGCAAGGATTTTTATTTAATATGTAAGCTCACTTTATCTTGAAGAAAACGATAATGCTGCGGAAATAGACGAAAGTAAATTTGGAAAAAGGAAATATAACAGAGCTTGAAGAGTTGTGGGTATTTTGGGCAGTAGGTTGAATTGGCCGAAAGAACTTAGTAACGCTTGTTAGATTACGCAATAAGTTAACGTTGCAAAACATAAATATTTAATATATTAAAGTTGATAAAATAATTTATTCGGATCGTCGAAAAGTTACAGTGACTTTGGTATGTATTTCACAAAACATATGACTGTGAATTATTCAAAAGAGTTAGTAAATACTGTAAACAACATGTTGGTACACACAAATACTATTGAGGGAAATTTGACAGGTATAAAAAAGAGTTTCTCTTACAGGCGTAGAAATATGTCCTTAATTAAATATTATTTACTTAGATTCATGTTAATACGTAATTAAAATTTAAATGAACTTTTAAAGCTCTTAGAACTTACTCTAGAGTACAATTTTAAATAAAAAATTTAACATTACTTTACTATTTAAAAATAGGGGTAACAAAATTAATTTTGCAGGTAATTAAAAAACATGTTCTTTTAACTAAAATTCCCAAAAACATTATTGAGTGATATCTATTGTTGTATAACTACCACATTATATTATTTTTTTTTTATTTTAATATTTTCCCTCTAAAATTGATTTTCTAAAAAATATCTTATTTTAGTTTACCCATAGATATATTTTTTATGATGAGAAATTCATTAGTAGCAATATCATCAGCAAGCAGCGATTAAAGACAACGCAATTACTAATAGCAGGCCAACAATTTAATACATTAACAAAAAGCTTTTAGGCACAGGAGAATACATTTTAAAAAATTTTTAATCTTCAGGGCGGCTACCAGGAAATAATGCTAGATCTATTTACCGAGAAGGTTTTTTCGGCTTATTACAAATATAATTCTTTTAGCTTTAAAATTGATTGCAACAAAAACATTAAATTAAAAACTTCTTCAAAAATAAAATATTCTGAACAAAAATGTAAAAAAAATCAAGAATTTATAGTTTGTGTATGTGTATAAGGTTTTTGAACTTTTTTTTTGAATACATGCATTGATAGAGTGTCTTAAAAATTACTGTTTGTAATCTATTTCTCAGAATTATTAATAAAATTGATAAAAGTTATGTATAATATCTTCTTTCCTTATAATCAGAATAATGTTCATTTTTTTTATAGTCCTTAAACAATACGATATCTAGTTTTGTAATGTATTTATATTAATTTTCTGCATATTCACATTATTACATTCTTAATATGATTTTGCAAAAAAAGAAAAATTATTTTTTCAATTTAAAGCATTTTAATTTAAAAAAATATAAAAATCCTGATTTCTTACTTAAAAACAACAAGGCTATTAGCTTTTTGGCTTTTACAAGTTGTATTTAATAAAATCGAATTGATTATATGTTTTTATGTTTTGTACAAACAAAAACTCTAAAACTTCCAAACCTAAATTAAATGTCAAAAGTTTCAAGTCGTTAAAAAATATATTTAATTTTCAAATGCATTGTAAATAAATTTTGTTTATTTAAATAAAATGATTTATTGTTTATACTACAAATACAAAAATTTATAAAGAAATTAAGTACTGTAAATAGTTGTTATTTTACATATGAATACACAAATAATAAAATTAATTAAATTGATTTATTTGTTTGTAAATATTAAATAGGAATAAATAAAAAAATTTCTACCCCATGAATATTTGAGACATAGAAAGACCCTGGTCATTGATATTAAATGTAAAATTGTATTTAAACGATAACATTTATAGTTTGACCAAAAAGCACTGAAAATGTTAATATAACACACAAGTCCATGATGTTCTAAGTCGAGAGCATAATGGCAGTACACCAATTACATTTGTATTTATAATTATAGTAGTGGATTATTGGTAGCTACATATCAATAATCCACTATAAATTATAGAAAAGTTTGCAGTCTGAACGTTTTAATGACGAAACCTCAATACAATTGATTGAGTAAAACTATCTGAATATGATAGGCCCTACTCTAAAGGATTTTTATAGATTGTTTTATTTTACATCTATAAAAAAACTTTATCTCGAATTTCACAATTGTTGTTATTTATGCCTTATGGGTTAAATTTTTTTATTTAAAACTTTAAGAAAAAATATTTTTTTCATTTAATATAAATGACAAAAGAACTGTTCTTAAACTGTTTTTTTGACATCTATATATTAAATAAATAATTCTATGCTTAATACAATTTTGATATATATTGTTAATTTTTGCAAATTTCTTCAAGGTTTGTTTATTATAAACAAAAAAATAAATTAATTAGTAGCATTTTGTATTACAACATTACAAATTTAGTATACATTAATTATTGACAAAAACATTGTTTTTATCATTAAAGGTATACATTTCTGTATATAAACATTATACCTATTTAATTTATAAAGTGCTTTTTATTAAGAAAATATTATAATTATAAAGGCCTTTTTATTATGATTTATGGTTTGTACAATTTTAAATAAACAATAATTTGTAAATAAGATTATTAAAGCGCATTTTTAATTTATGTGAGTATTTTGACAGCCACAAAAAATTTTAAGGTTTTAATATTTTAATTGTAAAACGATTTATTAACTAACCACTTCACCGCCGATATACAGGCGTACGACAAAGATAAGCCGTATATAATGACTTAAAAAAAGATGGTAACTAGACACGCAAAACTATAGAAATGATGAAAGATTGAATAGTCAAGTTGAAGAGCATGTGCAACATGGCGTGTTTTAAATGGCCTTCAAGGGCTTTGTCCATGATATGACCTTCTATTATTTAAAGATGGTGGTCTAGAAGTTAATGAGCTAAATACAGGAAACAATGTTGACGACGTAGAACACCTTGCCTATAAAGAAGAGAACTTCTTGAATATATGCCTAAATAAATTCCAATCAAATATTGCTAATTTTTAATAGAATTTACCCTGTCTCTGAAATTTTTTAAAGGAAAACGGCTATTTTTTAGATAAAGCTCAATAAAGTTTTTGTTGCAAATTTTTGTTTTAATAAAATTGCTTTTATTCTTGTAATTCTTATTACAATTTTTAGATTTCCTTTAAAATTCATCATCCTTCTATTTAAAATACCTTTTATAAAAATTTGTAAAATAATAAATTAAAATTTGTTATGGAAATATTATTACCGTTATATAAAAACCAAACAGTTGTATAATTAAATTTTAATTACTATTTTTAAAAACCTCCACAATATTGAAACGGAGAAGAAACATAAATACAATCTTTTAGCAAATCATACAGCCTCAATGTATAGGTATAAGTCTAAAACTATCCCTATGTAATGACGTGTATTGGTATAGTAACAAATTACCACCGCCTATATGCAAACGACCTAGGATTGAAGTTCACAATCGAGGCATATATACAAACAAGAGTCCTCAAGATGACATTGGAAAGCCTAACTATCGCCAGTCGCCGAAGCCCCGGCGCTTGCCCGCAGTTAGAAGTAGGTATTGAGAAGGAAAACTTTAAGAGGATGGACTCGGGTTTGGAAGTTTCAAAGACGGCCTGTAATGAATAAAAACAAGAAAACTTATATATATACTCCAATAAATATATATATATTTTTAATTAAATTTTTATGACATAATGATTTAAATTTCAAATTTTTTATAAAATGTGGCAAATTAAATTTTTAATTTTAGCTTATACAAGAATATCTGTTTTACACTGTCGAACCAGCAGAGGATCTTCCTGATTAATTTATATCAAAAAGATGTTTTTTACTGGTAATAAAAAAGATTATATTGCAAAATCTGATCAATAATATATTTTTCATCCTTTTCTGTATTTCTACGTTGAATTTGTTGAGCCAGTTTTATTATAGCATTTGAATCTTTACATTTATCTTCTTCATCATATTTTAGTGAAATATTTAAAATTTGCATGATTAATGAATAAATAGTTTTGCAATTTCGATTAAAACCATATGTGACCATAAATTTGTAACTAGACAGAAAATTTAAGCCGGGCAAATGTTTTATAAATTTGATAAAATCAGTATTGTGTGTTATCATTAAACAATAAACCTGAAAAATTAGTAGGTATTTTACAATAGCTATATTAAGTGGTACAAGTGTTTCCCAATGTATTCCATTATTAAGCTCATCTAATATCAACAAGGTGTTTTCATCATTATATTGATTGTCAATAAGATTAATAATCTCTTGTACATTTGTTTTGTGATTTGATTTAAATATAATTTTTTTAAAAAGTTTTATAGTGGCATTTTTTGCAGCAATAGGATATCCTATTTGATTTAAAACAACAATTTGTAATATTTGTTTTGCATACACCGACTTGCCACTCATATTTGAACCCATTAATATATTAACTCTAAACAAATTAGACAAATAAATATCATTATAAATAACTTTTTCTTTGTTAATCACAGGGTTGTATGAGGAAACAATACAGATTTTATCGCTTATTGTTGGTAGACAACAATCAAATTTGTTAGAAAATTTATAACTACTTAAACACAAATCGATCTCTGAAATTTCATCAAAAAAATCGTAAAATTTTTGTCTATAATTTTTACATTCTTTTAATATCTCTTTACACAATTCACCACCTATTTCTAAAATCTGATTATATGATTCTGATAGTTTAAAATTTAATTTTTGCAATTCCAAGGTAGTTACAATAACATAATTATTTTTACTGTTTAATAAAATAAACTCTTTGGGCAACTTAAAATTTATGTTTAAATTATTTTTTTTTTTTTCTAAATCATTTGCTGGTAAAAAAATCTCTTTAGATGATAAATCATTTATAGCCTTTTTTTCTATACTTTTTGTTGGTGTATAAGTGCAATCTAAAATACTGGTTTTTGAGTTTAAAAAATTGTTCATGTTGCTAAAAGAATCCTTTGTTGATAATTTTCTTTCATTATTTTTATAATTTGCCTCAAAGTTAATTGGTAGTTTAAATTTAAATTGGAATTCATTGTTAGAAGATTTATGTATTTTACAATCAAGTTCAGTAATAATCTGTTTTAAATAATCTTGAGTAGCCTCAAAAGTTTCCTTGTAAATTTTTATTGCAAGATCTAAGTAGTCATCAATTCCTGTATTAAAAAGTGAATCTATTTGATTTTCGTCATGAATGTCACTATTAAAAATTTCTTTAAAGACATTTAAAATAGAACCATGATCAAATTTAAATAGAGCACACTTTTCTCGAAGTGCATGGTACAACTTTATAAATTTATAAATTTTATATGTTGAATCAATATGTTTTTTACAACTATTTATGTCGTTATTACAACCATAATTAAAATTTATAATATTTTCTATATCAGGCATTTTTCTTAGAATTTTTTCAATTGTAATGCTTAGCACTGGATTTTGTTTAAAATAAAGAAGTTTCTCTCGCCTAAGTTTAATATCTGTGGCAAAAATCAAAGGTTGCAAAATGTCCAACTTCAATTTTCTTTTACCATAATTGGTGTTTGTAAGATTGATTAAATTAAAAATTTCCTGTATCTCATTACTTATAAGACAGCAACGATTACTCAAAAATAATTGTTTAAATGTTGTACTTGCTTTTTGTAAATAATTCATTAATGCTGATATAGCACAACTTAAAAAATAATCGTCAAATTCTTTTAAATTTTCTTTTAAACAAGAACGTTCTATCAACTCAATTTTTACATAAGTGCATTTTTCAATTAAAAAGTCTTGTTCTTTTTGAATTAATAACAAATCTATTTTTTGATCACATATCAAAGTGCACAAATTTTCAAATTTTAAAGAATCATAACATGTTGTAAAAAATATTTCATCATTACAGTTTTTATTAAAAGCCAAAGATATTTTTGCTGGGTTATCTCTATTGCAAGCCACACAACCAACAATCTTATCTTTATGCATATCTTAAAAATTTTTTTCTTTAAATATTTTTTTGCATAAATTTTTAAGTTTGTATGTTTCAATAAACAAAATGCTGTTTAAAAAATGATTATAAAATAAACTATAAAAATCAAAAAAGGGTTACTAGTTATATATAAATAATGGTTTTTATTAAAAATTATATTTTTGTATGCTGATTGTAGTTTCAATACTTTTTTTGATTTAAAATAAAATCGTAATTCTAGAAATTTATTTTAAAATGTAAAAAAAATTAAGTAAGAAAAGTTTTTAATTGCACACAACATTAATTAAATATTTATGAATACTTGGTTGATATTAAAGGAAGAATTTAAAATATTTTTATAAATAAGAAATGAACTAAAAAAATTCTATATCTACATTAATAAATATTACTTTGTAAAATAGAAGACAGTAAAAATTTATTATAAACGATCAATGATAGGTTAAATTTATAACAACAAAAATAATCAGTTATATTGGTTTTTTGCTTGTGAAATTGCAAAATTTAATGCACAATCTATTTTAACGTTGTAAAAAAATAGATTTTACTTAATAAAGTAAAGTAATATTTATTTTGTAAAAATCTTTTCTACAGTACTATGTAAATAAAGTACTTTTTGTAAATAGATAAATTAGAATTGCATTATCTTTAACATCAAGCTCTAGTCAAGAATCTTAATACAATAGAAAATAAATTCTTTAAACAAGATTTTATCTTCAAACAAAAATTTATAAAAGGTCAAAAAGAATAATGAAAAATAATTCATACTTTTTTATTTTAAATATAATCTAATTTATATTATTCGTTAATAATCAAAATTTAACAAGCTTTGTTGATATACTTTAAGTAATATAAAATGTTGGAGTTTTCAGATAACAAAACTTCTTTTATAATTAGTGGTGGCCAATAATACACTTTCATGATGTTTCAGAACGTTTTCGAGCTGGCCCCAATTATATAAATTACTCTTTTAGACTGTTGTTTCTCCTTTAACAAAAAGAATCATATTTTTTGTTATTCAAATAATGTTGCTCCCAACATAAAGCTTTTAGTTTTTATGAATGGGGTAATAAACTTAGTAAAAAATTTTTAACCGTAGCACACATAACCTTAGTCATTTTATTATTTTTGTATTAAAATGTATGCATCTATAAATTTATATACTATGGTTAATTAAATGTTTTTTAAAAAATTCTGTTATAGAAAGTATTTTTAATCTATTTTCACAGCCCAAATTATATAATAAACGATCTTATATATTAAAATTAAGGTAAAATAGTATATTTTCAACCCATTTAATCAATTTAAAGTGGCTATATAAAGAACTTTAGTCTATAAAAATGTTATAAAGATGTTTTATATCTAAATTACATTACATTTTAAGTGTGGTTAAAAGTAAACTAAAACAGTTTAATTGATTTTTGTAAAAGCATCTACAGATTATATTACACTTAATTATCAATATCACACATGTAAATTGCATTAAATCTTTAACTGTTCATATTTTCTATACCCCTTTCCGATGAAATTAAACATTTTTAAACAAATTGACTACAAACCAAAAGAAATAACCGCATTATGTAGTACAGATACACATATTTATATATTTAGATCTAATAAGAGCTGTGAAATTATCGATTCAGTTACACTTCAATCATTTTCTTATATTAATACTGGTTATGTTATTATAAAATCATTGATTTATAAAAATTCAATTATTTGTATTTCTGAGCTTGATGAACTTCTATGGATTAATATAAAAAATTTTAGCATAGAAACTAATAAGATTGGATACAAAATTTTAGATTTTATTTTGTATGGTGATAAAATATTATTAACTACTTTTAACGGATTTATAATAGAACTTAAAGAGAAGGAACTTAATATTAAATACAAAACATCTGTTTTATTGTCTTGCATTGTACAATATGATGATGTATTTTTAGTAGGAGCTCAGAATAAAATTTTGATTTTTGACAATAATTTTAAATTAAAAAACGAGATAGAAATACAAGAAGGGTTAATCAAAAAAATTACCTATTTTAAAGATAAAAAGTTTGGATTAGTTACAGATACTGGATATTTTATATTTTTAGATATCAGTTTACTTAATATTATACAAAAAATTCAGATTAGGAATTCTTCTCTGAATGTTCTTTTATATAATTCTGATACTTTTTATACTTCTGGTGAGGATAGTAGACTGATTTGTTACAAGTTAATTAATAATATATTTGTAAAAGGATATCAAATAGATTTACATTATGGAATAAGTAATTGTATTCTTTTAGATCATAAAAGAATATTTGTTGGGAATTCTGATGGAATGTTAAGTATATTAATTCCTTGTAAAGATAAATTTACATATACAAAGATATATGATAGAAGTGTATGTGCCTCAACTTCTAAAGATCTACTTTTAGTGAATAATAGAACACATCTAGATTTATTTAATTTAAAAGAAGAGAATGTAAAACTAAAAAATAAATCTAACAAAAATGAAAAAAATCAGTTATCTAATTTATGTACATTTAAATTATTAAAAAATATTAAGGAAGATTTTTCCGTGAAAAATGTTCCTTTTAGTAATTTACTTAGAATTTATAGTGATTTTATATCATTTAGTATTATTTGTGATTCTAATATTATTTACAGTGACAGTAAAGGAACTAATTTAATTGAATTAGAGAAATCAAATGTAAATAAAATAAATTTACCAGATTTAGAAAATTTTAGAAGTGTAAATATTAGAACGGATAATAATGTTATTTTATTAAAAGATTTTACAGGAAGTTATAAGTTTATATCTAAAGATAATTATATGAATGTTAATTATGAGATAAAAAATGAAGAACATAATAATGAATTATTAATTAGTAAAGATGGTCCTTATAAACTAGTACAAGTAAAATCATATGATATTAATAAATCATATATTTTTTATATTAATGATAAAATTAAGAAAAAGGTTACTACTTTAGATATAATAATTGATATTTTTACTTTTCAAAATGAACTATGGTATTTTACACAAACATATATTTATAATATTGATAGAAATAAAAAATTTGAATTTGATGCGGTAATTTATGATGTTAAAGTAGTAAATGACAGGATTGTTGTTGTTAAAGATGACTGGAAATACATACAAAAATATATAAAACAAGGAATATTTAAAAAGAAATATTCTACTAAATAAATTTTATATAATAAAACTAGTGCATTTTGTTATCTACAGGAATTGAACCCAGAACTTCCCCCCGCTTTTTTCGGAATTTGAATAATTTTTATATTTGCTTAGACTATCAAATTAAATTAAGTCGTACAAAAGTTATATGTATATATAATGAAACTTACAATTTTATTTATTTTCTTGTACGTATTTCTTTATAAAAAGTTACCTTAATATTAATGTTTTTTAACACATTTAAAAATATAAATTTAAAGTGTATGCAACAATAAAATCGATTACTGTTCATGAACAACTAATAATTAAAGAATTATTATTACAATAAATATGATTTAAAAAAATAAATATTTACAACTTTAAATTTAATTTACAGATATTAATCAAAGATGTAAAATTTAATAGAAGCATTATTATTTTAAAATTCAATATTATCAGAAGACGGGATTAAATAGGCAAATACAAACATTCCTCAACAGTTTTTTAAAATCGTAAAGTTTGACAGCTCCTTTGATAAACTTGTCAACTTTTAATTTATACTAACCTCAAGGAAAAGTTTTAAAAATTATTAAAGATTATTATAAATAAAAATTACTCAAAATTTACATTCTTAATATCACTTAAGCATATTTTTCAACTTTACAGAACACCAATCATCTTTTTAATTAATTTTTTAGATGTATATTAAAAATTTACTATTTTTATTCTTCTTTGTAAACTTCACAAATATTAACAATTACACAAAATTTAATATATCACACAAACTAAATTCATAAATTTGTAAGTATATTAAAATGTATAACACTAGTATTCTGTAAAAAGTCGTTTATTTAATTAATTATAAATTTACTCGATGTTGTTATTATCTTCTCTTTTTATTATTTTTACACCCTTGAATGAATATTAAATACGACATACAAGAAACACTTGCTAGCGGCAGTACATCAAAAGTGAAACGAATTCTGACTATTGACAATATTGAATATGCCATTAAAATAATGCCTAAAATGCTAAAAGATATCAAATCTTTTAATAAGGAAATATCAATTCATAGATCATTAAATCATCCTAATATAATAAAATACATTGATTCATATGAAGATAAAGATAATTATTATATGGTTATGAATCTGGCAAAATTCGAGCTATATACTTTTATTGAGTGTGATGTTGGTATAAATCCGTTAGTAGTACACTTTTTAATTAAGCAGTTAATTTCAGGGGTGGAATATTTACATAGTAAAGGTATCTGTCATAGAGATATTAAACCCGAAAATCTTCTAATAGATGCTGATGGAACACTTCTTATATCTGATTTTGGATATTCTACATTTTTTAGATATAAAAATAAATATAGAAGATTGAAATTTTTGGCTGGTAGCAAAGAATACATGGCTCCTGAGGTTGCAATGGAAAATTACGATGGAGAGCTATGCGATGTATGGTCTTTAGGGATTCTTTTAATTGTTTTACTCACAGGAACTCTTCCGTGGGATGCTCCTATACCAAGTGATCAGCGCTTTAAAACGTTTATCTCTATGAAATACCACTATTATCCGCCTTTTACAAAAATCCGAGATAAGATTCTCGATTTAATTAAAAAAATTTTAGTAGTAGAAAAAAGAAGATTTACGTTAGAAATGGTAAAAGACCATTCTTGGATTAAAGAAGAAAGTTCTGTGGCCAGGGATACACTATTCAGTTTGATGCCTATCAAAGATAGTTGTAAACTGGTTTTTACCCAACCTGATGACAATCAAAGACTTATTGCTGGATCAGATCTTAAATTAAGTCAGCCAATAAATAATTGCAATCAAATCTGCGAGCAAAAAAGATTTTATAAAAAAGGGAATATGGTGGAAATAAAAAATGAAGTTACAGATCTTTTAAAATGGATGGTTGTACCACATAAAATTCTAGAAGATGGTATATCTTTTAGTACTACTGACACTAAAAGAGGGGTGTTAAGAGGAGATATAATTTTTACAAAAGTAGAAGATCATTGTTACATCACATTTAGAAAGATAAAAGGAGATTTTAAAGAATTTAAAAAATTTTTAGGAGCATTTGCTGATAATTTTAGTGAAGATAATAATTAAATTTTTTTGTAAAAAAATTGCAGTTTAATTTATTTTTAGTAAAAAAATTATTAATAATATTTTAAAATTTGGTTTGGCTGCAAGGATCTTAAAAAAGTTTTATAAAATATTCCTGTATATCATTATAAAAAAGTATAAATTGAAAATAGTACAAGTAAACAATTGTACAAATAATTTACATAAAATGCAACATTTTATTAACCCGATGGATAAACTAATTTAATCTCAAGCTAAATGTAACTTAAAGTCGAAAAATAGAATTATTTATATTGCATGTAATTAAAATATTGATAATTTAATCTTTTAACAACTAATTATTATTTATATAAAAATGTAGCATATTTAATATTTCTTTTAACAATTAAAACATTTAATATAACACTATTAAAAATGTTTATTATTATTTATAAAAAATAAAAAAGACGTTAGTATTAAAAAATTATAATTTTTTAAGGCTAAAACCTGCTTTATTAGGCAGCTATTGCAGGGGGCCAAACTTTTTTTTATGTTTTTCTAAAAATGAGAAGAATTATGATGACAAACGACGAAGAAATACAAAATTCGTATTTTTAAGTAAAACTATTAAAGCAGAGACAAAAATGCCTTAATGTGCTTCGATTACGAACAGAAAGCCCCGATAATGCTTTTTTTGCGGTGCAAGTTGGAAAAAACTGCAAATTTTTATTAATATCTGAAAGAACAGTTTTTTTGAAAATGCACGGCTTGATCATATTTAATGCTTTCAATAATTAATTTATGGTTGGTTTGTAGGGACTTTTTATACTTTATTAATGCATATATTAGGCTGCAATAAACAAAATAAAATAAATAAACTGCAGTCCTTCTACTTATGAAACAAATCTCCAGAGTATAGAACAGATTGTAGGGGACAATGTTGTCGTAGAAATAGTGTAGTCGAAGATAGAAAGAATATTTATAACACAGGAAAGAATTTAAAAAGATTTTGGTGTTTTGTGACAATAAAAAAATAATTTTTGTTCTTATCAAAAAGCATGACGTACAGCCTTTAGTACTATTATTCTTAAAACACTTTGATATCAAATCCACAATATTCTTAGATATGCAAAAGTCTATTTTTATCTCGAGTTATATTTTTTTATTAACACTACATGGTAAATCGTTCAATAACTTTAAGATAACAAAAAACAGGCGTTCATAATAATACAATAGAGAGAAACTTGTGTTCAATATAAACTTTTACGTCTAATGAGTGCAGGACAAAAAAACCTGCTCCTCTATTTCTTACTAGATAATATGACTATGAGGAACAAATTTAAAAAAACAAAACAAAATTTCACAAATTTATATATACACTATATTAAATTTTTTAACCTTTTTTAAGGATACTAAACAGTGAAGAAGAGTATGAAATTATTTTAAATACAATAAATGTGTATATTTCAAGTAGTGGATGCTATAAGTGTAGAGAAGTGATCAAAATATATAGCTTTCTGGCAGTTAGATCTACTAATAGAATTTGTAAGAGTAGATTTAGTTTGTACAAAAACACCATCTTTAATTGTTCTAAATTAACTACAGAAGGTATTTTAAAAATAGTTGATTTATAGTATAATTTTGCTCTTTTGCCTATAACTGCTAGAATAACAGGTGTAGGAGTTGACAAGGTGGGATTGATTATTAACAGATTTAATCATGAAGATAATTTTTTTAATTATTAAACTTCTCTTAATCTTGAAGGAAAAGGAAACATAGTTGAGATAGATGAAAGTGAATTTGGGAAGCAAAAATACAACCGAGGCATTATGTTGATTTATATGACTTCTTGGTGCCGTAGAATAATCTACATCCAAAATAGTAATTTTACTTGTACATCGCTGAACGAAAATTATTTTGTATCTACTATAAAAAAACATGTTTATCTTATATTATAATTTATTCCAATTGTTGAAAAGTATACAACGATCTTAATTTATTTTTCTTTAGACATTTGAAGGTAATTATAGTATTAAATTTGTTAGCCGGGTAAACAATGTATATATTAATACTTTAAATGGGATTGTTATGGTATAAAAAAAATATACCTTTAAGAAATAGATCAAAATAAATTATTAACTTTATCTACCGCACTTTATACTTGATAGAAATAATAGACGATCTATATGCAAAGATATATTTATTCTGTCCCTTAAACATAAATTAGCAATTATTAAAAGGAGTAAATTCCACTATTTTTTCTTTAAAAACAATTATTTACTACAATATAAAATATTATTTTTTATCCTCTTGTTTTAAAAACTATAAAAAAGAGTTAAAAAGTTTTAATAAAGAAAATATTAAAATTTGTGCAGTTTGTGTCGATATAGCCAATATTCATTACCATTATAATTTTAATAAAATATATATTTTATTAAATTTTTATTTTTTTAACAATAATGTCTTCTTACAAATAATGTCCAGTAATAAATAATGAAAAAGAAGGGTTTAAAAAAAAAATTTGCCCCCTGCAAAATCTGCCTAATAAAGCTGTTCTTAGTTTAGTTTTGATTTTTGTTTGATAAATATCTAATATGTTTGATTTAATCAGAAAAATTTTTAAACAGACGTATTCAAATTGAAACGTGTATCTAAAAGATAATTATTCGTTTTTGGTTTAAAATTCATGCCTTTAATATTGCAATCTAGCATATCTTATAAAAAGCATTTTTTTATCTTTTCTGTAGCAATCTGTTTATTTATACGTTTATTGTTTGTTTACAAACAAATCAAAAGAATACAAACAATATTTTATTGGGTGAATACAGTGCTAACAATAAAAAGAATAGGCAGAAGAATTATGTTTGTAATTACTATTATCATTCTTTGTTTATAAATAAATGATAAGCATTTTTGAATATTTTAAAAATTATTATTAATTTGAAGCAAATGATGCTTTTAATAATCATAAGATAATATGATGATGAAAGAAGATGACAATGATATGATTGAAAATAGATGAAAATTTAATGATTTAAAGAAGATGACAATAATATAATTGAGAGAAGATATAAGTATAATGATTGAAAGAAGAATAAATAAATAATGACTTAAAGAAGATTTTTTGTCTTTTAAAATTATTAAAAAATATTTTATCCTGAAAAATATATTTTATTATTTATCGAAAAAATCCCTAAAATTTATTAAAAAAATCTACAAAATTTATTAAAAGTCTTTAAGATTATGATAAAATATTTTTAGCTCTTGTATATCAAAATTCACTATAATTTTAATTAATATAAAAAATGTAAAATGGTGCATAAAAATGTACGAATTTATTTTTATTTCAATTCATTTGGCATTTTGTTTAAAAGTAAACAAATTAATTTAAAAATTCTATAAATTTAATCCTCAGCATAAATAGCATGGATCAAAACATTTCAAGAAAAAAACTTTTGAAATTTTACAAAAGAACCAAGTTAGAAACAAGTAATTATGTTGTTCGCCATAAAAAGAAATTAACAATTTCGTGTATATTTACTTTTTGTGTTTTTGTTTTAATAAGAAATATTTTTTTTATAAATTTTGGGGATACAATGGAGAAAGAAGAAATCTATAATTTTATCAATAATGCAGTGGATAGATGTTTACAAAAAAAGACAAGATATGAGCAAAATAAAGAATTTGCACTTATTAAATCAAGTCTCCCAATCAAGCCTGTTAAGATGACACTTACTACAGCTGTTTTCTTTCTTACTGATTCTAAACCATACACAGTATTAAAAAGAATAATTGTGAATAAAAAAACACCAATTTTTGAAGATAAAATTGCTCTTAAACTTGAACATCCTCATTTAGTAAAATCTTATAAATCTAATATTAGGACATATAGAGACATTAATAATGAAACACAAACACTTATATGGTTGTATATGGAATATCTTCCTTATAAAGTTTCTCAATCTTATGTTAAAAAAGATGAAAAAATAATCAAACAAATAGCTTATGATCTTTTACTTGGATTACAATATTTACATAATAATAATATAGCACATTTAGATCTTAAAATAGCCAACATAATGGGATTTAATCACAACAATGAAATTAGATATAAAATTATTGATTTTGGTTATTCACGTGTTGTTAACAAAGAAATATATTTACCAGGAAAGAATTATGGGACATTTCCTTATAAACCGCCAGAAGTAGTTTTTAATAGCATACATGGCCTTAAAAGTGATATTTGGTGTGTAGGGGCTATTCTCCTTTTTCTTCGCGTGGAGAGAACACTATTTTATGATTCTGATAACAAGAAAGATAAAGCTTTGTATGAAAAATTTTTATCTGGGCGGTATAAAATTAAATATCCTTCAGATATTTCTCCTGAATTACGGGATTTAATTAAAGGTTGTATGCGGCTTAATAGAAATCAAAGACCTTCTGTAGATGAACTTTTAAATCATAAATTTTTCAATAGAGAATATGGTACAATGTTTTTTGATTTGTATGAAGAATCCTTAGACTCTTATGAGAGTGAATATGATTATACTGATGATTCAATAGATCTCGAATTATAATATTAATTAAAAATTTGGATTATTAAAATTAATATAATTGTTTTATTTATATAAAAAATCTACTAATAAATACTTCTTTTGTTCAATAACTATTTACTATTTAGGAATATAAATCTTTTTGTACAATAACCATTTATTATGTTACTATTTAGGAACATAAATCTTCTTGTACAATAACAATTTATTACGTTAGTATTTAGGAAGATGTCCTAGTACATTTCTTCTATTTAAAAAAAATTACTTTTACAAAGGTTATAAAGATAATTAATAGTAAATAGTCCTTTTGATATGACCATTTATTGTATAAAAATATTATAATATTAAATCTTAATTATGTAAAGCACTTATATAATATATTTCTTTTATTACATAATCATTTCTCTAATATTTTAATAACAGTATTTTTCTTGCACATTTTACAAATTATTCTAAAACAATCTTTTTCTAAAAATGTATCACAGTTAATTATAGGAATATAAAAAGAGAAGCATTCTCTACACATAAATTTCCAATACTCTTCATACAAAGCAAGTTTACTAACCACATAGTCTTCACTGTTCTGCTGTTTATAAATTGTAAATAATTTAATTAAATAAAAAACATTGTGCATAAATAGGGATATAAAAATAAATTTAATTTAAACTCTTCTTCCTCTATGACCACCCTTCATTCTTACTCTATCAGTAGGTATTGGTGTAACATCTTCTATTCTTCCCATGTTAATACCACTTCTTATAATTGATCTAACAGCTACCTGTGCACCAGCTCCCAGAGCTTTAGGCTTTACACCACCCGCACCTCTTAGCATAAAATGTACAGTTTTAACACCTTTTTTGGCGATAATAGCAGCCACTTCCTGAGCAGCAATCATAGCAGCATAAGGTGATCCTTCATCCCTTTTTGATTTAACTCTCATACCACCAGATATTCTACATATGGTTTCACTGCCAGTCATATCAGTAACATGAATAATAGTGTTATTCTTAGTAGCTTTTATATGACAGATTGCAGTGTATTCATTTTTACTTTCAATAACTTCAGTCATTTTAGGGTGTAAAAAATTATAAAAAATATTTAAGATTTTACAGAAAAAATATTTAAGATTTTATAGAAAGAATATTTAAGATTTTATAGAAAGAATATTTAAGATTTTATAGAAAAAATATTTAAGATTTTATAGAAAGAACATACATTATTTGTAATCCCGTTGAAAAGGGATCACAAATAATGTGTGTTCTTTCTTTTTAATAGACATGATGTGCCTTTATGTATGTACTTATTTTATTAGTTTTAATTGCAGATTGCCCTTTTTATTAAAAATTAAAATGATGATATTTAAGAATTTATAGAAAATATTTAAGATTTTATTAGAAAAAATATAAGGGATTTGATATTTAAAAAGCTTATATTTACATTTGTAAAAAAATGCATTAAAAGTTGGTATTTTAAAGAATAAATTTACATAAATTTGAAAAATACATGATAGATATTAATCTAAAGAGCAGAATTTATTTACATAAATTGTTATGTTAGAATAAAACATAGATTTTGTAAATACAAACTGTTAAATCTGTAACTTAATGTCATGAGATATTATATTTTCTAATACAAGAGGTAATTAAAAGTCTACTATTTTTAACAAATAATGACATATATTTTAATTGGTGGAATATTAAATAAAATTACATGATTTTTACATTGTAATTGTGTCATGATTTATATTAATTATTTTATAGATCCACTAATAATACCACACATTTAAAATAAGGTTAACTTTATTTTATTTAAATTTTCTGTACCAGAGAACATTGCGTAATATTATATATTTGATTTTATTTGTACATTTTGTTTGTTTGTCTTCCTTAAATTTTATTGGTTTTTTTAAAATATAAATATTTAAAAATTATTTAGTGCATGAAAGATTTTATTGAAGAATTTACTCTAACAATAGACACAAAATCGAATGAATTAGGTAAACTTTATGAGGAGTTAGGACTGGATGTGGTGTATGATACACATTCTATAAAGGTGTGTAGTTCATCATTAGCTAGGATTATTTCTATTAATGAAGGTATACATGTTCACACTCTTATTTCTGGAAGTGAAGATAAAGTAATTTATGATACACTTGGTAATAAAGTTATAGTGACATTTTTAAGATCTAAATCTTTAATATCAGTAGGGATAATAACAAGTGGGGGAGATGCACCTGGCATGAATAGTGCTATAAGGGCTATTGTACGAATTTGTCTTAAATCAGGAGGGAGTGTTTATGGTGTGTATAGAGGATTTGATGGGTTGATAAATGATTATATTTGTAAATTAGGATGGGATACAGAGACACATAATAGTAATGAGGGAGGAACAGTACTTCTAAGTTTTAGAAGTAAAGAGTTTTACAAAAGAGAAGGTAGAAAAAGGGCAGTGTTTAATTTAATTAAAAGAGGTATTAATAGTCTTATAGTATTAGGAGGGGATGGAAGTTTAAAAGGTGCATTAATATTAAAAAATGAATGGAGAGAATTATTTAGGGAATTACTTGAAGAAGGTAAACTTGATTTTTTAAAAGATAATAATAAAGAAGTAGATAATAAATATATAAATGATAAAGAAGTAAATGATGTATATATAAATGATAAAGAAGTAGATAATAAATATATAAATAATAAAGAAGACAATAATAAAGAAGTAAATGATAAAGAAGTAAATGATAAATATATATATGACATAATAATCATAGGAATACCTGCTTCAATAGATAATGATATTTCTTTATGTGATTTTACATTAGGATGTGACACTGCCCTAAATAGAGTAGTAGAGTCTATAGATCATCTTTCTAGTACAATGAAATCACATCAAAGAGTATTTGTTATTGAAGTTATGGGTAGGAAGTGTGGATGGTTAAGTCTTATGGCTGCATATTCATGCTTGGCTGATTATCTTCTTATTCCTGAAGATCCTCCTTTAGATTGGAGAAAGGAAGTGTTAGGACATATTGAATATGGAAGAAAACACGGTAAACCTGGTATATTCATAATAGTATCAGAAGGAGCACTAGATAGAAAAGGAAATCAAATAGATCCATCAGAAATGGTAGATTATATTAAGAAACAGAATATAGATGTAAGATTATTAAAACTTGGTCATGTACAAAGAGGGGGACCTACTTCTGCATCAGACAGGATTTTAGGTACACTCTCTGGTATTAGAGCTTTTAAAGAAATAGAAAAATCAATAAAAAATAAATCTAATACTAGTAAAATAGTAATATCATCTAATGGAGATATTATTACTAAAGACTTAACAGAAGTTATTAACCAAAATGACATAGTAAAAGGATATGAAAATAATTATGATTTTAAATCTATTTTAAAATGTAGAGGAGATCTTTTCAGAACTTCTTTATCTTTCTATCTGTGTATTTTACAGAATAAAAGGCAGAGTAAAGCCAGGTGTTTAGAAGATTTAAACCTTAGAGTACTAGTAAATAATAATATAGAACTACAGAATAAATATATAAATGAGAATACAAGTATATCTAATAGTACTGTATTTAATTATAGAATAGGAATATTACAATGTGGTAAAAGATCATCAGGTATGAATACTGCACTTAATAGTGTTATACAGTACTGTTATGCTTGTAATATAGAGCCTATGTGTATATGTAATGGATTAGAAGGGTTTATGAATGACAGCCTTTTTAAACCTGAAATGTATGAATTTGGTAATGAGTTTAATAATGGAGGGACAATATTAGGACTGGGAGTGGCAGAGTGTGATATAAAGAAACAGATGAAAAAACATAATTTAAAAGGACTTATTATTATTGGTGATGAAGATTCACTAGAAGTGTTATATGAATTTAAAAGTATAATTAAGAGAAGGAAGTGTATTGAAAATAATTTGGTTAAATCATATAAAGATAATTCTAACACTATTGAATCTAATACTATTGATACATGTGAGGAAGATATAATAAAAGATAATACAACTTATTCAAGATTAAATACAAATGAAGATATTATAAATAATGTAGAAGACAATCTTTCTATAATTTTAATACCTTCCTCTTCTATAAATAATATCCCTATGACAGATTATTCTATAGGCTCTGACACAGCACTAAATACAATCTTAAAAGTTTCTGATTGTGCAAAGTTAAGTTCACTGTCTCTTAGAAGAAATGTCTTTGTTCTAGAAATAGCAGGTGTGTGTGGATATCTTACTTGTATGAGTGCAATAGCAGCATGTGCTTTTGATTGTTTTATACCAGAAAGGAAATATTTAATAAGCCATTTATCAGAGACTGCACACAGGCTTAGACAGAAATTTAAGGATGATAAAAGAACTAGTACAATAATATTTAGAAATGAAAAGACTTTCTGTTCTATCTCTACAGAATCTTTCTGTAAAGTGTTAGAGACAGATGGATTATGTCTATTTGATACTGATTATGGTGTATTAGGTAGATTACAAGAAGGACTTAATCCTTCTCCTATGGATAGAATTAATGCATCATTGCTAGGATTTAAAGCAGTAGATTCTTGTAAAGAAAATAATATTGGAGTAGTGGGAATACAAGGGAATCAAGTGGTATTTACAGATATAGATAAATGTATGGATAATTATGATAATATAAAAAAGAGAGTGAAAGATCCTAAATGGTTTAAATTTAGTAATGTATGTAAGTTGTTAGAGTAAGAAAAGTAGTGATTTGTAAAAAAAATAGTAGTGATTTTAAGTAATAATTTGTAAAAAAAATATTACAGATTTTAAGTAATAATTTGTAAAAAAAATAATACTAATTTTAAGTACAGATTTGTAAGAAAAATAGTAATGTATGTAAGTTGTTAGAGTAAGAAAAATAGTAGTGATTTTAAGTACAGATTTGTAAGATAAATATTACAGATTTTAAGTACAGATTTGTTACATCACATTTTCTCTTAAATATATACAATAAATATTTAAAACTTACATTTTATTCAAATATGTACAACATTCACATAATTTTTTATCCCCCATGTGTTCACATTTGTCTCTTAAAGATGGTTTCTGTAAATTATGTGGTATACAAGTAGAAGAATACACTCTAGTACTTCCTGTACATACACCTTCTAATACACTTATTACTTCACAGAAGCATGTACATCTACTTAACAAATTATTACATGGACTTAATATCTTTGAATATAAATCTGATATTTTACAGGAATACAATAATAAATTATTTAAAAGTAGATTAAGTACAAAAGATAAGCTTCTATTATGTATTTATAAAGTACTAAGAGACATATCTTATCCTATTACTTTTAGTGATTTGGAAGTATACACCAGTAAAATAAGAAGTAAATGGTTTAAAGAATATAAATTTATACCTTATAACTATGAATATATAATAAATATAGTAAGTAGATTTAATAATAAACATTTGAAAGTAGATGTAGATGATGTTGTAAATTTTGTATATAGACATAGTAAATGTCCTATAGATAGAGTTATAAAAATATACTTAGAAAAATCAATATAACTATTTTTAATTTATTATTGTAGTGAAATAAATAGTGCGTGTAAGAAGGGGAATGTAATAGAAATGTTTAACATACATTAACAATCGGTAGATATTTTTATAGACAAGGCTTGGATTTATAACCCGTTCACTAATAAAAATTGCATGTAAATTAATCTATGTAATAAAAATGTTTAGCAATGGTTTCTAAAACACAACTGTAACCGTAAATGTATCATTTTCACACCATTCAATTTATAATCTTCTTAACACGTTCTCTCACTGGTGTAGTACTCTTCTCTAATATTCTAAACTGGGGATAGTCTCTTCTCAACACTTTAATTTTACTATAAACATCTACAAGTACATCTAACACACTAATAAGATCTAAAGTACTAATATCAAGTAGTAAATTAATAATATAATCTAAATATTTCTGTATTATACAAATACTAATATCTTTATTAAGAAGCTCTTTAATAAAATAAATATTCTTAGGAAGTGTATCTACAGTAATATTGTGTAGTGTGGTGTCATAGAAGTCAGGGAAATCTACGTCATAAGTGACCATAACATAATACAAAAATTTACTTACTTCAATATTACCTTTATGATATTTTAATAATTTGACACATATTTGTCGGGGATCTCTAACTTTATCAACTAAATCGTAGAGGCGTGGGATATCATCTAAAATGGAAGTGTTATTATCTTCATATTCACACATAAATAAAGGGGTAAGAAAATAACAGTAATGTTTTGAAAATAAGTTTTATATTAGAATTTAACTATTTTATGGTTAGTAAGTAGGAGATTTTATTAAAAATAGTTTTATATTAGTTAATAAGTAGAAGATATTAGAATTTAACTATTTTATTTTATGTATAACAACACATATAAAATATTATATTTAAATATTTTTATTCTACTAATAAATATATTTAATACTTTTTACTTTAAATGCCTCATTTAATACTTTATTCTTTAAATACCTCTACTTTAATATTATAGTCCTTATTCTCAAAGTATCCATGTTCCACTACACCACATATTTGCTTACTTCTTATTAAAAACTCTCTATCATACACAATATCAATAATAAAATTCCCTAAATCTGTTATCACAGGACCAAACTTATTTTTACTGCATCTCAATTCATATTTAATACCGTTTTTAATTAAAATATTTTCTATATACTTTATACTCTGTGGTAATATCTCAATAGGAACATAACAATTATTAAATCTCTTTCTATATTTATAATCTTGTACTACTATAACTACCTCATCAGCCATAGAACACAACAATTTCTCGGTTGTGAGTGACCCACCTTTACCTTTAATCATATTCCCTTCCCTGTCGAAATAGTCACATCCGTCAATGTACAAATCTAGACGTTGTACAGTTTCAATAGGCACACTTTTTAGAGAAAGATTAGTAAGACTGATAGATGTCTGGTGACTAGAAGATACATAAGTGCTATTAGGGTTTAGATATTGAAGAATGCTTTCTACTGTTCTGCCTGTGCCTATGCCTATAGTGTGTTTATCTTCACACACATCTTTTATATTGTTTTTTAACATAAACGATAAAAGAAAGCGATTTTAAATAAAAAAGGAGAAGCTTTACGTATTAAAATGTATTATTTATTGTAAAACAGTTATTTTATATAAAATATAATTTTTTATAAAACAGTCATATAAGATATATCAAATAATAAAAATATATTAATAGTCGTATAAAATATATCTTAACTTTTTTAAAATATATTAACAGTCGTATAAAATGTATCTTAACTTTTTAAAATATATTTATTTACGTTTAACAACATCAAAATTTAGAGAAGGATTGTCTGTCTGTACTGTTATTGTTACATTAAACTCATTATTACTAGCTTTAGCCATTTCATATATCTGTTTGTCTACTACTATCTGAAATATAACTTTGTCCTCGTTTTCTTTCAGTGGTATATTATATTTTCTTTTCATAAAAGAAGTATTAGATTTTAAATTAATGTATAAAAAAAGGGGAAGTACCAATAAAGGAGAAGAAGTAATAAAAGGTTTTAATTGATTGCCGAATAGAACATAAATTTATAGACAGGCAAATTCTTATATTTTAGTGTACATATATTTGTATACTTTTTTAATTTTGCGAAATATTAAAAATTGTGAACGTAGAGTAAATAATGTGTGCGTAAATAAAAAGAAAATTTTTAAAATAAAATCTTATAAATTTAAATAAAGAAAAAAATTGGGTAGAAAAATTACGAATTTTTATTACATAATAAAAAGGGATTAAATAAAAGTAACTATTACTGGTTAGTTATGAAAAAGAATAATTGACTAACGAAATGGTTTTTTTCTATTATCATTATTGTCATAAGGTCATAAAAAAGATTGGTAGAATCTAAGTTATCTAAAGTTATAAGATTGATTATCATAATCATAACCTGTCATAGTCTTAAAAACACAACAAATTCACAACCAATAATTAAATAAAAAAAATCGTTTAAACTTCTTTCGCAAATTTAAAATCAAATCTGTAAAAAACCTGTGGAACTATGTAAATCAGTAACAGAAGATAATTACACGAAATAAGTGTAAAAAATTGTTATGTTGATTGTATCAACAGCCTAATACATTTATCCAGCAATATTTCTGGTAGGGGCCGGAGCTAAGAAAGTTTTTTAAGATGCAGGCCATCCTACCTGGAGAATAACATTTATTAAATAGTGGTTCATTCAAATGTCCTTGTAGATCATAATAAGGACTCATGTGAGCTACCCTGTGGCTTCTGTTTAATTCGTGATTTCTGTTCATCTTTCCTTCTTAAATAAAAAATAACTTTTTTAAAAAAATTTTACAATTAATAAGACAAACAACTTTACATTAATTCATCTATAAATATTACCACAATTTATCAGCGCAATGTTTTAAAAAAAGTTTATATTGTGGTCATAAATTGTAATATTGTATGTTATTTATTTTGACGATATTAAACTTTAAATCAATTGCATACATTCGTTAATAAGATAATTAATTGCACTTATAAAATAGTTGCTTTTCTTAATAACAATTTTTAAATTTTTATTTAAAATCATTTAATTTTTTCTAGGGGAAATAGTGACATTGATACGACTTTTCTACATTGTAGTAAATACAATAAAATTAAGAATTTATTTTTACTTTGAATTGTGTTAATATTTTTACCCTTTCTAATGATAGTTAAATTTAGTGGTAGTTCTGACACAACGTTGAATAATAAATCATATACAATGCATAATTTAAAATCAGTTAGAGATGTATTTATACAAATACACAAAGATATAACGGTCGAATTTACTAATGCTGATGGAAGTATTAAAGATGGTGTGCTATGTCTTTTAGATGATAGTGACTGGGAATTGACAAATTGTTATGAATCTGATATTAAGAATGTACACACTATTACTTTGATAAATACAATTCACGGTGGATAAATTAAATTTATTTAATATAATTATTAATTTCCTCTTTTTTATAAGCATAAAATTTTTGCAAAAACATCTTCCTTTTCTTGTTTAATTCTATAGCTTTTTAACCTTCATCTTCAAAAAATAGAAGATTACGTCTCAAATTTTGCTACACGCTCTCGAGAGTAATTTTTAGCATTCTGGATTGTCATATGCCTTAAATTAACTGCCCAATAATACATCTTTTCATTAGCTTTGTAGTATTTAATTACTATGCCTTTTCAACTCATTACATACGATATTATATTTGTATTATACTTGTTGTACTCCGACAGTGAATAAATAAAGTTTTAATCATAAAAAATTTTTTTATATCTTTTGCATAAAACATATAAAATAGACAACAGGCCAATAAAATAATTTTTGCACCAACTTTAAAATTATAACAAAACTTCGCTTGCAGTAAATTTTAATGAAGCTAAAGTTGTATTTTTTTTACGTTTATTTTATAAACGAAAAATAAGTCGAGCATATTATAAAAAACTACATTAATATACTTTAAAAGAGAAATTAAAAATGAGTCTCTATAATATTGCTATATAAATTTAATTTGAAAGGTATATGAAAATTTAAATACAAATAAACTACCCGATTTTAAGCCTAGATTTTTCGACGGATTTAACACTATTTCTGCGTAAAAAAAATAATTCTTATTGCAATGATATTGTCAAATTGAAATATTAGATAATATTGAAACATATAGTAGTTTTATTTTTGTGTTATCAAACAAAAAACAGGAAATGGTTTATAAAAAATATCCATATTAATATTTGACACCTTTAAAAATTTTAAAAAATTTCAAGTGGCCTAAATAAAGTTTAGTAAAAGAATAGTTTTAATCAGTGAGCAAAGATTTCTAAATTTGATAAGAATAACTTTTTAAGCGAACTTCATTTCTAACTTTTTTGTGCTTTTTGATATTAATTTAGGCAACATTTTTTTAATAGCTTAAATGTTTTTAAATTTTTTAAATATGCTTTGTTACCGAATAATTTGAAAAAAAATTTTAACAAGAATTTCAAATACTTGCATAAAAATTTTAAGTATAGTAAAAAAATCAATTTTAAATTTATATAGGCATTGCGCAGTATTATTAAAAGGAAGGCCTTTTAAAAAATAGCCATTTTTTACTTTTTCTGGCAGTTCATAAAACATATACTTTAAAATTAAAAAAAAGTTATCTAAATGATGCAACAATTTACAATACAACTTAAAATTATTATCAGTTTAACATTTTAAAAACCAGAATAATTATATAACAGATGTGTTAAATTTAAAAAATAATAAATTAGAGAGTTTAAATAAAAATGAAGTAAAAACAATGCAATCTTAATTTTATTTTATAAAATATGACGCGTATGTTGCTTGCAAATAATCGTACTGAAAAATGTGATAAATTTTATGAAAAAAATGTATACATTGCATGCATCATTAAATATTTTTTAGTTTAAGTAATAATTTGGGTTTAAACAAAGAACAGACCTACTACATGCAGCATTTCGTATCAATTTTGTCGATACATGATTTGAAAAATTTATTTAAAACTATTAAAAATAAAGTTTTCTCTTTTCGTTTGATTAAACATACTAAATGATTTTATTTTTTGTTAAACCACTAGTGCTTTATTGCAATTGTCATTTGAAATCATTTATCGACAGTTAAACTTTTATGTCAAATATAAATTGTAGAGTGTCTAGAAGAATATTAACACCAAAATAAAAATAATTACAAGCTTATTAAATTCGAGAAGATTAATGTGATGTAAAAATTTTAAAATTCTTTTTTTTAACAATTTCATGAATCTGGGGAAATAGGAAATTTCAAGCTGCTGTTGGAATTTTAGATTGTCGTTAAAGATGTAAAAAAAAGTAATTTAAAAAGATTAAAAAATCCTTTTTATTCAATTTATAAGATTTTATTAAAGTAACATAAAGATTAAGGTTGTTACTTTAACTTTTTCCACTAAATGTTCCTACAAAAATTGTAAAAAAAATTCTGGTTGCTTTTCGAGAGAAAATAGACTTCTTTTTCTTATAAAATACTTTGAACAAGAATATAAACCTTCAGTATTTTGAGTATGTACAATAGGATTAGCAGTACTGATCAAATTAAGACTATAATTAATACTTTAATAACCCATATCAGTCATTGCAAAAAATGCTTACCATACTTTCGCCATTCATTAGTTATAATTACTAAGTCTAAAATAATATTTTCTTTAATAATTCTTATTATATCAGAACTGCGATTCTCAACTGGTTCAATTAAACAATTTTTTAATCCGCGCTCAATGCCACTTACATATCAATAACGTTCTAAGTTTCCCCTTTATCGTATTTTCTTTGAAAAAAATAAAGATTCGCGAATTTCCACGATTTTCGAGAATTGTTATCTTTACACTAACCAATACTATGCAATTATACTCAACAAATAATAGCAAATGGCATCTCTTACCGTTTCTATAAACTTGAAAGCTCTCTTATTGTATTTATCTTATTTCACAACTCACTTCTATAAGAGTGGTCTCTTTCATATATTTATTTATTATCAGTAAAAGTTCTCAAAATTTCAATTAAATAATCTTAAAAAACAAGCTTTGTCTAATACTAGTGGGATTTTTAATTGTGTGAAACGCATCCATATATACCAATACAGTCCACATCTTTTTTTATTAATCGCATAGAAAAATTCTCACATCTTTTGCAAAATTCCTTATTTCGTATAAGCTTGTGTCTTTCTAAAAAAATGAGTTGATAATATTGATCATTAGTAGAATTCATTATTATAAGCTTTGTAATAATGTTGTACAAACATCGGCCTTAGACAGTATTTGTTTGTTGGAACCACTCCTCTCTGGAAGACACCGACGTGGAAAAGTTAAAAAATAAAAAAATTGCATTTTTAACAATAGCCTTTAGTTCCAACAACAGTCTTTAAGTTAACTCCATCAAATATTACTTTAAAATAATTTTAAAGGTTGTTTTTTGCCACTTTCACTCATTTTGGCAAAATTTTGTGTTAAAAAAATTAATTATTTGATTTACTGATTTTATTTAGAAATATAAGAAAATTATTTATAAATGGTGTGAACTTACACGAGATTTGGCCTGAAGTAGATAAAAATGGATACAAACTATTTTAGAAATTAATTAAATTGTCATGACTCATTTTTTCAGAAAATATTTTTGTTCGTATATTAACGTCAAATTAAATCTATTTCAAGTCTTTTATGAATAAAAACTGACAAAATTCAGCCTTAATATGAATATATATTGTCTTATTGTACATAAATTCTTCTAGATTCCCCCTTCTTGTCAAACATATCAAATTTTAAAAGTCAACAACTTATTAAATAATTACGATATTGGTATCCAGAACGTCAGATAGGAGAATCATCTGACAAGTAAACTCTTTAGAATCTACAATAAATTTGTTTATATTGAAATTGTTTTGCATTAGTTATTGTAAAATTATTTGTTTTAATAAAGGTTTGTCAAATAATACTTTTAACGAAACAAAATTTAAATATACTCATATTGTTTTATTAGAAATGCCAATATTATAAAAAAAATATAATATAAATTAAACGTTATGTTATGGTTTTAATCTTAAAAACAATTATTAATAGCATTTATTTTGTACAAAAATTAATTTTTTATTTGAAATTTAATAATTATAAATGAATTATTAAATTAAAAAAAACATAGATTTTGAAGAAATAATAGCAAGTTTAAACTTGCTAATAAAAATTGCGTAAATATATTTTTTATTAAAAATATTTTTTCTTAAGGGTCAATGAATTCTAATGCTACAAAGAAGCTGCAAATGAATAAAACTATTAGTAATTTTGAACAAAAAAATAATTCAGAAATAAATACTCTTGATTTAGTTGACGAGAATGATAAAGCATACAATTCCGAGAAAATGGTAGGAGAATATAATGAAAAAGACTTTTATGAATATTCTAATTACTACAATGGTATCGATGCAGATATAATTTTTAATCAAACAATTGAAGGTAATACGAAAGAAAATGAGAATAAATATAATGATGGCCTTAAACAAATTGATAATAAAGAGTTTGAAGAAGATGGGTTTAATAATAAAGATGATGATGGTGATAAAGTAAATGATGATGATGACGAGGAAAATGATGACGAAGACTATGAAAAATTTGAACAAATGCTAAAAGTTACGGTTGACCAATATTTAATAAATGAAGAAAATAATAAAAGTGATAAAGAAAAATTCCAATTATTTTATAAACCTATTGAAGTTAAACTTAGACATAAACGGAATTATTTTTTAAAATTAAATGAAACTGCAAATTACACTCGTGAACTTCAGATGTTGCAACCATGCGGACATGATACAAATCTTATAGCCCAAAATTCTTCTCAACCTGCTGATATTGAGCAATCTATAAATGAGGTATCCAACAGCGGCACATTTCATATGTTTTATTGCATACCTTTAAGTTATCTTATGGTTTTTATTTTGATTCTATGTTGTCTTTCTGTAGTTATTTTTTTTGGGATAAAAATATGTCGTTCAAAAAAAAAAGTTAGGTTCAGTGGAGTTGATGTAATCTATGAATATATTTAATTAAATATTTTTATTATTATTATTATTATTATTGCTGTATTACAGTACAATTCTAACTGCTTTTAAATATAGTAAAGATAAAAATGATTAATAAGATATTATTAATATACAAATCGATTGTAAATACTCTAATAATTTGAATTTGCACGGGGTAGGTAAAACTTATGAATATTTAAGGGTTTTTTTATACAATCCGTTGCATAATCTTACGATACCTCTATTTTTATCAAAAACTCAACGTAAATTGCACTAATATGTCAATTTGCTGACATTAATGTGATTAGTTTTTATTTAAGCCAGGTTTTTACTCTTAATTAATTCCATTACTAAATATAATGTATTGTTTATATAAAATTAGTGTTTTTTAAAAAAAGTGTTGCATAATCTTACGATAGTTTAATTTTAATGATATTAAATAATCAATTGAGTTACAATTGTTTTCAATCCCTAGTTTAATTCTGTTTTCCATAAAATCAATAAGCTTTTTACAGAAATCTGTGATAATATTATGCCTATTTTCAAAAATTGAGTCTTTTAATTTATTTACACCATCGTAGGTTTTACCTTCAGAATAAACCCGTCTAGAAATCTCTCCCAAAAGTTTTCTATAGAATTAAGGTCAGGAGAAATGCTAGTCAAAACATTGCTTCGATATTTTTGCAAGCTAGTTAATTTTTTGTAGATACTGAAACATGTGGTCTTGCGTTATCCTGCTAAAAATTACTTTAAGTAAATTTTGTTCATTAATAAATAAAAGTAAATAGTTATTAAATATATCTTGATATTTTAAACTATCTATACTTCCTGAAATAAAAGCCAATTTTGATTTTTTAAAATAATTAAAACAACCCCAAACATGACCGAAGGTCCTCCCATGGCTCAGCGAGAACACACAACTTCTTTTGTTTATATACCTGCCCAATAATAGTTATAACCATCTGGACCATTAAGATTAATTTTTTTTCATTCAAAAGTATTATTTCTTTTCACCTGTTCACAAAATTTTGATATTTACCTAAAAATAATATTCTATTTTTTTTATGTTCAAAATTTAAAGCGGGTTTTCGGCCAATTTTTTTCTTTTTGGTTTGTCATCTTTTGCTAAAATTCTTGTTATGGTGGATTTATGCCCATTTAAATCCGAAATATGCTTTGAATTATTCGCCGTTACATTTTTACCACTAGCAATTTTAATTAATTTTGACCGCACCTTAAGAAAAACCTTTTTGGGACGGCCAGATGAATTTTTTTACCAAAATATAAAAGATATTTTTTGTATTTAGCAATAACAGTACGTTATCTGCTTATCTCTCTGCTAATTTCGGAAATTGATTTTTTTTGCTTTCTTAGCAAAATAGTAACGGCCTTCTCAGAATCATCATGAGATGGTTTTCTACTCATTAAGGGCTAGCAAGAAATTCTTTTTAAATCCTTTTCTTGCCAAAAAACATATCAAAAATTAGACTTTCGTAAGATTTTGCAACATTTTTTTTAAAAAAACTCCAGTTTTATAAAATTAATACATTTTATCTAGTAATAGAATAAAAAACTGACTGAATTAATGTAAATAAACTTAAACATTAGAGCAATTTTAGATGAGTTTAAAAAATAAGGATGTAGTAATACTATGCAACGGCTTGTATTTTATTCATAAAACTTTATTTATATGTATAAACACAAAGAGAATAAAAAAACAATGAACTTTTAGCTAGAGTTTAAACATATTTTTATTATCTGTTATTTTGAATACTTTTATTTTTTTTATAAAACTTGTGGGGCATATTTCTTTTTACCTAATATTAGTAAAAAGTATTACCTTGACGAAAACAGTTCAATAAAGAAGTGTAAAATAAAAATTTTCTACATTAAAAAAATGATTATTTAAACATTTAACTGAAATAGAACCTGTTGTTCAGAAAATGAGGTAATCAAAATTTTTTTTAACACTTGAAATGTACTTTTAAGAGATAAGGTTGTTAGTGGAGAAGAAACATACTCTGTAATAAAGGGATTTTTCCATCTTAAAAGTATTATTCAATTAAACTGTTAATTGTTTTTTGTGGTCCTTTAAAGTTCTTGGGATCACATCTACCTCTGTCTACAATACTATTATCGTTTCTTTAAAAATTTAATCTATCCTTTTTTTTTCTGAAAAAGAAAAAAGAAATCTATCAAACTAAAATGAGATAAACTAAGCCTTAAATTTGCTTTTTTAAAGTGTGTCGTGATATTTTATACTATAAAAGAAATTTTCTTTTTACATATCTAGTAGATATAAAGATAAATCAGAATTGCATAAGATCTGGACACAAGACTATAGTACGATTATTTTTGGTTTTCAAGGTTACAGACAATGTTATTGTACGCTCCAGATGTTTATTTCATAAATGTTAAGATGATTTTTCCATATAAAATGATGCAATTTTTTAATAATAAAATATTCCTCATTTAAACAATTTATTAATGGTTATTTATTGCTTCAACTAATCTTATCAAAAACATTTTATCCATTGAAATGTAAAAATTAAAGAATACTACAATATTTAAGGAAATTTAATGTTTATGGTAGACTCATGAAGTCACTTAAATCAATTAGAGAAAGAAATATTGTAGTAGAAATCGATGAAACGAAAATTGGTTAAAATAAATACCATAGAAGACATTTGATTGAAGGATTTTAAACAATAGGTATGGGCGAACAGAAGAAAGAAAATAAGAACTATTCGGGTTTATAAAAGATATAATTTACAAAAGCCCCTTTTTTTAGTTACTTTTATGGACTCTTTACGTCTGTAATTTATTCCAACAAATAGGGTGTTTACAATAACTTAAATGTGTTGTTTCAATCTCATTTAGCAGCCAATCACTCTATTTATTTTTAAGATCCTAACAGGGAAATAATAACAGATCTATAGAAAGTATTTGGAGATTTTAAAAGAATAAATTTCATTATGATGCAGAACAAAAAGGTATGTTATTTATATCTATTTAAGTATACGTACAATTTGTTTCAAAAAAAAGGAATATTTTTTTTACAGGTAAAGATTTTTTTGATATATAACTCTTGTTTTGATTTATTAAGACAATTTTGTACTGCAGCTTTTTAAAATTTTCCAGCTTTTTCGGAGCTAGACCTTTAATTATTTTTTTCTGTTTAAAAAAAAGAAATATTATAATTTTTGGCTCAAAACTTACAATTTTTCTCGCCAAAAATACATTTTTTTATATTTTATAAAATTAAACCTGTATGTAGTTTACTTTAAAAAACAAAATTGAAATTATTCTGCTTTTCAACCAAAAAATGCTTCAGGTCAAAAGCGCAAGAAAATTTAAGATTTCACAAAATACAGTTTCTAAAATCGTAAAAAATATGAAAGAAAAGGGCACAGTTGAACGAACAAAGGGATGTTGCACGAAAAAGAAGTTACAAGCCAATGATATTACAACTTTACTTAAAATTAATAAAAAAACCTTAAAACATCATTAAGAAAACTATCTATTGAACTGCAAGCGAAGACCAATCAGAGGGTTTCTTATTCAACTATAAAAAGAACTTTTAATGATTATAATATTAGAGCTTTTGTTCCGATAAAAAAACCGCTCCTTTCAAAAAAAACATTTTGTGCCGGTTTTAGAAAAGTAGATAATTTTTACTACTATTAGATAATGAGAAAAAGAAGAAGATTTTTTCAAAATAGAGCAAGTTCAACCTTTTTGCTCTGATGGTAAAGATTCTGTGTGGCGTGAAGCCGATGCAGGCCTTAAAACATGTAATTTGTCTGCTACTGTAAAGCATGTTGAAGGGTCAGTAATGGTATGAGAATGCTTTTCATACTTTGGTGTAGGAAAACTTGTTTTTATTGAAGGTAAAATGAATGCTGAATACTATGTGAATATTTTATCTAATAATTTACCTGATTCGGCTAGATTAATAAATCTGAAAGATTACATTTTTCAACAAGACAATGATCCCAAGAATACTGCGAAGCTGTATTTCGAGCCAAAACAATTTAAACTTCTTTCTTTGCCTGCGAAATCTCTAGATTTAAATCCAATTGAGACACTTTGAGCTATTATAAAGCAAAAATTGTCACAGTATCGCCTTAAAAATTTAAATGAATTGAAAGAAATAATAGTACATGAATGGCAGCAAATTCCATCAGAATTGTGTCAAAAATTGACTTTAAGCTTTTACAAAAGATCTTTAGCATGTTTTGGGGCAAAAAGAAATCATATTAAGTATCAAAATAAAAAAAAATTTTTTATTTTTCGTTTTATGTAAAACAAAAAAGAACCAATAACGCTGTAAAAACATACATTAAAAAATTTTACAAGTGAAAAAAAATTGTTTTTACCATAATTTGGCTTACATAAAGCTCCGAAGAATATTCCTTTTTTTGAAACATACTGTTTATTAAAGTAGAAGAGAAAATATTACTAAATAAATATAGAAATATTATTTTATATTATGATGTAATAATCTTTTTTTTGCTTGATTCTTTACTGTTTTGAAATAATTAATGGCTAAAAAAAATTTAATTATCCCACTTTTTGAACATCAGATTCTTCTTCAGCCAAAAAAAAAATGAATGCAAGCTAAAAATTTAATCTTAATTTATAAATTGATCATTAACAAATACAATATTAATGTATAATATTAAATTAATGGGTTGTATCATTGATTCGTTATTCCTTATTAAATTAATTTATTAAAATTTCGTGGCATCAGGCCGAGTTAAATCTTACTGTATATTTTAAATAAATTAAAGAGTCATCTTTTACAGAAAAACGAAAAATTTATAAAGCTAATGCTTAAATATACAAGCGAAAATTAAAAAAATAAAATAATTAATGCAATGAACTGTAAAAAATATTTGCAAGCTATTTAAGATTTACATCCAAAAAATATGATTGTATTTGCATAAAAGTAAAATTTTTGAAACAAAAAGTCATTTTTCTGTATTTCTATGTAAAAAAGATTACTAAATCAAAACATTTTTGTTTGGTGACATTGAGTGATTATTATATCTTTTTTATTTTAATAAATTGTGCTATTTTGTATTGTTTTCAATTTCTAAGACATGTATTACAGCATTTTATTTCATACTCTACATTAAATATAGATGTCAAGCCTTTTTTATTGTATAAAGTGGTAGATCAAAGCAGTATTATCTATGTCATTCATCCTTAAACCTGTCGTCTTAAATCTTAAGCTACTACAAAAACTTATATAAAACTGTCTTAGCCTTTAGCTACATTCCAAGCTTATAGGAAATTTTCGATACACTAAGATAATATAATATTGCTTTTTAGAGTAAGTTATCTCTTTATGAGTACATTTTTGTTATCTGTACTCATCTGGTTGTATTTCTTTAGGGTGGTAGTCCTTCATACTTTCTTCTTTTGGTTGCGTTATAAAATTTCAGAAACTATAGAAACAAATAACAACATGTGGTGAGGATACTACAAAAAAACAAGATAATTTTACCTAATTATTTAATTTGCTTATACGTGCTGATTTACAGTAAATAGCAGTATTAAAGAAAAAGTTATAAGAAACTATAGAAAATATTAAAATAGATATCCATTCGATGTACTTAAAAGTCGACACATTTTCTTTTTTACTATACAAAATACAGAAAACTGATATAACAGTAAAAATAGCAAACATTGGAATAAGTACCCACTTAAGCCAGCTATAAAAAGGTTTGCTATTTATAAAATAGTTATAGATTGATGTAAGATTGATAATTTGAATATAATTATTTGTGTTATCTCTTTCTGACTGTTCCTCTACTTGGATTGATTCATCTTGGTGGCGATTATTATTTTCTGTTGTATTTAAGTTATCATCTTTTGTCATATCAATTGTATCAGTTAAATTTGCATTTTCAATTGTCTGTGTTGAACTTGCATTTGATAGCAGAATACTAAACAAGAATATTTTTAGATAAATTTGAAAATTCATTAGGGACAAAAAAAAATAATATAAATAGTTTAAATTTTAATTAATTTTTTCTATAAATAGTAAATGTTAAAAAAATCAAATTTTTCTACTATCGTGTGTATAATTTTCCATAATAAATAGAAATTTATTAATTGTTTAGCAGTTGTAATAATTTTGAATAAAATATTCTATAATAAGACAAACTTTACAAATTATATTTATTAAAACATTCAATACAATTATTTTTTTCTTTTTTGTTAATAAATTATGTTTATAAAATAAGAATTTACTTTTTTTCTACTTTTTTAAATTATAATAAGTTTATTTAATGTATAAAATTTGATACATATCATTTTGCTTTTTTACTATAAAAGCGTGAGACATATCTAACAGTAATTTTATCAAAATATTGTTGATGTGTAATTAACTTGTCTTACAATAAAGCGGCTAAATTCTAAAATTAAAAGTTATTATTCGAAATTTGTATAATTTATTCAATCTTTAAATTAAAAATAAATGCTTAAATTTAAATTAGAATTTTTTAGAAAGGATGAATTTTCAAAAATCATTTTTTATATTAATATTTAACCTCCAAAAAATATAATAAGAAAAAAAGTTTATAAATGGTGATAAGAATTTTTTACAACAAATAAGAATTATATAATAAGAAACGTAGCATCTATATTTGTTTTAGGCCCGAGATGTTATATATTAAAAATATTTTTTAATAATATTAACCTCTGGGAACATACCCATATGTAAATTTAAAATATTTAATTAATAGTTTATTTGAAAACATTATTGTTTAATTTTACATCGCTACAAGATCTACAAAAGATTATAATCAAATTAAGTAGACTATTATTTTTACAAATTAAATAAGATTTAAAATTACTGTTATAACTCTTCATAACAAATATCTAATGCTACTTCATCTTTCCAATTCGCTACGAATAATTTTTACACAGAATTTTTTTTAAAAGTGAACGTAGTTATTCGGAGGGAGATGGAAATATGAAGTAAAGGTAAAAAAGAATTTCTTTTTAACTCCTATTATGGAAAATCTAAAAGAGAAAATTTTTAATTTGGTGATTTCATCTTCATATAAATACACAAGACAATAGAACTCTTTTTAAATCATGGTTTTTTAAAAAAGAAATGAATTGTTTAAATGTGATGGTAGGTTTATGATTGCGGTGCTGCCACGTATAAAGGTGAGTATGCTCTTCTAAGGCATGAATATCCAAGACAAGCTTATAAAAGAGGTCAAAAATGGCCTTTCTGAATATGGAGTTTGTAAAAATCTTAAGAAGCATGTATTGCTGGTTATGTGATTATACACCAGTTCGGGCCATTGACTTCTACAATTGTTCAAGGAATACTTTCATTAATATCAAAGACTTGATTTTATAATTAATATCTAAACAAGAACCATAAATAAAAAAAATAAGTGAAGAAGATATTAAGATGAATCTGACGAAGTTGATATCTGTAATGAGAATGTATAATATATACCCATCCAGTACCTTAGACAACAAACCTAATATTTGATGACTATTAAGGGGGTAGAAGAGAAAAACTGTAGAAATTTTGTTTTAAAACTTGTTCTAAACAGAATTTTTTCCACTATATTAGGCATGTTTAAAGAATATGTTGTACCCAGATCTATCATTATTACTGATGGTTATCCATCCTGCCTTGGGGCTGTAGCTGAACTTGATGTTGCCTTGAAAAGTAAATTACTCGGTTGGGTTTGTTAATTCTCAAAAAGCACATACAGACTAAATTGAAAATCCGTGATCACAACTTAATCATGCTTATTGAAAGTATGGTGGCATAAGTAAAGAAAGAATAAAATTGTTTTTTAGCATATAGCATGTAGACAGCGAAGTATTTAAAAAATTGAAATAAGACAACTAGGGCTGTATTTTTAAAACGGGATATATTTGTCATTTATCCGAAAATATGTTGTTTGTAAATTTATAACTTATTACTAAAATTTTTTTAATTCTAACATAACCCATTATAATAAAAAAAAATCGATTGATCTCAAGTTCAAATTAAGATATTTATTTCATTTTAACTTGTAGGATATATAAATCGTTCCAATTCCGAACATTTTACGGACAAATATAAATGAAGAAGACTAAAAACGGACATTAATATTAAATAGAAAATTGATTGTTGTATCGATACCAATATACTTACTATCAAACCCAAAAGTGAGAATGCCATGAGAGACTTACTAAGTGGAATAAAAAAATATTTAAGACAGATCAAGAGCAATTTGTGCCAAAACAAAAAGCTGGGACGTTGTATTTGGTCAAAACTATCAACAGAATCATTTGAAATTATCGATTCAGTTTGTATACCATCTGAAGTTAATGCTTTTGTTTTGTAGTTTGTATTTTCTAACGTATTTAGCTCATAATCATTTTCCACGTCAGTATTATTAATTGAAATTGCATTTGTTAAAGAAAAATAAAGCAAGAATATTTTTTGATAAAATTGAGAATTCATTAGGGACCAAGAAAAAATAAATAAATAGCTTAAATTTAATTATTTTTTTCTAAAAATCGTAAATTTTAGAAAAAATAATTAAAAAATTTAATAAGAACGTAAACTTTAGTTAAATAATAAATGTATTTACAAAACATTTATAAATAAAATTTATTAATTATTTATCATTTTAAACAAATTAAATTTTTAAAAAATTAATCACAGATTTTATGAAAAGCTTATGATTATGATAACATTCTGTATAAGCCTTTTTTTATTTTTATAAGATTATTATTATAAAATAAGTATATAGTTTTTTATACTATTTGCTATCGAAGAGTTTATTTAATATAAAATTTTATAAATATCACTTTGTTTTTTGCCTATAAAAGTACAAGATCATACAACAGTAATTACATTAAGAAATTTGTTGATATGTACTTTATCTTACAATAAATGGTTCTAGTCAAGTTATCTAAATGTTATTTGCTTTTAACAAATCATTTTTTTAGCCTTTATCTAAGATGTCTAGAAGAAAAAATTATATTGAATGGATTATTAGTAATATACAAACTAAACCGTCTGCAATAAAGCTTTCTTTTTATTATGATGATAAAGAAGAACAATTTTATTTGTTACTTTAACTGTTTAACGAAAATTTATAATGTTGTGTGTAAAACATAATCTGTGCATCTTTTACATTTAATAGTGCACATAGTCATTTAATTATTTAAAACTTAATATTTAGATATTTAAAACATAATATTAAATTACAATTTGAATCATTGTTAAGAATTTATATAAATACAAAAAATTTGCACCCTGTCTTGAATTACATAGTATTACAAAAGTTGAATTGTACAAATAATATCAAATTACTGCTGTATTTCTAACCTATTTTAAATCTTTTTTCATGAAATGAAAAGAAATTTTTTTTATTAACACTTGATTCTTTTGCATTTAATATTAATTTTCCTAATATGCCGAATAATGAGACATCTTTTTTTAAATAATTTTGAACAAGAAAAAATGATTATAATGGGACGCAAAGAGTTTACACGTTGAATCTGTAAAGATAATAGATTAAAAGTTTTTATAAATGGAACTTTCAAGCATTTTCTTCTCATTTCTTTCAATTTTATTTCATACATTCAAATTTTAATGGACAAATGTTTCCGATGTTTTATTGCTTTTTAGAACGAAAAATTAGAAAAAACATATATTAAGCTGTTTAATAACATAATTCAGATTTTAATTAAATATCATATTCAACTTTGCCTACAAGAAATACAAATAGATTTTTTAATTCTTGCCTTCGGGGTATAAAAATGCTTTTTCTCATGCAATTACTCATGGATGCTATTTTTATTTTGATAAAAATGTTTGGCGTCATGTATATCCCTCAAAATAAAAAGCTTTTTCAATAAATATATTAATTTTCGGTTTTTTTATAGCTGCCGCCACGGTTTCTTTAATTTCAATAGATTACTATTTAGTTATCTGGATGCTTATTTGTAATCTATACATATCAAGTTAAAGTGCTATTGATGAATCTAAGGAATATATTATATCTATGTAGTTGGATAATAATAATCCATTGTATGCACAAGACATATGGCTTCATGCAAACACGTTGGCTAATAAAAGAAATAATAGTCTTGAAGGAATAAATAGTAAAATTAATAGATTGATAAATGTTACGTGCCCGGAGCGCGATCTTGATTAGAATTTTATTCATTGTTCTACTTTAAATTAAATTAATCATTTGAAAGTATCTATATATGTTTTAAATAAAATTTTTGTTCTGTAAGGATAATATTCACTTTTTAATTTAATCATGATTTCGAAATATAAATTAAATAATTTAATTTAATCATAGTTAATTTAAAGAAAAAATAAATTTAGAAAAAAAAATTATTATATCATAAATTTAACATTTTTAAAGTTATAATTAAAAGAATGCTGAAATGCATTTATTAAAGTTTAATAAAAAATTAACTGAAAATAGAAAAATTGTAATTTGCAAATTGAATAAAAATATATTTATTGCAAATTAAAAAGATACAAGTGTTATAATTATGCATTATATACAGAGTGATGTGCATATCAAATCTATATTAGATTACTTTTATGAACAATTCATAAATTAAGAACGTAAACAAGCGAGAAAAAAGAAAATTAATCATAAGAATTTATTTTTTCACTGGATTTATTGATATAATTTCTTCACTACCATTATTTTAAACTTTAATACGATTATTTGATAAAATTTCAGTTCCTTTTTTGGGTGTAGAATAAAATATGTCTAATTTTAACTCCTTTGTTTTACTATTTATATCAGAATCTTTTTTTATCAGAATAATGTCATATATATTTATGTCGTTAACAGAATTATGAACGCATTTTTTGTCCATACGTGCTAAATATTTTTGATTAACTGAAATTGTATCAATGATCTTATTATCATTCTCTTCAATAATTTTTACTTGTATATCAATATGATTCTCATCAAAATCAGCAATGCTACTTCTATAGAACACTTTACAGTATTGAACCCACTTCTACCAAAAAATAGACTGAATGATGACTAATTAGTTGCAAAATGTATCGCTACATTGTACTCATAAGTCACCTTATCCAAAAGCGCAGTCCAATTATTGCCGGCAGCTAACACACCACTATTCAGATGTTTTTGCAAATATCATGTGAGCGTTTGGTTAATTTATTCGATTTGACCTTGTAAGTGTCTCGACCTTCCATGATTAAAACAATGCTTCCTCCCTTACAAAAATCAATCAAACAAGAACTTCTAAACTCTTTTCCGTTATCACATTGAATTATTTGAGGATCACCAAGTTTATAAAAAGCCATTTTAAGATATGAAAGAACCTCAGTTCTAGTTTTACTTTTAAGGGCATAAGTAATTTTATATTTAGAACATACATCTATACCTGTAAGTATCTAACCAAAACTATAATTTTGTCCCGCGTAAGTCTTCATATCAACAAGATCAATGATTAATCTCTCAAAGGGCTTCTTAACCAGAATATGCTTAAACTTTTCCTTTTCTTAAGGAGTTAAGCTTGTAAGCAGATATTACACTTATTACAAACCTTTCTAACAACACATCTAGGAATTGAAAAGTAACGTTGTTTGTACAGTTCGTAAAGACGATTTTGGCCATAACGGTTTTGATTGTGCAGTTTTTTTACTTCTATTTTCATAGAAAGCACTGTTTCTTCCATAAACACCCGTTTATGACCATTTTCTGTATCTTTCAATAAAGGTAAATTTTCAAACAAGATAAACAGCTCGGCCTTCCTTTTCAAATAATACTTAGTATGTTTGCTGCTATATACTATCGTATCCTCGCCTTTAAGAATATTTACGATGTTATCGTACTTTTCTTGCGATTTAATAATAGGCTTCATAATGGCTATTTAAAATATTTTAAAAATTTCAAATCCATGCACTTTTATAAGATTAAAAGCGGATATGTTAGTAGAAATGGCCTAGGTGCTTTATCCAATGCTATAATATTGTTGCATTGGACAATTCCCACAAATGGCGGCAAAATTTAATTAAATTTGACAGCAGATCTATAATACTGCTTCTATCCAAAGTATAAGTCGTATAATAGACTTATTTTTTAAAAAAATACGCACAAAATGAATTAATAAACAATTTTAAATGAAAATAGCAGAATTGAACAATTTAAGATTCTAGCTTTATGATTCAGATTAAAATTAATTAAAGTAAAATGTGTGCCAATCATGCAATAAAAACATGTTTATTACACATAGTAAGAGGCATATTGAAAAGTTTACCTAAAATGTTTGGACAACATCTTTTATTAATCTCTACAAAATCTTAATTTTTATCAGAACATATGGCCTTTGCCACAAATTTGACTTCATTTTTCTTTCAATCAAAAATGAGGGGCAAAAATAAAAAAAACAATAAGTCAAAAAACTAAAAGGCGTAATTAATTATATGAAAGGTAAGTTTATAAAATTAACCAACTTCACCAATTTTTTTGTATAAATCAGGAGTATTTCAAAAAACAAACAATGTCGTTTTTACTCGTAAAATAATAATATCTGTACTACTGTCCGTATTCAAAAATCCACAAAGTTTTTTAAATCCAATAACACTGGTATATATTACATCATCAAAAAACATTTAAATCTTTTTATAAAAATATTAACAATTTCATTTAAAAGGAGTAAAAGATTTAAAAATAAATTTATGAATATTACAATAGGCCATGAAATTTTTCAAAGTCTAGATGTACTTAAAAATTTTATTAAGCACTACAATTTCTCCTACAAATGCGACAATATTCTAAATTGTTTTTAAAATTGCAAGAAAAATAACGTATAGATTATAGATGCAAAATGGAGGGATGTCAAAAATGCATTTTTTTGATTCATTCTACTTTATCTTTACAAAAGTAACAAGACTATTGATTGTTTAATGTGTGATTTAAATTACTTTTAATTGTCGATATTTTTTGGAATATCTGGCATTACTATTGCAAAGTATAGGTCTTTATTTTTAGTTTGTTACAAGGACTATCTTGAAAAAAGCGCTGTTGTGTTGGGAGAATGTGGTATAACTGTTGAGGTTGATGAAAGCATTTTGTTACATAGCGAGATTTTAGAAATTCTACGAGCGCTGATGATACTAGAGATACAATATGGATATTAAGCGGAATATATCGAACAGAAGAGAAAATTATTTTGATTTAGAGGTACTATTCATATTATAGGATCATTAAACCGCAGCTATGATGCCTAAAATTAAAAATGATAGCATTCTTTCGCCCGATGGACAACCGTCATAACCTGTAGTTGCAAGAATTTTAAACTCCAATGACATATCATCATTCATTTTGAAGGTTTTAGATCTGTAGATGACATCCACACAGGTAACATTGAAGGGTTTTGGATCCATATAAAAAGTACAATTAGGAAAAAAGTGCGTTTTGTGATTGTATAGACGACTGGCCAATCCTGTATACATTTAAGTATAAATACCCTAGATAAAAACAATTAGAAATTTTTTTAAGAATTTAATGATATTTTGAATGATTTTTTAATTAGGCTGTTAATATTATTTTTTAACCCTTGTTTATATTTTTTAAAGATAGGCAAATTCGTGGAAAGGCTAGGATTATAAATGTTGTGTTTTAATTGTACAATATAATTTGTAGCTTTGCTTTTCGTTATTCCTTTAAGCTGTTATAACAAAAATAAAATTAAGGCTATGAGAGATATATTTGTATACTTTGATACTACGCGACAATCATTTATTTAGATAAAACTATGTTACGTATTACTTTATATTTTATTAAAAGGTTTACTTGACTTAGAATTAGAATCTAAACTTGTTTAACAAAAATTAATCATTTAAGCTTAAAAAAATACATAATTACAGGAACTTTGAAAAAAAATAATAATGTAGAAGATTGAATAAATAGTGCTGCAGGGATTAGGATATGTTTAAAATGTTCTTTCAAATGAATCAGATTTAATATATTTAACATTAATATTTTTAAATAATTTTAATAAATTAAGTCTATGTTTTTATCCAACAATGGCAACATTAAAAGATCTTTTATTGTGTTATTTTAATGGAATCGATTTTTTTTCATCAACTTTAAATTTACTAAATAATAAAAAAACAGAACTTACCTTTTATTATTAAAAAGTTTATAAAATAATGAACATTAAAGCTATAAGGAAAATAAAATCTTATCTACTTTTAAATAATGAAAAATATTAATTAAATTTAATCAAAAATAGATCAATTTTTTAAAAATTTCAACATTCAAGAAAAATATTTTACAGCTTTGATGTAAAGACAGGAAGAGCATAATAGACTGTTCTTTTTTCTGATAGATTAAAAATATTTTGTAGTTTTTAAATAAAAAATTATCCCATCAAATTATGCCTACAATTTGCCAATTAGCTCTTTTTTGTTTTTGCGCACGTTTTAAGAATCACTCTTTCTTGAGGAATGCCAAATTTCGTGCTGAAGATATGATATGTCAGAATGCACTAAAAGATTCTAATAAGTCGGACAATAAACTAAAAAAATTCCTTTCTTTAAACAGTGCCTCTATAAAATCTACTAAGGCAAGAAAATTAATGATAATTAAAAGCGTATTTTTTTCTAAAAAACGTGTTGCTGAAATTAACCGTATTGGTAATACTGAGCCAACAGACAAAAATTGAAAAAGTTGTGGTAAGATAGCGGCCGATATTGGTGATTTAACTTCGAAATTGAAAAACAACGTGACAATTGGTTAATTAATGGACAAATGTAGTACCACTTCTGAGAGTAGGATGCCAGTTGACGATATGAAGCCGAATTCGAATTTGAAAAAAAAATTGTTGTGTAAGCGAAGAAGCTTGTTCAAAGTCCAATGATTCAAAAGATATTTCTCGTAAAAATAATTTTAATCCCACAGATCAAAACGAATAACCTTAACTAAGGAAAAATGTCAAATGGTAATGAGTTGTCCTATTTTAAAGTTTTTAATCTATTCTGATGCCTTAAAGTACAGTGAATTTCCAGAAAATATAGAAAAATTAATCGGAAATATTTTTGAATCTTTGTTTTTATATTTAAATTCAGTTGAACAGCAATTTTTAGATAAACTTGCATTGAAGATATTAAAAAAACTGCGATTTTTTTAAATAGCACAAATCTTTATATTAAACCTAAGTTGTGTGAGAAATTTAGCTTACAAGGTACCGCTGCTAAGTTTGATGGTTATAATGAATATTTAAACAGTTTAAAGAAGATTTGTGGGATTAATGATGATAATAATGAAGCAATATTTAAGACATACTTTCTAAATTTATTTGTTTCTCTTCATTACAAATCTTTATATAAATTTAAAAATCCGTTTCTGCCGCCGAAACTAGTTTTAAATATTTTTATAAATTCTCATATGAAACTTTGTAAAATTATTTATATGTATCTCTTAGAACCCAGCAATTTTGGTTTAAAAAAGATTAAAAAGTTTAGAAACAATGTAAGAATTATGAAACCATTTAAATCCTAGAATTCACTGTCAGCTGATTATTATGGGTCTTTTGATCGATTATTACTGTTTATTGAAGAAAAAAATAAAAAAAAGAAAATTAATCTATAGATTTTTATCCAGCATATTCAACAAAGTTTAAATTCCTACAAATAATATAAATATGGGATTAAATGGAAAAGTAATTTTTATTATTTGAAAAACATAAATTCAATATTTAGAATTTATGGTTTAACGGGTTGATTTGTTATTTATAAAGAAATTTTAAATTGAAAAAATAGTATACTATTTTAAACTAAGTTATTTTTTGATATTTGTTTACGTTTTTAAACCCTCTCCGCTTTTTCTCGTCTTTCTATCTGACTATAAAAAAATCTAATCATCATAAACTAAATTTAAAATTATTATACAGACATATATTATTTGAGAAAAACGCAATTAAATACGTTCATGGATATAAATAAATTTTTTGTTTTAATTTATGTAAAACCTATAGTTTTAGATAAAGGCAATTTAAGTCAAACATATTTTTTACTTTAAAATTGTAAAGCTCTCATCTTTTATAGGTAAAATAAAAAAATATTTTATTATTTTAGACATATTATATATAAATAAATTTGAAAGAAAAAAATTGAAAAACAATTTATGTGCAGGTCGTTTTAACAAATGAATAGTAAATGCCTTTTTAAAAATTTATTTAAGTTGTTAATAGATTATTTTATTTATTTTTATAAGTAAATAAACATTTATTTTTTCAATTAAGTAAAAAATTTATTTGTATAAAATGATATGCACCGCGATTGATTTTAATCAATTAAATATTACTTTAACACATTAAAAATAAAAAAATACACAAATGGTACTCTTATCACAATATATTTTATTCTACATATAAAAAGAATTTCTTGATAAAGTTCAATTTTCGCTGCTTCGCTTCATTTCCATTGTATTATTATTTCAAAATAATGTATATTATAAATATCACAAGATTGTAAAAAATTTAAGAAGGAATAATGACAAGTTTTATAACAAAAAAAAATTCGTATTGTGGCATCCAACAACATTATTTTTTATATTTTTCTTTTTATAATAATTTTTCAAAAATAAATCTTCTAGAATTTTATTTTTTATAAATTAAAATTCTTGAAAGAAGGGTAACGCAAAAATGAAGAGGCGTGAAATACACTATAACGAGGGAACCACAAAGATGGATATAAAAAGTAATAAGCAAGTTGGTTTTAAGAAGTTCAAATTTATTTGCTCCCCCCTGGAGAAATACTTTCGTTTTGGCCGCCCCACCCGAGGTCACAACATGTACCCAATTGGCTAAGTACTGATGAACTATATTTATTTTTTGATTTATTTCATACCATGTTTTTTTTAATAAATCAATAAAGTATTATTATAATTTGAAACGTCATATGCAGTAGTAATTTAACTAAAATATTGGTACATTTCTTAAACAAGTATGTTTATTGGTTACCCTTAAATATAAATAAGGAAATTAATTAACTAAGGTGTGTCAAAATAGTTCTAATCACCGAACACTTTTTAATCGTCACAACATCTCTACGAATTAAACTTATTGTAATAAAAACACTTTTTACTCGGTAATTTACGGGTCTTCTCGTAGCATCATCAAATATTTTCTTGCCACAGGCACAATTCGTGGCAAACACGCCATACATAAAAATTTAATCTTTTAATTGACAACATGTAACTATTTTAAAATCAAAATATTTATATTTAAAAATATTTTTTTGAATATTCTTTAATTTAAAAAATTGCCAGATAACACTGGTATAAAATTGTTTTTTAAAACAAGTTATACTACTAATAGTCTAATAATATCTTTTATTTATTTTTTTATTGCGCTTATTGTGAGATTCTATATCTCGTTGCTTCTTTCGGTCATTTATATTTTTGATATCAAACAAGAATGTTTTGATTTAGAGAAGGTTATTATTAATTTCTAAGATCATTAGTTTTATAAATTACTAATGACAAATAATTGTACCATGCTAACAAGACAAGACAAAAATTAATATATTCCTCTTAGTTGAAATTATCGTTTATAAGACTTGGTATCTCTCACACACTACAATAACTGATTAATTAGATCTAAAAAAATGATAACAAAGTTACACTCAAGTTTGTTTTAAGATTCTAAATATTTTAAAACAACTTTTAAAAAATGGCTCTTCTGACCTTTAACTACTATAACTATTAGGATTTTTATTTTATAATTTTTGTTAAACATTAAAAAACATTTTCAGCATAAGAATTATTTTATCCTTCTCATTTTATCTTTTTTTGGAATAAAAAATTTTTAAAAATTCATTTTTTCTAAAAATTTGACTTTTTGACATGTGATTATATTATCACAAATAATTTAACAGGTAATAAATATCATTGATACTTTCAGTAAACTATAGACTATCTTATTCAAATATAAGTTGTCTAAGAAAATTTTTAATTAAACGTATATTTTATATAAAATTGTATTCCATTTTTATTTGATACGACAATATTTAAAAAATGATATTTATAAAATTTATACATTAAATAAACTTTTTTATAATTTTAAAGTGTAAAAAGTTATATATCACTTTATAAACAAAATTTTTTATTAAAATTATTAAAAGTATTTCATAAAAAGTATAATTAACGAATTCTTTTAAAAAGAAAAAAGTAAATTAGTTTTATATAGTTTACTTAAATTTGATAAACGATAAATAATTAATAAATTTCTTATTTATGTAAGTGTTCTATAAATACATTTTTATGTAAAAAAAATATATGTTTGTATAAAAAAATTTATCATTTTTTTGACAAAGTCACAATTTTTAAAAAAAATTAATTAATTTTTAGCTATTTATATTATTTTTTATAATCCCCAATGGATCCCAAATTTTATCAAAAAGTACTCATGTTTAGTATACTGCTATCAAATGCAAGTTTGACTCCAGTAATTGATATGCAAAATAATGATAACTTAAATACAAAAGAATCTAAAATTAACTACATATCATTAAAGTTAACACCAAAGAATGCAGGTTATGAAAGAATGAACTCAACAGATTCTATTAAAAGTTCTGATCAAATATCGTACTTTGGCTTTTGGAATGATCATAAATTTCACTTGAGATGTATTAAATATGGAGCTATTCCATTATGTATAGCTATTATTACGACTTCATCTCTTGGAATTTTCATAAGTATAATGATAAATATGCCAATTTATTATTACGTAGTATTTGTGTGTGATATTCTTTTTTCTTTACTTTTTTACTTCAAACTTTTTGATTTGGCTTTATCAATAAATTCTACAAGTTAAAGTAAAATAAATGATTTAATTTAAATTGTAAGATAAACCAATTTTTTGTTATTTTATTTTAATAGGTTAACGTTATATTTTATAAAAATTTTAGGACTAGATTATAAAATTACGATAGCATATTTTTGCATTTATGAAATCGATAATCCAATTTTGAACTATCGTGTTGCAATATAAAAATGCTTGACGTATTGTCGGGGTTGAAAAGCTTTTAAAGTAAGATCGTTTATTTACATAGGCGTCTAGCTGAGCTCATATTGCTTCGCGTTGGGGTTCCAGCTAAAAATGTATTCATTAATAAATGGATAAAATCAAACGTATAAACAAAAATTGCTAGATAAAAGTGCAAAAACTAAATGTATGGAATTTAAATAGTAAAATAATTAGTTTTTTTAGAAAAGGATTATGCAAACAGATTAAGTGTAAGCAAATAGAATAAAAATGTCATCATGTAATAGCAACATGACACATATATATTAAATTTTGTCCTGTACTGAAGGAACTTTATTATATGAGAAAAAATATTATAATAAATTAATTATCTTATTCATTAAATTCTTTTTATCAAAATAATGGCTAAAAGAGTGTTTTTTTACTAAAGCTCGTCTTATCTTTTTTTTGAATTTTAAATTATATTTTATTCTTTAATTAATTTAAGCTATCGCGTTTAAAATTGGAATAAACTCGACATATACTAACAAGCTACTTATTATATCAATTGTACGTTATGCCTCTATACGTGCTATACTTTTTAAAGTTTAATATTGGACCAATAAAATTATAATAAACCAATAGTGATTATTTTATGCACATTTTACAATCAAATTACTAATTAAAACTTACGAAGAATATAAAAAAAATTGTAAGGTCTTTTGCAATATTTGCTGCCAGGCAGGCGACCACCAGAGCTAAGGAAACTGATGTAGCATACTGATAAAAGGCCTCTAGTATGTTGTCAATAGTTTTTTATAAAGGTTTAATTTACATTATTTTCGGACATCAAGTTGGCTGAATTATTTATAGTTCACTGTTCTTTCAGCTCGTATGAGTAACGGTATTTTTTTTATTTATAGTTTTAATTGTTAATAAATAAATAAAAACTAATTAAATATACAAATAATAAAGTAAAATATAAACATTGATTATTGATTATAATTCAAATATTTATAATAATACTAAATATATACTAAAACTGCTAGTTAGCCTTTTTTATTTATTTGTTTGTCTTATAAAATACCACATAAACTTATTAAATCAGATAATTTTATTGATAAATTTATACCAGTAAAATTTATATTTGTTTTTTTTTGAAACAAGCTGTATATACTAGCTCAAGGGTTCTTGTTTAAGCGAAACTAAAGCACAGAAAATGCTCATGTGCTTTTTCTTATTTCAATTGTATGTTACAGCTTTGCAAAAATTTATGTATAATTCTTTACACTTTCTTTTTTATATTATCAAAATCTACTATGGTGCATTTTTTAGATATTTTTATAATATAGTTGATTGATTGATGATAAGAATATTACAATTAATTTAATTTTATAAATTAAAAGGGATTTGTGGGTTTTATTATAACATTAAATTTTCCTTCTTTTTTATAAAAAATTTTTATTTTAAATAAAATTTTTTAGAATTCCTACATTTTTCGCAGGATGAAACACAGGTACATACCAATGCAGAATAAGAATTCCGGTCATCTGCATTCATTTAATGAGAATCAATCTAAGCACGTATTTTTAATTAACCATATTTGTGTGCTAACCCAACCTTTTTTTATCAGGGAGTAATTGTAATAAAAAACCTTCTGTTCACCGACCAGCTCTTTGCTAATATTGCCATAGGATTTTGCAACAAATAGTTGCACTCTTTTAACTACTTTCGAAATAAAATTTTTACCCTTTTTTAAAAATGTTGCACAAAGAGAGAATACCAGTATTTATTGCAACAACCCAAAGATTATATTTAATCAAAAAACTGCTTAAAATGGGGTGAAAAAACAACTTTTTATACAGGAACTATAGCTATTTGTACGAAAAGCTGCAAAACCATAGATAGTTAATTTTTAAGAATGCTTGTTTTTCTAGTATTAAACTACCAAATTTTAACATTTCTTAAAATAATTGAGATGTTTTTATATCTATTTCTTATACTTTTATTGCACAAATTAGATGTATTTTGAGGAATCAAGTTTCTGATGTTATTTATAAGTTCAATCATATTGCTATTTTAAAGTATATCTGAAATTGTTGAAATTGCGAGTAACAAAAGTATTATAGAAATAGACGCGAGTAAATTTGGAAAAAAGAAGTATAATAAAGGCTACAACGTCAGTGGTGTATGGGTATTTGGAGATGTCGAAAAAAATACACAAAGGTATTCTGTGTTCCTGTAGAAAATTGCAGTAAAGAAGCTTTAGAAAAAATATTTTGTGAGCAAATACACGCATATAATATATTTAGACTATTGTAAACTCTATAGAGCTTTAGGCCGTATATTTCTAGCTCATAAAACAGTTAATAATTCAAAAGAATTCGCTTAAAAAATAGGCAATGTACGTACAAATACAATTGAAGACACGTAGAATGCCACTAAAAGAAGCATACCTTTCAGAAATAGAACTAAAAAGTTAGCAAATATTTATTTGGCACAATTTATGTTATGTAAAAACAACGGTAAAAGTGTTTTTAAAGAGTTATTATTGTGTTCTCTATGTCATAAATATTAAAAGTTTAAATTTTTTTTCTAAAATGTTAAATATTAAATAATTTTAAAATTACTTAAATGTTTTTAATTTCTCAAAGAGACAAAAAAAATTACCAAAGCGTAAAAAGGATTAATCTGAGTGTCCAATTTAGAAGATTTTAAAGGAAAATTATGTTTATTTGAAAAGCACCGTGAAAGTCTGTGTGAAGGTTTCTTGTTAATCCCATTGTCCATCATTTTTTTTATGGGTAAAAATCCTATTTATAGTTTTTACTTAATTAAGGATTATATAAACAAACAATATAGGAATGCAATATATTAAATCTAAGCTAAAAGAAAATCGAAAAGAGTGATCTACAGGGAATACTCACTTGTTTGTTTAATCACACAAGAATTGATTCAACAAACAGTGACTGATGGTCATGTGTCAGCTGTATCATGACACTGAGAATTAAAGAAATATTTATTTTGTGATGTATAGGGGATCTGAAAACTTTGTAATTCAAAGAATGCTATAAAAATCTGATGAACTGGCATTTTTTTAAAACTATTGAATATAAAAAAAACTACTTTTAATTGATTCGTGCAACATTTTAAAAATAAGAAGGAAATATTTTATTACGAGATTAGCCAAAAATCGTGCAGCTATTATATGTTTTAACCAACTAAAAGTATTAGAAATTATACGTAAAGACCTAAAAAATAACTAGTTACAAATTTAATATAAACATGTACATGTGTAATGGATGTGCTGTATACATTAAATTGTTTAAGGTTTTGATATTTGTTCTGCCTCAATTTCGTTAAAATATAAAAAAATTCTTTTTAAAAAGTAATCCCAAAAAGTAAATTTTGACGACCTAAAAATTATATCTTAAAACATGAGATTAGCTTTATTATGATAGATTTAGAAAAAAATATGCGAATTCTGATATCAAAAAGCTTTAAATATCAAAGAAAGAGAAAACAAAAATGAATCTGTCTGATATTGTTATTGAAAAAGTTGTCCAGGAAAGGTGTACATAAATTTGTTATGACCAAATTAATGACAAGAATCTTAAGTAAAAAAGTCCTGTTAATTTTCCCTTCCAAATTTAAAATTTTTTGTTTAAAAGAATATTTTATTTAAGGATATGAATTTTAAAAGGAAATCAAAATATAATTAATACGATAAAAAACATTAATTAAAAATAAAATATTAACAAAAGCCTAATAGAGCTCTATCTAAAGCATGAGGACATCTCAAAATTTAATAAGAAATAAATTAATTGATAAAAAATTTAGGCTTTTTCCTATGAACCAATGACTGTTTCTTTTATGAAAACGCTAGTTACTATTCAAAACTTTTATGTTGATTCTTTTAAAAAAATATGCTAATTAATGAAGCGATAGCAAAAAATTCGGTAAGTTTAGATGATAAAGAAAGAATGCATTTAGGACTCATGTGTGGTATTAAACAAAACATAAGAAGGAAAATGGCTAGACTGGTAAATTAAGCACTTGGCGCCAGTTTTGTTTTTCCATTAAATATTTAAATACAATATCTAATTATAAGTTTTTACAATATGATAGCTTTTTAGATGACAAATAAAGATTTACTATTTTTTGGAACAATAATGTTGTTAAACAAGCTTTAATTATTATCTTATTTTCGGCTGATGGTACATTTTAAACATGCCCAGCTTAATTTAATCAATTTTAAATAATACATACAGTAGTGGCAAAAAAATGAATATTTGAATAGTATAGTAATCATACACTTTATAGCTACATCATTTGATTTTTTTTACCTTGATAAAAAATTTGAAATACACTGAGAGAAATTTACAATGTTTTTTAAAAATTTTTTATTTTAGGTGGCAAAAAAAAAGGAATATTTTTTTTGGCAGGAAAATTTTATTTAAAACTTTAAAAAACTTTATTTTTATCCCTTATGACACAAAAATTATCTTTGAGTGAAAAGTTCGAGATTAAGGCTTTCTTAGAAATTGGTTGGAAACAAAAAGAAATTGCAAAAAAGTTTTTGATAAGCCAATCGACAGTTTTGAAAAAAAAAATTAATGAAACAGGACAATTGGAAAGAAAATCGGGTTCTGGTAGGCCTTCATTAATTAATAGTAATGATATATCTTATTTGAAAAAATAAATGCAGATCCACAAATTGGAAGTATTAAGCTTGCTGTAGAACTCAAGAAAAATAGCTAAAAAAATATATCTTTTCGATGTATACGAGATAATTTGTGTAAAATAGGATTACATGGTAGGATTGCATGTAAAAAGCCATTTCTGTCTAAAAAGCATATCGTGGTAAGAAAACAATGGGCAAGTAAGTAAACATGCTTGCTACTCTGATAAGAGATGGAATCAGGTTATTTTTAGTGATGAAACAAAGATAAATCTATTTGGCACTTATGGAAGAGTTTATGTGCGAAAAAAAGTTGGTCAAAGATATAATAAAAAAAATTTAAAACCCACAGTAAAACATGGTGGTGGTAGTAT